CCTTGTCACCTTCCTCATCTGCATGTATGTATAAGAGAGATCTTGGGGTCTCTTAGGGAAGCATAAAAGCTGTGTGCCTTCAAATCTTTCTCTTTTTTGTCACGTCTGGGTGAATCTGTTAAACTTAAGAAGAACCAAAACCCGTCCCCATAAACATTATGTTCTACAATTACTTATCTTGTGAATTTTCAAGGCTGATTACTGATGATAAGACCTGGCTGTACATTACTGTGCACAAGCCTTTCTTTCTGGGCAGCTCCACCCTATGTTGTTGTAACTAGAGATTACAAACCCTGCCTGTCCTCTGACCTCCTATTCACTCTGAGGGACAGATGCAGCCAATTCTTTGTTTAGATACTCCATCAAACTCGGCTCCCTGTTGTATCACTCATGTTCTGTTTTCTAGCTAACCTAAGGAATAGGAAGGAGTTGGTATAGACTAAATCATAAATGCATTTTGCTTCATCATCTCATCAGTGGAGTTACCTGGGAAAGTAACAGGAGATGTGTTAAGAGAGAGAGAGTTGAAATTTCAGTTGTTTTACAAAGACATTACTCATCTTCCAATTCCTTTGTTTGCTTTTCTTTCTGCTATGAATCAAAATCTCTAGATTATGTATTTCTTACTGGTTCCTTCTGAAATGTGGTGAATCCTGTCTGATTGAGAAGTCTCTCTATTCTTAAGGGCTTTTTTAAATGGCTATGTGTTCTGGTGTGGTCTTCTTGTGTCCCTGTCTGTGAACAATGAAACAAAGAATCTGTTTACTTTTATAGGCATTTTCTAATTACAGCAATGGAGAAGCTAACTAGGCTACAGAATCACATACATCTGTACTCTGCATCTTCAGTCCTGTTCCCTCTGTGAGCTCAGCCTGGAACTCACTGTGTTAATTTTTATGCTCAGTAAGGCAGGAAAGAAACATCCTTTAACACTGAGCATTACTCAGACGCCATCCAAATTTTTGAACAAAGCAAAGTTTTGCGGATTAAACAGTTTAGATTGTTCATGTAAATAACTCCAGGATTGTCAGGAATCCCTTTAAACTCATTAACCATATTTTTGTGTAGAATATTGCTCAGATTTCAGTAACGTTTAACATGGCTGTAATTGGGAAAGTGTCATCAGGGAACAGTGAAGAGAAGGATGTAGTTTTTTCATCATTGGCTGGGAAAATAAAAGTTCAGCCAAACTGGAAATATTTTTCCAGTTTGAAATACCGAATCTCATTCAAATCTGACCTTTGTGCTCACGGACAAATTCTGTAGTTTCTAGTTTGGATCTTGAACTGTTTTACTTGGTATGAGGCTCTGACTATTGGAAAATCTGTGTGCCCAACTTCCTTTATGATGCACTGACTCTTTCATTTCAAGGAGCATTTGCAGAGTAGAAAGCTTACACAGGATAGATGTAGCTCTTTCGTTAAAAAACAAACCTTGTTTTTTTATGCACTTATGCAAATAGTGATCACTTGCTTCTCGTTGTGGTACTATATAATGTTTTCTGGAATTGTTAGGAATTTAGTCAGTTTCCTAGTTGAAGAGGCATTAATCACACATTTTTTTCCTCAGTTCTAATGCAAGTTATGTCTAATTTCTAACACCTACTCTGAGACCTGGGATGGCAGGCACCAAACCTGTTATGAGTTAAATGATTAGTGACTCACTGTGTGGAAAGCAAACACCTTGACTTAGGTGGGGCCGTAGCAGGAGCATCTCTTTTGCATGGAATGTTCCAAGTCTCCTTGTGTTTGGGATGTTTATGTGTGCTTTTGGATGGCAAGGGCCCAGCCTGCTGAAAAATGTGCTGGAAGATGACTCACAATATTATGACAGAAGTTAGAGTCACCGTCTTTTACTTGAAAATGATTTAGTCTGTTCATAACTGTGTATAAAACCATCTAATAGGGCTATGCAAATTAATATAAAGTTCAATTATAGTAAATGACAAATAACAGCCATCTACAAACCTTGCATGTTTTTTCTTTTGCCTTAAAAATTGAAATGTTTTCCATGATGGGTGATGCTGTTAAAACTAGTGTTTACCTTGATTAAGACACCTAAATCAGTACAATTAAATTGTATAGGGTTATTCACCATACCTGCAGTTAAAGCAGTATTTCAGAATTCACATGAGAAATGAAGTACTGAAGATATTGGGAAGTATTTGTGAGGCTTCCTAACACAGCACCAGAGAGCACAGCACTGCTGTGCACAACCTGTGCTCAGTGACATTGATCCTTCAGAGGAGGATGGGCATCGGGATCATAGCAGAGATCCCTGTGAGCATGCTCAAATGCAAATTCCCAGGCACTGAGGTAGTGGGCACATCTCTCTGCAGGCTTACAGCAGTAAAAAAAAAAAACACCAGTTTTTGATATTTAAAATCATGAGAAAGCACTTTTAAATAAAATGAACAATTCTTGATTTCATAAGCCATGATTTTGGATGAATTTGTGGTGGTTAAGAAAAAGTCTTTTACCAAGAGGTCAAAACAAACCAAAAAAAGGTACTCTCCTCTTTTTCTCTACGCTTTGTACTTCCTTTGGCAAGTACCAGGTGCTTTTGCATTTAAGTCATACCTGTCCTTTCCCTTTTGTGTGCCATCAGTGGGCTTGGTCCCAACCAGCTGTTGAGCCTTGTTTCTGCTTCACAAAACTCAAAGACAAACACTGCTAAGACATAGAGAAATGCTGTCTTGTGTAGTGTTTTCTGATAGATCAAGACTTCAGACAATATAGACTAGTAAATTAGGTCAGAATGCTCTGCGGTAAGTGCATAATTAATTGGAAATCATGTGGTATCCAGTGCAAGTTTCCATTGTTTCTTAAGGAGAACTTGAACAATTCTGGCTGGTGCGAGTTGCAGGGATGGGAAAGTGTTTGAAATGGGAGGCATCTCACAGAGGATGCTGTTGTTAAGTTTGGGGTGAAGCCCCAGCAGCTACACAGAACGTTGTCTTCATGCCGACAATGACAGCTGGTTTTTCCTTGATTTCTTTTTAACCTGTGTCACTGCGAGAAGAGCCTTGCCTCTTATTCATCTAATTTAAAGCTTTATTCTAAAGGAGATTCTGATGTCAGAGCGCTTGCAGTTTGCAGCTTGTTTTCAGGGAACAGACAGGGCTTTTTCAGCAACTTGTCCTTTCTTGTTCTGAGAGTTGGCAATTGAACAGGCAGCACAAATGATGCTGGGCCATTGCTACCAAGCGTGAAACCAATGTAAAGAAAGCAGGTGAAAAAAAATAATGAAGGCAACAGTGTTTGCTTACAGAAACCTGCTTATCTCATAAAAACTATGGTGTGAAAGCAACTTTTATTATTCATAACACCTCTGTTAATGTTGCTGAAATAGGAGACTGGGCTGCTCCGTTTCCTTTTCTACTGTTGTCCTTAATTTCTCCTGGCTTCTCGGTACTGCTAAGTTTAACAGACAATAATGTTTTCATGGCATTGTTTTCACTGCAATGAAATTCAGAGAATAATAGTATGAGCTTGATCACGCTCCCACTAAGCATATTGGAAGCGGAAACTCCCACAGGTTTACAAGGATCATGTTTCTTTTTACACCACTTAAGTTTTATTATTAATTAAACTTTCTTTCAAAAAAGAGTAGGTGCAGTTTTAGTATCTGTCTTACAAACCTGTCTTCTACAGAACACAAGTGAGGACAGCAGGGAATCTAAATGTCTGGAAAGGAATTTCTATTTCCAGTACCCTTATAGTTAGTTTAAAGACAAGCTTGTATCGATTTTTCTAAAGCTAATGCCATTTGGGGATCAAGGCAATCGGGGGTATTGACAAATGAAATGTGATTGTTAGTCTTGAAAAATATAATTATTTTAACAGGATTATTTCTCTCTCTTGTTTTGCAATTATTTAAAGGTTCTGCTAGGTAAAAATAAGAAAGTAGTTATTTATTACTAAAGTTTATATATTTTTATATATATATATACATATATATATTTTGTTTTAGGGTTTTGTTGTTGGTTTTATTTTCCCCCAATGTGGGTCTGGTTTTCAGTAGCTTAGAATTTCAGTAGCAAAGTTTTCAGGGCCTTGTGACGGGTTGGCTTAAGTGGGATGAGTTTAGTGCTCAATATCCTTTAGAAATCCCTTCTTCCTTTTACTTGTTATGGCTAACAGGACTGCAGCTAGTGCAGAAGACAGACAGTAACACCATCTGCACTGAGAACTGCAAGATCTAAAAACCTGGCATCACATAGCAAACCTGAAGGATAGTATTAATATTTAATTAATTTAGTTTGAATTTTGCATCACTTTAAAATATTAAAGTAGTGGTGTTGATACAGGATAATAATTAAAGACCTTAAAACTGTGTATAGGTGGGTTTTGCTTAGGACAAGTATCCCATTAAAACAAAAGTGTTGTGGCTGGCAGTAGAGTTCAGAAGGAAGGTGGAAGGTGCTAGTGTGTGGGGCTGAGGGTTGTCCACAGGAGAACTGGCAGCAACATTTATCTGAAAGCAGGACTTCATCAAAGCCCCATAAGAATACTTGCCTCCAGGTTAAAGTGATGTTACTGTGACTGAGCTAATTTCCATATGGATTATCACCAAAAATGTGCGCTGAAGAGTTTGGTGCAGAGTGCTATAATCTTGTAAAGGCAGTAGAAATGAAATTCCTCATGTAGATGGGTCCTAAGAGAAAAGTGAGGCTTAACCTCCTCAAGAGCAGTGGAAAGGACAAGGCAAGATAGTACAATGCATATGAATAAATAAGAACATAGGGATGCATAAAAAGGGTGGTTAGAAAGGTCAGCTGGTAGATGGAAGGAAGAACTGACAGTATTGTGGTTGTCTGCTGCTTGTGTTTATCACTTAGCTCTGACCTCAGCTCATTCATGTATTTTTAATGAAATCTTTTTTTTTGATTAAAACTGTGTTACTGTATCCTTCCGTGGTTATGGATTGAATTACTAACACTGCGCTGATTTAAAACTGGAAAAGAGTTGTAATCAAGTATTACTGTTTTTATTTGGCAGGCCGGACCTGATAGACATGAATACCGTTGCTGTTCAAAGCAACCTTGCAAATTTAGAACATGCTTTTTTTGTAGCAGAAAAACTCGGTGTTGCCAGACTTCTGGATCCTGAAGGTAAGATAGCTGCAAAGGACTTTGTTGCAAAAACCCTAGCAGTAAAATAAAGTCCAAACTGCTGGTTGTTGCACATCTGTGGGCATCTTTACAACTATGTTGTAAAGCACTGTTCTGTCTTGCTCTTCTAGATGTTGATGTTTCCTCACCTGATGAGAAATCAGTAATAACTTATGTGTCATCACTTTATGATGCATTTCCCAAAGTACCAGAAGGTGGTGAAGGCATTGGTGCAAATGTAAGTAGGAGAAAAATACTTGTGCAGTGTGCCAGCATCATAAATGATTCTTGGTTCAGCTCTACAGTGATAGCTGGATCTTACATAGTCCAAGTTCTTACTTTTCCAGTCCTACATTTAGAGCTAAGTTGTGCCTCTTTGATTCTTATAAATTTGAAAACGAAAAACAAAAAAGTGTTTGAAGTCCTCTTCAAAGGTTAAACAAAGCAGAATTCTTGGATGATTTTCTTTTGATCTGTAATCTGTGCTGTGCTTTGGTAGGATGTTGAAGTCAAATGGGTTGAGTATCAGAATATGGTGAACTACCTCATGCAGTGGATCAGACACCATGTTACAATAATGTCTGACAGAACGTTTCCCAACAATCCTGTGGAGTTGAAGGTAAGATATGACATCTTAAACTCCTTATTGGAATGGCATTTTATCATACTTACTCAAAGCATGCTTGAACAAATGAAGGGCTTGTTGATTTATGCAGTCAAAGCAGCTGTAGAACAGTATCATCATAGCAATATAGTTTTTTATTAAGTAGTTTTTAGGTGACCTTTGCAGGATTTCTGACATGCAGTGTTAAAAATGTTAGAGATGGGGTAGGTTGGGTCTATAGATAGATTTTATAACCCTTCTTAAGATCTCCTTAGATAGCTTTGTAAGCTAGATTTATTTTTTTTTTTGAATAAGAGAAGAAAAACGGTATCATGTTGAAGCTCACTTGTCTAAAGCTCACTTGAAAATCTACTCCCTAAACTTGTCTAGGACAAAAAAAGCATTGCTAGGATATGAACGATCAAAAGCAAATCTTTAGCTTGTCACAGATCATTTTCGTAGAACTTAAGTAGAACAGTATTAGAACGTAAGTTTATAAAGAATCTTAGAAGAGGGTTTAGGAAGTAAGGTTATAATCACTGTAAGTAAAAATTGATGATTTTTTTTGTTTCTGTAGGCACTTTATAATCAATATTTACAGTTTAAAGAAACAGAAATTCCACCAAAGGAGATAGATAAATCAAAAATTAAACGTCTATATAAACTGCTGGAGGTAAGTTTTAACATGAAATACTTATTGAAATACATAGAAGTTCCCTTTTGGAGGCTTAAAATAACAAATATGTATGATTTTTTAAGGTCTGGATAGAATTTGGACGCATCAAACTTCCTCAAGGCTATCATCCAAATGATATAGAAAAAGAATGGGGAAAGCTTATTATTGCAATGCTGGAAAGAGAGAAGACCCTTCGGCCTGAAGTAGAGAGGTACGCTAGTGAACATCTGACAGGATTGGTTAATATATCTTCTGTTATTTTACCCAGTATTGAAAATCATGAATGTTTTATTCCATTGTAATATCCACGTTATTTTTCAATTTATATTCCTGTTGAATAATTCTGATTTGTTCAAGCCTGAACTTCTCTATGTGTTTTGTAGAAGCAGGTCCAGATATACTTGGATGATCTCAGAGGGTCATAATGAATAGTATATGTTCCTCGGATCATCAAAGCACTTAAACACAAATATAATGTCCTCTTTGTACAATTGGTCAGGGCCAGGTTGATACCACTTCATTGTCTTGCTTGGACTCTATTCCATATAAGCAACACCCTCATTCTTTACCCAAAATGTGTAATTCACTTGCACAAGGCCTATTCTGGAATTATCTAAAAGTTGATTGTGCTCAAAAACACACAAAGTGTTCAGACATGCAAAGTGCATAGTAGTCTTCCATGGCAGAGGAATGTGTGACGCTGTTTTGTACATCATTAATAACATACCAAGCATGTTTAAATCTTAATGCAGCCTTAGAGCATTTCTGCTTTTTAATGGTACCTCTTTTGAGTTCTGTGGCAGAAACAGAGGCTACCATCCATTAATTCAAAAAATCATTTTTTTTAACCCTAAATTAAATGATTCTTTGGGCTCCTACCTGGCTCTGTGTTCATTCTGCCTAAATTCAAGTATCCAAAGGAGGCATCTAAGATCTAAATCACTTTCTAGAGAAATCTGGCACTGACTTTCTAGTGACAATAGGGTTTGGGCACCTGATGTTAGATGTGAAGAATCCAGACCACTGTGTAGTAAGTCCTCAGAAAGACAAGTTTTAAGAGAAGATCTTAAAGACAGTTGGAGTTGATTAGATATGGATCATGCTCACAAAATATGTGTCTTCCTTACAAAAGCAGGAGCATGACTGAAATGGCAGATTCAGTGGGAGGTACTGCTTTACAGTATCCCTGTGGTAACTGCTATGAAATAAATTCCTACAGCGGAATTCAAAGTTGTCCCCACCATGTAGAGCAGAACACTGGAAAGCAGTGGTGGAAATACAGCCTGCCAGATCTTGTAGGCTAATCTGTTCTAACATGCCAACGGCAAAGTTAGCGCCTGCCTTCACCAGAAGGAATTCTATTCATAATTGCAGAAAGCTGGATTATCTTAGTTGGGAGTGTATATAAATGACATTAGTTTATTTCTTTTCTAGTCAGATGGATGGAAGACAGATAAATGTAAATGCGCATAAACTTCTTCCCATATTTCAGGATTGGTGGACACACTTAAAAGTGAAAGATTGTAAGGTGATAGTCATGGCAAAAATGTGACCTTAGCTAATAAAGAAATTTGGTGAGCAACTAAAACTTTACTTCCACGTCTGGTGAATACATCTGAAAGTATCAACACAGACAAACAGCATGTGGCCAGACTGGTGGGTGGGATCGAAGTTAATACAATGTCAGTGAGGAGAGTGCCAGACTGAGTCCCAGTTTGCAAAACTAGCAGGGTTTGAAATTGCCACAGGGGTGTGTCTGTGCCTTTGCCATGCTCCTCTACTTGAACACAGTCATCTGATGTTGTGGGAGAGGTTTTTAGGAGGTGCTAAAAGCAGGAGGTGAATTACTGAAGAAATTACCCAAACCCTCAAGTCCAGGTTAAAATATTAACTTAAGGGCAGTGATCAGAGTTTTCTTATTTGTTTTGTGGTCAAGACAGCAAGAAGCAATTAGCTGTGTGTATGGAAGACGTTAAAGGGAAATTTGCAGGAGGACAGATTAGTGGAACAGGGCAGTTAGTAAACATGCATACTTGGACAGTGGAGTAATGATGGTGGGTTGGATGGTGTACAGGTGTCTAAAATTAACTTGGTAAGAGCTGATTAACTGTGATATTCCTGCAGTTTTACTGTGCAGTTCCATTCGAAAGAAAAGGAACAGCCCAGCCTGAAGTTTCTACACCATGCACTGGAGCGTGGAGTTCTAACTTTGGTCCTTCTTGAAACTTTTCATTCAAGAGTCTGAGAAACACGTTAAAGACTTCTTTAAATTCTTATTTGGCTTATAGACATTTTGTGACACTTAAATAAAATATTTGGTGCGTCTGTTTCCTAGAGACGCCCTAGTGTTACTGCCTAGTCTGTACTTGCAAAGCTTTAATGCAAGGTTAGGGAAGCCAAAAGTGAGGCGGCGTACATAGCCCCAGGTAAAATACTTTGAAGAGCTGGCAGAATATTAATTACTGGGTTTTGAATATGCATTACTGAAGCCTATTTAAAGAAGGAGTGCTAGGTGTTTCAAAACCAGTAGTGAAATTTCATCCCTAGAAGCTGTACATTTTGTAGGAGTTTTATTTTTTTCATTTTTCAGCAAATGTAAACAGCCAGAAGGACAGTGGTCTGGATGTAAAAATGAACAGCACTAGTTACAGCTATCATAGCAGCGATTCGCTGTTTAGCAACAGTACTAGTGCTCGAACCAGCGTTGACTCTAATGAGAATTTTCTTTCTGTTAATTGTGGTCCCACATTGATTAAATCTTGTATAAGCTTTGGTAATGCCACCTTAGAAGGAAACAGGTAACTTGGCATTTGTATCTGTGCTCTGTGGTTGCTGGTTTTTGCTATTCTTCATTTGTTTGAAGTTATATATGTACAGTAGATATAAATAGCATTAATACTTCTTTTTCCAAAATTCCTGGGATCACCTAGGTTGGAAATGCTGCAGCAGATTGCAAACAGAATTCAGCGGGACAGCCGGAGCTGTGAGGACAAACTGATACTTGCCCGGAATGCTCTGCAGTCTGTAAGTCAGTCACTGATTTTACTTGTTTGTCTTCATGAACTTGCTTAAAAAAAAAAAAAATCTGTAGCATTTTTAAGTGCATACTTAATAACTGATACTTTTATTTTTGCTGTACTGTTATCATTAGTTTATTATTCCTACAAGAAAATATAAAAAATTACCTTGAATGGGTTCTGTTGAATTTTTTGTTGGTAGTTAGATAAAGTTCTTTACAGTTGTTTTAAGTATAGAAAAAAAATTCAAAAAATCGGTTTCTTACAGCTTATTTCTCTTTGATTTAGCTGCAGGGCTTAATGGCTTTCTTCTGTTCATTCAGGACACCAAGCGATTAGAGTCAGGGCTTCAGTTCCAACATGAAGCAGAGATAGCTGGGTATCTTCTTGAATCTGAGAACCTTCTCCGCCAGCAAGTGATTGATGCCCAAATTCTTATTGATGGAAAATACTATCAGGCAGACCAGCTCGTGCAGAGGTACTTTACAATATATTTATATCAATAAATTAATCTCCCAAATAAGGATATCCATTATGGACATCATTTTCAAATCTTCATGTCTATGGATAAGCTTCAGTCTGTCACTTAGTACCCAAATAAAGGTTCCAGGTGGTTACATTGCCCACAAACTTTATTGAAGATGAGGAAGTGTTTGTGATCATCTGTGAAAACGAAGTAATTCACAAAAAGATGACTTAAATGTTAAAGTTTCCTGATATCTGAGTATAAAGATGTTAGCTGGTTTTATTGCAGATAAAATGGTTTTAGATTCACTACCTTCGGTTTTAAAAAGGGAGGTGAGATTTCTCATGATAGCTGTAGGTATCTTAGCAGGTAGTAAGAGGAGTAGCATTAGCTTATGTGTGTCAGTGTGTACAGTCTTAGGAGAAAGATATGTTTAAACAGCATAATTCAATTTTATGAAGAAGTAGCTCTAAAGTTTGTCAGGATTCATTCTGGACTGGGTAAGATAAGTACATAGCAGCTACTTAACAGCAAACTGCAAGTAATTTTATCTACCACAACATGTAGAATCTTGTATAATTTCTGCTCTGGTAATTGTTCCCTGGTATTGTGTATGGTATGCCCTAATGCCCATACTTTGCTGATTTTGTGTGTCATTGCCTGACTTCTGCATCTGCTATCTGTATTCATAGAAGTCAAAGCTGACATAGCCTATACTTTCTGATACAAATGCTTATTTATAAATATTAAAGTAGAACTGAAGTGTAGGAGATCATGTGAATTCATATTGCTGTTCAGTTCAGCATGATGAAGCTATAATAAGCATTCAATGAAATTATTTTCTTTTATTTAATTTTATTATTTTATTTTAATAGGGTTGCAAAACTTCGTGATGAACTGATGGCCATACGTACTGAATGTTCTTCCGTGTACAGCAAGGGACATGCACTGACAACAGAGCAGACAAAGCTGATGATATCAGGAATAACTGAAAGCTTAAACTCAGGATTTACAACAAACCTAACCCCTGAATTAAATGCTGCAATGACCCAAGGTTTAACACCTTCTTTGACTTCTTCCAGCTTGACATCTGGCCTCTCATCAGGTCTTACTTCCAGGATGACACCAGCCATCACTCCTGCTTACACACCTGGCATCCCACCACGGTTAATCCAAAGCTATGTTACAGGAGTAGACAGTGGGACTCTTCAAACACTCAAACTGATGCAAATCAGAAAACCTCTTATGAAATCAGCTTTTGTGGATCAGAATTTAACAGAAGAAGAGGTGAACATGAAATTTGTCCAGGACCTATTGAACTGGGTGGAAGAAATGCAGGTAGCAATCTTCATAGAAATAGTCTGCTTCTAATTGTTACATTTACTGCTTGTAGATCATGGCTAACTTTTCCTTCTTCTTGGTAAGGTGCAACTTGATCGGGCAGAATGGGGATCAGATTTACCAAGTGTTGAAAGCCATTTAGAAAATCACAAAAATGTCCACAAAGCTATTGAAGAATTTGAATCCAGCCTTAAAGAAGCTAAAATGAGCGAGGTATAGCACCATATTCTTTATCTCTTCAGTTACTTTCTTGCCAAATGACCCATAAAGTCCTGTGGAGTTACAGAATTGTGTTTGGGTTTCACAGTCTTACTTATTTCTACTTCTGATTTCTAAATGACGTATCATGAAATCAGGAGATCTAGTGGTTGAGAGTAACTTATGTCTGTTTTCTTGTCTTTTGACCTCATATACCAAATACAGATCCAAATGACTGCCCCTCTTAAACTCAGTTATGCAGAAAAATTGCACAAACTGGAGAGTCAGTATTCAAAACTCTTGGTAAGTTTCTCAGTACGTTTTTGAGGTTTAGCTTTTCTGTATACATCATCTATGAAAAGGGGTGAGTTTTAAATTCTGTTTTTTCCTAATCTTACTTCTTTTTCCTTTTTAATAAAGAACACATCAAGAAATCAGGAAAGACATCTAGATACTCTTCACAATTTTGTGTCTCGTGCTACTAGAGAGCTGATATGGCTGAACGAAAAAGAAGAGGAAGAGGTTGCCTATGACTGGAGTGAAAGAAACCCCAATATAACGAGAAAAAAGGAATACCACGCAGTATGTATTGCTAGTATAATCCAGAGGGAAAAAATTAGTCCTCTTTAATAATCAACAGGTTTCTAAAATGTTTCTGTGTTTATTTTTTGTTTTTGTCTGGAAAAAGGAATTAATGAGAGAACTTGATCAGAAAGAAGAAGTAATTAAATCAGTACAAGAAATAGCAGAGCAATTGCTTCTTGAAAATCACCCAGCTAGGCTAACCATTGAGGTAAGTTAGTAAAACAGCAAACAAACAAGAAAACAATTTTGTGATTTAATAGACCATAGATTATGGGGGAAAAGAAGGAAAGTGCTTACTCATAGGAAATTAAGCAACAAAAGTCTGAATAATGGGGCCTTTATTTCCTCTTCAGTATCTCTGTTGTAACTCCATCTTCCAGTTTCCAAAAAGTATTAACACTTCTGTAAAATTATGGTTATGTATCGGACTGCTTAGATAAAATCCCACTGAAGTCTAAAATTAACATTTCAGAAGTTGATCTGTACAGACATTTCTCCTGCTGGGCATGCATGCAGCTTCTGTAGTTATTGATACAGCCTGCACTGGTATGCTGAGGTCACAGAACAATCCTTACATGGTTTCTCTCCTGTTGGATTGAAAGGAGTTTCAGTAGTGCATTTCCAGTCACTTACTGTGTATATTGCTTCCTGATAATGGTTTAGGGTTGGTTTCATAGCCTTTTTGTCAGTAAGTTATGAAATGTGTTTGTATTTTAAAAATCAGATCAGGTGATGTGAATTACTGCGGGTTTGAACTAAGCTCTATATGATGGGTAAACTGTTTACAGAAAATTTATTGTAGCTGTTGTAGGGACATAACAAGTTTCCACAGGGAAATGTTGAATACTTTTCCCTATAGATTTTCAAGAAAAGGATAAATACAGACAGTGGGTGGTAAAAATGGAAAGAATAAAAAACAGTTTTATTATATACGAATGAAAAAGGCAGAGAGGATGGATTTTTGTGGTTCTTCACCTCAGTGAGTTTATGTCAATATAAACTGGAAACAGATGAAGAAAAATCCTTCCTTTCTTCCTTCTCACTACATATACTTTTATTATAATACATGATTTTTTATTTAATCTGTAGAATTACATTCCTTAAAAGTACATGCTGCTACTAATGGATAATCAATATATGCATAGAAATATAAAAATATACGTAATATATTAAAGATGCATGCTATGAAACTAGGCCATCACAGTGAAGATGCGTATGTAGGTTATGATGTCTGCAATAATGCTATATTGGGAAATGAAAAAACAATTCTTAAATTGATGCCTTCTGTGCAGAAAAATTTATGCGTTAATGGATCAGCTTGAGATTCATTGAAGCCAACGGAAAATCTTTGAATTCCCTGAGAATCACACAGAATTCCCAAACTGAGACTTTTGGCTGCTTTTATCAAGTCAAGAGTCCCCTCTGCTGGTGAATATTAGAAGAGTGCATCTCCAGTGACAGCACTGCAGTCAGCATAGGAGGCATCATTCAAATAGGGCCGCATTCTTGAAAACCTTTACAACACATACACAAAATTACATATTGCAGCATGTCGTGAATTATTATTTTTATTGTGTACTCAGTATTGCTTTAATATCTGATTTGTATGGAGGCAGGTGTCCAGCTATTCAAACAAGTAAATACAGCAATGGAATCATAAACTGGTTTAGGCTAGGGGAACCTCAGGAAATCTAATCCAGTCCCTGCTGAAAGCAGTATCAGGGCTGAATCCTGAATGCATCCGAGGATGGTGATTCCCCAGTCCCTCAGGGAAGGTTTTCTGATATTTGATCATGCTGTAATGGCAGGTTTTTTCTCACATTTATTAGGAATTTTCTTTGTTGCAGCTTGCTTTTCATGGGTAGGGTGTTCAAGTTTAGATGCTTGTGTTTGCAACATTACTTTTATGTTGTCTAAACTCTGTAAATGTATCTATGCTTTAATTTTCATTTCCTTTTGTAAAATCTGTCTCCCTTAAAGGCCTATAGAGCTGCAATGCAGACACAATGGAGCTGGATTCTCCAGCTCTGTCACTGTGTTGAACAGCATTTGAAAGAAAATGCTGCATATTTTGAGGTAAGGAAATAAGTCAATATAAGTGTGAAATGTTTTAAGCTGTGACCACAGTCAAAAAGTTCCATTATGACTGAAAATGCTAGTTGCTCTCTCACAGTAGGAGTAGAATTGGAATGTATCATGTACAATTATTAGATGATGAACGGTACTCCCACAGCGTTGCCACATCTGCATTGACTTCCCTGTAGCTATATCAGTTCAGAACAGATGAAAATCTGGTCTGATGTTTTAAAACAAGGCCATAACTACAAGCAGAGAATCTGAGAAAGAAGCTGTGTTCTCTCCATGTCATACAGAACTGCAGTCAATAAAGCTCTTGTGGCTGGATGTAGAGGTTAATGATGGCCAAGGCAGAACATGTTCCAGGTTGTTGCTCCAGGAGAACACAAACAGAAATGGAATGTACACCATTAATAAAGAACAGAGCAGAGAGCACCCTGCCAACAGATATGTCCAACAAAGCATCTTTCTGATTATCACCCTTTTACTTACCCATCAAATATGCATGACGATTGAAGATTGAAGGATTTTTGTTTTGTAGCAGAAACATTTTCTACTCTTATTTTGTATTTAAATTATAAATAGCAATCCTTAGTGTCTCCTGGGTTTTATGGTTGAATAAGAAGGCTTTGGGGATTAAATGTCTTTTCATGGAGAAGAACAACAATCCAAAGTTAGAGAATGGATGCTGAAGAAGAAATAGTTGAGTGGCTTGGGCTCCTACTGGTTACAGTAAGAAAAGGGGATCTCTGGATTTGGAGAATGAGGAATGAGTTCCCAATTATCACAGGACATTTCCTTTCCCAGTCATGCTTAACCAGTGCCCTAGATTGAAGCACAGCTGCCAAGTGTGGTTGCTCACTTCCCCTTCTTCCCAAAATGTTCACTCCAGTGTGCTTGCTAAATCTGCAGCTAGTTTCCTACAGTTTATAAGCTCTATCTGTTCTTTATATGTGAAAGTAATTAGGAATCCAAGAATAATTCTTCATAATTATGAAGCAAGAATGAATTCAGATTTTTTTTATTAGCGGAAACCATAATTAACTAAGGTTCAATAACTGCTGAATCAGTTTTGCATTTAGATAGTACCCAAACCAAATGCTGTTCCAAGACATTACAACATGTGCCTCCCTTAAGCGTACATTCAAACACGAGATCATGAATATTGTTGTGTGCTACAGTGGTCACTTCAAACTGCTAGGAAAGGTGATCTTTAAGGAGATAGCGCTTAAAAAAAAACACTTCATGATGTAGCTATTGATATGTTTTATAGATTGTCTAATAGTAACACAGATATTCGTCTCCTCCTAGTTTTTCAGTGATGCCAAAGAGGCCATGGAATATCTAAAGAATTTGAAAGATGCCATATACCGAAAATACAGTTGTGATAGAACAAGCAGCCTTCATAGGCTGGAAGACCTTGTCCAGGAATCTATGGTAAGAATTCCTGGTAATGTGAGCTACAATTACACGAGATAAGTGTAGATGATAGTTGGATATAAAAGCCATGTTATAAAATTGTTCTTTTAAAGGCAAGTAAGAAAATAAGATTGATATTTTAGAATTTATAAATAAATACTTTAGATATTTTAGAATTTGTAATGAAGTATGTTTATTTGTCCACCTGTAATGACTGTTTTTCATACCCTTAAAATACAGTATTATTTATTTCTTTATCTTTACAATAGCAGATGTTGTGGGAAACCAGTGACTTCAGAAAGATAAATCGTTCTTGTAAAATCTTGCTTTTAAGAAACACAGCAAAAGAAGTCAGAAAAAGAAAAGCTTAACAGGATCAAAGAAGCAGAACTGTATTCTGGCCACTTCTCGTGATGTGTTCTTTGTTCTTTTCTTTACTGTTTTAGGAAGAAAAGGAACAACTCTTGCAGTATAAGAGCACAGTAGCAGGCCTTGTAGGGAGAGCAAAGGCAATAATTCAGCTGAAGCCAAGGAACCCTGACTGTATACTGAAAACATCCATCCCAATTAAAGCCATCTGTGACTATAGACAAATTGAGGTTAGAAACTTGAATTTCTTCAAATCAATTACAGACGTGAGAATTCAGCTAAAGTTTCATTAATTACCATGTTCCTGGAGAATGCTGGGCTCTAAATGTCTTCCACCCTAGTAAACAAGAGCAAATCCTTGTGTTGAACATTGTTTTTGTTGTTCTGTCGCTTATTTGGTGACGCCATTTACAAAAGAGCTTTGTAAAACTATTTTGTAATGCTTAGCTCATTAAATCATTCTGCTTTTCTGTTAATACTAGATAACTATTTACAAGGATGATGAGTGTGTTTTAGCAAACAACTCCCATCGTGCTAAATGGAAAGTCATTAGCCCAAGTGGTAATGAGGCCATGGTTCCATCTGTATGCTTTACAGTTCCTCCACCAAACAAAGAAGCAATAGATACAGCCAACAGGTAGGGACAAAACAAAAACAGCTTTAAAATATGTTTTTGATATAAATATTCTTGTTTTCTTGCACAGAGAAACAACATTTCCTTTGGGTTAGAGACAAGGAAGCAGATTTTTTTTTTAATTCATTAATATGGAACTCAGGTTAAAATGTCTTTTTTTTTTCTTTTTTCATATGTTGCTCCAATGTAAAACAGGTTCTCTTATTTTAAATCGGATTCTTTTTATGTTTCAGGATTGAACAGCAATTTCAGAATGTACTGGCCCTTTGGCATGAGTCACATGTAAACATGAAGAGCGTGGTTTCCTGGCATTACCTTACAAATGAAATTGAAGCCGTTCGAGCTGGCAATGTTGCCTCGGTATGTACTATGTCTAACAAGGGCCTCCTAGCCACTTCCTAGGAAGTAAGGCTAAGAGGCATAGGCTACGCTTCCCGGAGGTAGTGCATAATTAATCATTTTTCAGCTATCCTCATTTTCTGGAAATAGCTGGCAGTGCACCACTGTGCAATATTCTGCCTTTATCTGAGCAACTTACATGGATGTACATGGGGAAAGAGCAGAGAGATTGTACCATGAAAACTACCAGTACTCTTTTTGGGCTAATTTCTCTAGTCTCTTATTGTCAGCAGAGTGACAGGATCTCTTGAAAGCAGTTGAGCAGTGACTAAATCTGAATTTTGGTTTGGATTTGTCTTGCAAGTTGTATGAGGAGATTAGCTTCTCTAGGCTAAGGTTAATATTAATGAAACTCCCCGTTATTTCCTTATGCTGCAACTTCTTACTAACAGTTGGACAACTGTGAAAGTTACATTTAGTTTTTCAAGCTGAAGGCAGATGAATGCTGATTCCTCTTCTAATGCATGTCTGTAATTTGAAAAGTTAAGTAGGTAATTAGGATAAATTTGTCAGAAATTAAATAGAGATACAGATCAAAATACTATTCTGTCTAGCTAAAACAATGTATGAGATCACTGAATTATCCAGTGTTGGATGTACTGCATAATGATATATAGTATAGGAGTTTATTATACAGCATCAGAGGGTCTCTGGCTTCAAACTGTTGCAGATTTTTTTGTAATACCCAAAATGACATGTTAAGTCCGAATTTCCCACTGTTGTTACTGGAAAGAAGGAATCTGAGATAATACTGAGATGTTCCTCCTCCTGTGACTCTTGCTGCCTGCCTGTTTGTTGCTACAAGGAATAGATGGAAATGGAGAAATGGTGTCTGATGTGGGGTTGGCTTAACACAGCCCATTACTGGTGTTAAAGTTGGAGAAGGATTTTATTTTGCCTATAATCTATCTGATGTTACCTTTCAAGGTAACTCCTCTGATACCTTTCAAGTGAACACCAATCCAGGAAGAACAAGTCAATTCTTTGACTTTGCCATCTTACTAATTGGTCAGTACTGTTTTTTAGAGGTAACTGCATGAGTGATGCATCATTGCTGACCACACCTTGGGTTTATGATCTGTTGCAGATAAAAACCATGCTGCCAGGTGAACATCAGCAGGTTCTAAGCAATTTGCAATCCCGCTTTGACGATTTTGTGGAAGATAGCCAGGAGTCCAAAATCTTTACAAGCTCTGATACAGCACAGCTGGAAAGGGAAGTTAATATTTGCAAGCAATACTATCAAGAGCTTCTGAAATCTGCAGAAAGAGGTAAAACTTTGCTAAGAAAAGTAGAAAGCTGCCCTCACAAGAGAGATTGTTATTCTCAATACATATTTTCCATATAAATTCAAGCTCTAGTGAATCACTATTTTATCATATTGATATGGTTAATGTTATAGTTCCTCTGAATGGATGTTATTTATGGATAATGGATATAATGGAAATAATGGCTATCATAAACCATCATTTTAACATTTTGCACCATTATATTATATGAAAAATCAAAGCTTTTTTTTTTTTTAACTTTGCACATACTAGTCTATGTAAAAAATATATATCTACCACAAAGTGGTAGAAAAAAATTAGCCCCCCCCCCCCAAATTTTCCGTACACTGCAGATTACGGTTTAGTCAGTGTTTCCTTGCTGTTTCTGAATGTTTAAATTCAGCTTCAGTACTTTGTTGAGTTCATAACAGTATTAAATTTTTTAACACTGTTAATGCAAGAGAAGTGTCCTAGATACTTTTGTAGCTCCACAGAATACCTGTAGTTACAGTTCTCTTACCTCTGTTTTTAAATACAACAAGCAGAAAAAGCTTAAAATAACTGTTCTGATACACTGTCAAGTAGCTAATCACTTACAGGAATACAGTAGTGCAAAGCTGATTACTGCATTAGCATAGTTCACTATACTTAAGGAAAGATGTGTTGCCTTCTGCCTCTGAAGGAGAATTAAAAAAAAATAAATGCCTTGAGATTTCCTAGAGTATCGTGCCTGATATCATCTGGCTGAAAGATTCAGCTTCTGAATTTAGCAGTGTCTGCATAAGGTATGATGCCTGTGTCTGGGATGGACGATCGATGATATATGCTAATTTTCAAAATGTGAGGAGTTGATCTAAATATAACTAAAATTTAAAGGTTCCTAAAATTTGTTTTGTAGTAAAAATTATGGAAATTGATGGGATTTCAGTCATTCATGAAAAAACCCGTTGAATGGTGACTTTATAAAAGTCTTTTGTCAGAAGACATGGTGAAAGTGACACAATGGCTTTGTTTGCTAAAATGTTGTTTGTTTCTTTCAACAGAGGAACAGGAAGAATCTATTTACAACCTATACATCTCAGAAGTCAGAAATATCAGACTTCGGCTGGAGAGTTGTGAGGAGCGGTTAATTCGACAGATCCGAACCCCAATGGAAAGGGATGACCTACATGAAAGTGTGTTTAGGATTTCAGAGCAAGAGGTAAGCCTTTGGGAAAGGCTCTTTTACCTAGAGTATACATCAAATTGATATAGCATAAAAACACTGTCAATCACTTCATTTTTACAGAAACTGAAGAAGGAGTTGGATAGACTGAAAGATGACTTGGGAGGCATCACAGATAAATGCGAAGAGTTCTTCAGTCAAGCTGCTGGTTCACCTTCAGTTCCTACTCTGCGCTCTGAACTAAATATTGTTATTCAGAATATGAACCAAGTTTATTCTATGTCTTCCATTTACATAGATAAGTATGTAATAGGCCATCTCCCATCATACACACTGTAGTTTACAGTTTTCTCTTCAAAATAAATTAAAAATATTAGTATGAATAATAATGATCAAGGAAGAGGGAGTTAACGATATTTTAACACTGTACAAAGGGGTATCTATGACATGAAAAGACTGAAGTACACAAGTGTGTTGAGTATTTTTATTGCTTGTTCAGTTAACAGGAGATTACTGTTTTTCAGATTAAAAACTGTAAATTTGGTGTTGAAGAACACCCAAGGAGCGGAATCATTAGTAAAACTTTATGAAACTAAGCTGTGTGAAGAAGAGGCAGTAACTGCTGACAAAAATAACATTGAAAATCTTATGGGTACATTAAAGGTAAGAGTTGGCAGATGCCTGGGCAAATAAAAAAAAAAAAAAAAAGAAGGGAAATGATCCGTCTTGTAACATTTGTTCTGGTTATGCTTTACTGTATAGTTTATCAAAAGTTGGCTTATGTGTTTGGAGGAAAGTCTGCATTAGGACCTATACCTCAACAAAAATAGACTTTGAAACACTGAGAATTTGATAGTTTGCATGTGTATTATTGCAATTAGGTAATGCTTTGCAGTTCCTGAACTCCCAGGAATGCCACTCGTTAATGCTTCAGTAAGACTTATTTTTCTGTCTTTGCAAAGGTAATGCATGCTTACGGTAACATAAATATATTCTTATGTAAACATGTCCACAGTATGATTCCTCTTACTGCTGTGCTATACTAACTGGGGTTTCCTAGGAGGTTTGGCATTTATCTTTCAGAAAGGCTAAAACTGAAGTTCAGCATTTTTAATACTTTGCATACAGCTTATTTCAATATCTCAAATGATAAGTAATGCTTTTTGGTAGTGATTGGCACCTACCTAATTTTTTAAAAGCTGTAGTTTATCAGATAAAGATGCTGATTTGCTGGCTGTGTTTGATGCTTGTGTGTGGGGGATGCTGTAACTCAGAACTATTTTGCAGTTCACAGCTAATTAGTTGCTTCAAACTCATTTTGGTGCCATTCTGGTGTTTGAGCAACCAGAAGTAATTGCTTATGTAAAATATTCATTTATAAGTAGTGTCATAATTTAGGAATTATTTAAAATATTTAATTTATCATACACTAGCAATGGAGATCTGAAGTAGATGAGAAAAGAGAAGTGTTCCATGCCTTAGAGGATGAGCTGCAGAAGGCAAAGATGATCAGTGATCAGATGTTCAAAATGCACAAGGAGCGTGATCTTGACTTCGACTGGCATAAAGAAAAAGTTGATCAGTTAGCTGAGAGGTGGCAAAATATTCATTCTCAAATCGAGAATAGGTTTGTATAACTTTTTCTTATAATCTGTTCGCGTTTTTTGACGTTCTTGTTGTTTCTGAGAAACATAATCAAGAATGAATGTTAATGAGCTATTTGCTAAATGCGCTAAGATCAGGGATTCTTATCTTTTCTGTGCTGCTGACATTGTTGCCTGTCATTTCCCCAGGGATTGTCTCTGCCTGTTGTGCACCAAAAGATTAACAAAATAGAGAAGCCTCATTTTGTTTCTGACAACTTACTGAGACAGTAGAGAGAAACTGTCCTTGTACTTTCCAAAAAGACCCTACAGAAATGGCTTGCTGTCCTATGGAAATGCCATCTGTTTCTGCACATAATTTGTTCTGACAGGCAAAACTCATGAGCTGGTTGATCAGTTATGACTGGCTTCGTGTTTGCTTGCTTTTAATGGCTGACGTGCTAAGTCTGGAAGTCCTTAGCTTCTATTGACTTCTGTGATAATTTTGTTGCAGTAGCTACCAGATTAAAAACTTATGGTGAAGTGCCAGTATTTTCTTTTGGTGTGCAACTGGTTTCATGCTGTCTCCATATGCAATTGCAATGTTGCTCTAATTTAAGCCTTTCAGCATTATTGTTGTGACTATATTGGAGAGTGTTACTCAAATGCACATGCCTTTACAGATTTACAGATATCACAGAACACAGCTGTCAATAATTTTGAAGGAGATGTCCATACATCTATTTAGTGTTGTTTCCTTTCTAGTATGGAGAAGTTAAGGAAGTCTCTAATACACAGTCTGAATTTATTTCCTAAAATCTACTTCAAATACATCAAATACAGTGCTGTTTATGTAAAGTTTCACACAACAACCTTTCACATTTTTTTTCTCCCTTTCTAAGGGATGAGTATCCACTCAGGTATAATACCGAAGTTATTTGCTTGCAATTAACTTAGTTGGCTCTGTTCAACATCACCAGAAGTAAAAGGCAGATGGGCAAAAGCTGGCTAACTTAGAGCTGACTGGAGAATGGCTAGCTTTAAATCAACTCAGATGATTCATCATCTGATAGTGTGGCAGAGTTTAAATGATAAAACAATAGTTTTATGAGGTATGGAAGTGTCCTTATTTCCTCATAGGGCAAACACGAACCAAATGATCTCCTTACGGCTCTGTGTTCTGAATAGAACACACTGAAAAGTTGCTGTTAATACAAAGTGACTTCTGGAGTAAATAGGACAGATTGTGGTGGTTGCAGCATGTAGCTGTAAACAAACTGCTTTCTGCAAATGTTCACTCTGCTGCTTCCTAACAGCTTGACACTGATGATCATTATATGGAAAGCACATACAAATATTGGCTGCAGTTACCACGATCCCTTCTTACTTTCATGGTTATTGGCGTAAAACTATGCTCAAGTATGAAACCTGACAAATTGTGTATCCTTTGCTTGCTCTTTTTTACTCTCCTCTTGGCATCCTGAGAACAACACTAGTGCAATTCAGAGTATTTATTCACAATCAGACAATTCACAATTCACAGTATTTATTCACAATTGAGTAAGCTTATCTGTAATTATGCAGTGTTTTGGATGAGTCGTATTCATATGATACTTGAAGTAACAGTGTAAGAGCCATGAAACTATTCTCATCAGTATGGAAACCACTTTCAAGAAATACATAGTACTTTTTGCCAGGTCAAAAACATAATTTTAAAAGGGACTTTTTAATGCTCAACAGAATCACTTGCTTTAGCATAGCAAGTGTAACTGTTGTTTTGTGGGAGGCATGGGGTATGGTGAACTGCTACATAACTGCAGCTCTGCTTTTTGCTTTATTAATTCACATAAGTCACATCTGAAATTCTCCGACTTCATAGAATTAATTACTGTCGCAGGGACCTTCCTCTTACAGCGTGCCTGGGGATTCCTGTGCTCACAGAGTTTGAAGCAATTTAGCTCACTAATGAGGGATATATGAATAGTTTTTTTTCTGTAGTAGAATCTCTCTTGGGTGTTGTTTATGAAAAATGAAAAGGCTTCATCAAACTGGGGAACTTAGTGTTTGAGAAGCTAATTTACTGTTCAGTTAATGCTATTTTACAATGTTTATAGTATGCTAGTATGCTGTAATATACTTAGCTTAGCAGAGCTAAGACATCCAAAACCTTGAAAGTTGTATTTAGTTTAGTGTTGTACTTTTTATCATTATATTCACCTTTACTCCTTTGGCATATTTTCTAACATAAAATCAGGTTGCGTGACTTAGAAAGTATTAATAAATCTCTGAAGTACTACAAAGATACTTACAATTCATTGGACACTTGGATTCAACAAGTGGAAGATACTCAGCGAAAGATTCAAGAAATTCATCCTGAAAATAGCAAAGCACTGGCTAAACAGCTGAACCAACATAAGGTATGGAAGGGACCTCATTGTAGGAATTTGCTGCTTTGATGACTGGAGATTAAGATACCAGTTGAACCCAATGATGTCAGTCTTATTTCTTGAAATGAGGTGCTTATAACTCTCAGCCTTTATTGTAAAAATCCAAATCATCATCAGCTTTTATATTTTTATGTTCACAGTGCAACTAACATTTTTAATATACCACTCAGTAATTATTACTATTGTATAGACCAGTTTTGGTCCTCAGATTTGCAAACGTAAAACCTTAGAGAGTGCCTAAAATTTTTGACTTACCACCTCATTTTTTTATTTAGTGCTACTCTTGGTAATTATGGACATAGAAATGTATTTGTAACAATAATGCATTTATATAACAAAATGTAACACATTATACGTGTAAAGTGGTATAACCCTAATTTCTTTTAGAGCTTTGATCACCAGGTATTAAGCCTGGCAGGATTTTTTCCACTTCTTTTGTACTGTAAACCAAACAAAACTAGGAAATGGGCTTGAGCTTACAATTACTTGTACACATGTGGAAATGTGTGTATTATGTAATCTGACGTTGTTAGATAAAATAGAAATGCTAATAACAGCAGCCATAAGAAAAGAATCACTTTTTAAGATGAAGATGTATATTCATATTTTACAGATGCTGGTTTCTGAGATTGAGATGAAACAAAGCAAAATAGATGAATGCCAGAAATATGCAGAACAGTACTCAGCTGCTGTGAAGGTAATAAATACTGGTATACTTAAAATCCTTTTATTAGTGTCAGTATCATGTGGAATGCTGAACATTTTGTGTGTTTTATGTTTTTTATAGGACTACGAGTTGCAGACTATGACATACAGGGCTATGGTTGACTCCCAACAAAAATCTCCAGTGAAACGTCGAAGAATGCAAAGCTCATCAGACTTCATTATTCAAGAGGTAAACAAATTTCTTATGATAGGAAAACTGCATCTTTGCTTTAAACTGAGTAAACAAAAGAATGGGATTTAGGATTTGTTAATGAGTAAAAAGAAATTGGAATCAAAGTCAGGATAGGTTCTAGAAAAGTGTTTATCACTTCTTAGAAGGTTAATTCTAGGCAGTTGTCTTTTTACATTATGTGGCATTCAGTGTGAGTGCTTCACTTCTGCCGCCCTTCCATTTTGTTTCTCTGCAGTTCATGGATTTACGGACTCGTTACACTGCCTTAGTGACCCTGATGACGCAGTACATAAAGTTTGCAGGTGATTCTCTGAAAAGACTGGAAGAGGAAGAGGTAGGTCATCTGCTAAAAGACAACCAAACAAAAAGAACAGCTAAGCAAATGAAGAGCAATCTATCTGTTGGAATTCACAAAGTTAGCAGCAGATACAAAAGACCAAATTCCTTATCTACTATGCTCTATACAGTAATGTAGGAGTATCAAATGACAATACTCAGATAAGCAAAACCATATCATCCATACATTTTACCAGTTCTTCCATCTGGAAGGATCATATGGCTTACTAATTTCTGCTGGAGATGCAGTTACATACAGTGCATTTTAATATGGCAGTATTTTAGGGCTCAATCTTTGGGATATTTGCAGACATTAAGCTGAGTATGCATTCTGGTCCACTTACAATATATAAAGGAGACCATTAAACAAGGAGATGCAGTATCCTCTCAAATTTCTTAATTATTTTTGACATGTTTAGATTTTTTTCCTTCTACCTTTCTACTCTACTGATTCCTTAGGGTCAAATAGAATTTTATTAATGTTTAGTGTTGAATCTTATTAGCAAGTGTAGGTTACTGAAATTAAACAGGTAAGTTACTCAGAATACATTCTTGCTGCAGAAATACCATTCCAAATAACCGAGAAATAAAATCAGAATTTTCACTTTCTTCACAAACATGTTTCTCTCGGAAAGTAATTTACTCCCTTAAGGACTATAGTGTTTTAATATAATCTATACACTACAGATCTCTAAAAAAAAAGCCCATGTTATACTCCTATACTTAATTGTGCCCTTATTAAATTTGGTCCTGTGTAACTTACATAAAATTGGAAAACATTCAAAAGTATAATTTTTAATGTTGTTACAGAAAAAAAAACACAGAGTTCTTAAAGGAATTTTTTGTAATTCTAGTGCTGGCTTTGTTTTTATTGCCTTTCTGGCTTTTGAATACCTTTGAACAAACTGTTAATGCTAAGGGAATGCATCTTTGTACATCATTAAAGTGGTGGAGCATGCAAATGGAAATAGATAAGCTTCTTGATAGGTAGCCTGATAATAACTGAGTGTTTAGTCTAACTAACACTACTAACTTTATAATTGATAAAAACTGAAACAAAGAACAGGAATTGAAATGGGGACCAAGAATCCCGTGAATGCTGACAGGCTTCATGCTCCTCAAGAACAAATGGAATCTTTTAAACCCTTCTGAGTCTCCATCTGCTCTGAATCCCCAGGACTGCTTTTTTTTTTTCTTTTGGAAATCAAACACTCTTCATCCAAACCCTGTCCTGCTCCTGAATTCTTCTAAATTTCTGATAGCTTCTTCGAAGATAACCTAAATCAGTTTCAAAAGAGGAATAATAGTATGTTTTGCTTGCATCAGACTTCTGAAATCTGTGGTTGTTGCAAGATTTTCTTTCATGACAGTCTTTCTTCTTAACTCTCGGTAATGGCATTAAGAATGCACAGAATAAAGAAAACTAAGATCCTTTCCATGATATCTCTGTTTAATCCATGTTACTGTCATGCTCAGAGCTTACCAGATGACAGTGAACTCCAGCAGCCTGTGAAGTCAACTGAAGTCTTTGAACGGTTGGCATGTAATGAAGCAGTTGAATTCAGAGAGGAAAATGCACCTAATGAAAGCAAGATGGATGTGGAATATATGCAAAAAGATAACTCTTCAGATAAAGCTAAGCAAACAGAAAATACACTGGAAATTCACAGAAGAAAATTACACAGAGATGACAAAACCGAAGGTGATAGAACGTTAAAAAAAGTTGTAAATCTCAATGATCAAGAAAGTAGCAGTAGTGGCAACAGGGAAAATAAGCCACATACAGAGCAAGATAATGTAATGTTTTTTGGTAATCAAAGTAAAGAAGACAAAAATGATAGAAAAGATTCCATTGTTTCAGCTGAGATCTCTGTGAGTGTGAATAATTATCCTGGTGAAAGGTTAAGTCAGCAAGTTGTTAACGGAGAGAGACAGAAAATAGAGGGAGTGTCAAAAAAATTATCTAAAGTGGAAATAATACATGAAAATAAAGAAAAAAGTTATTCAAGAAAGGCAGGGAGCAGTGTTCCAGCAAAGGAAGGATATGAGATGCAATCAGAAACTAATTTTGAGCTAACAATGAACAACGATGAAGTTATTACAAAAACTGGAGAGCATGCCCAGAGTATCAGCCCTCACAAACAGCAACATTTTTCAGCAGAAACATTTTCTGAATGTCAGACTAAAGAACATTGCTTTACAGAAAGTAGTAGCAACACTACCATGAACTCTGAAGGTAAAGAGTTTCAAGCGTGTGGTGAAGAAGTTGACTCTTTATTAGGTCTAAGGGATGCAGTACCTTTAGAGAAAGTTGCATCTACTTTCAGAGACCTGGGAGTGCACAATGGAAGTGAAAAAATGAAATTAAGTCTGCAGTCTGTGAGTAATCCAGGTAGTTTCTGGTAGTGTTGAAAGGGACGCAAAGGAACTGCACAGAGCATCTCTGGGTAAAAGTTACTTCATAAACCAAAATGAAACTGTAGAAAAATCACATCTAAATCAAAATGAAGCCAGGAGTGCAACACAAGAAATTTTGGCTTTTTCTTCAGGAAATATTTTGGAGGATCAGCATTCAACAGAAGTCTCTCAATCTAATCAATCATTGAATAGCGATCCAAGTTTCAGTACAGAATTGTTGAGAAATGCACCTGACCTTAAATTCCCTCTCAGAAACAATTTCTGGAGGACATAATCATTTTCCATTTTCAGAACATGGATTAGCAAAAAAGGTTTTGAGTCACGAGGAGGAAGTAAGTGAGAGAAAAATATCACAGGGTAAAATTTGTGGTTTGGACAACATAAACATAAGCAGGAAGAAACTGAGTGGAGAGGACAAGTTAGAACAGGATCAGAAAGGTGAAGATTTATTGCTAGTAGCAGAATTGGACAGTAATGATAAAGGTCAGAGCACAAAGGTACCTGGAAAAACCACTGAACTACAGAAAACATTCTGTGAAAACACAGGAAACAAAGACTCACTTGAAAGAAGAAAGGAGACAAAGATAAAAGACAGTGGTAATGAAGATAAAAGGAGCACAACTATAACTGAGGTACCAGAGTTGTTATGCAATGCAAACAGAGAAGTTAAATTAAGAATGATTCTAAACCAATCCAAATCAACATTTGAATCTCAAAATAAGTCAAGGTCAAGTGATTTAAAATTGATTCAATATAATTTAAACAATGAATATACTAATGATATACTAATTACTGTGCATTTTGATTTTATTTATTTTTTTTAGTTTTCATAAATTTATCCATGTTTTATATTACTATTTAATTGTCATCCTCTTCTCCACTCAGCTGATGCTCAGCCATGCCAGTTAGAAATAATGGAAGCTAACAAGATTTAATTTGGGACCGATCTGTATTTTCAGTTAGTTTCAAGCATAATGCATTCGGTTTAGTGCCTACAAGAGCATAAAAAGAGATCGGATAAGACATCACTGTAAATGTTTTGTGTTGGCTAGGATTTGTTCAAAATTGACTGTTTGGAGGGTCAGGGAAAATACAGAGTGAAATTGAAGAAGCTGCCTTTGCATTAGCCTTTTAGGAAATTAGTTTCATGTATCATGTGAAGAAAAAGGTAAATCTGCTAAATTTGAACTACAACATTTAGTTTATTTGAAAATGTTACTGTAATTTCCTTCCGTGCCATGTCTGTATGATCACAGGGATATGGGTGTGTTCTTACCTCATGTTAGCTCACACTAGGTACCTAATGTGATAATTGTGCTAATGAAGGTGAGGTATGTATGGTTTCAACTATATTCTTATGCATTGCTTCTAAGAGTTTGCCTTTACCTGCCAACATGTGGAGGCTACTATCTGGTTTTCACTAGGATTTTTGTAATACCATATTTATATTCTAACTGTGTCTACACCACAGAGCAGCTGTGCTCCTAGTCCCCCAGCTGAGACAGTGGATGTGTTGAGACTGTGGAGTACAGTACAGAACAGAGATGTATTGGGGGATAGTTCCCTTCGTGGTCTTGACGCATCTTGACTCTAGCTCTAAATGCTGTTTCTTTTCTTGGAGATATCCAAACTTCATTGTGAGGTACTTTTGCTTGTGAGCATAAAAAGCTTCCTCTGTTTCCTGCTGTACTGATCCAAAAGCGGTACTTTCTGCTTGGGAATTCTTGTGCATAGTGTTTGGCTCACTGTTTGCTTTACATATCTGTTTGGAGAAAAAGCGTATGCAAGCTGTTTGACTCTGCTAATCACTAAGAGGCATCTGACTGAAGTGAGAGGCTTCAGGACTTCTTCGTTATGCGGATGTCTCTATGAAGGGTTTCATATTTGGCTAATGGTAACTTCCTGAAGCTTACTGTTTCAAGAGAAGGTGATGGTGGTGGGAACTGCTCGTTCTACTTTCTGGATGTACCATGTAATACTGAGTAAGTATTTTCCACTTCGCTTTTAAAAGAGCCTAATGTTTCACATGCTGTATTAGAAAAACTACATTATAACTTGTCGTATTTTTCTACAGATATTAAGGAAGGAGGAGGCATCAGTGCGTGAGGCTTATTCAGATCTAATGGCACAGCAAAATAGCACGACTGATGAGAACAGAAAACTCATGGGAAAGGTAAAAGCACTTGAGGAGTTGTTGGAGGATCTGAAGAAACAAAAATTCCAAGTGGAGCAGGAACTCCCCAAACTGAGGGAAGCTGCAGAAAATGAGCGGAAAAAGCAGCAAAAGGATATGGAAGAGATCTGTCTTCAGAAGACCAAGGCTGAGCAAGAGGCAAAGCAGTGTCGTTTAGATCTAGAGAGCACTGAGAAAGAGAAAGCAGATGCAAAGCAGGAGTTGGAGTGTGTAAGGCAGCTTGTTTTTCAGGCAGAGACTCAAAGAAGTATACTGGAAGAAAACCTCCGAGCTTTTCGAAACCAAATAGAAGAAAGCACCTTTACCAGAAGAAACCTTGAAGAACATCTGAGAAGAAAGGATACTAATCTTCATGATTTAGAGCAACAAAAAAAATCCCTTATGCAGGAGCTGAAGAAAAAAACAGAAGGAGAAGAGAAACTTATGAAACTGATAAAGCAAATGGAGCAAGATCTTGAGTGTAAAGGGAATCTATCAGAAATAAAGCTGAAAGAAAAAGAGAAAACTGAAGCCAGAAGGAAGGTTGTTGAAGGCAGGTACTCTGTAACGAGAGAAACTTCCCTGGCAACTTACACAGCTGGGCAAAGCAGCCAGTGTAAGGCTGATTCTGAAATTACAAGTTTCCAGAGGAAACAAGAAGCAAAAATTGTAGAAGAACTAAAGCAGAAGGTGGATGAACTAAATCTTGCTAACAAGAAAGCTGATAAAACTATTAAAGACCTCAAATATGAACTGAATGAAATTGAGCTTCAAAAATCATCAACAGAAGAAAAGTCTCGTTTATTAAAAGAAAAATTAGATGAAGTCAATAGTGAACTTAAATGCCTAAAAATTAAGTTGGAGGAAAAAGACCAAGTAGAGCAGGGATATTTGCAACAGTTGAAAGAACTGGACAAACAGTTACATAGAACTACAGGTAAAGCTGAAGAGGTGATGCAGGAAGCTATAGATCTTAAGAAAATTAAGATGAACTATCAGGAGGAGCTGAAATCTGTTCATCAGGAAAAGGCACATCTAAAAAGAGAAGTAGAGGAATTAACTAGATCACAGGCAAAAACTGAAATCACTATCAAACATTTAAATTCACAAATCAGTTCTCTTCAAAAAGAGAAGCTGGCAGCTGAGCACAGAACACAGTCGTGCAAAGGAGAAGCAAGTAATCTTCAGGACAAATATAAGAAAATACAGGAAGAATTGCTTCAAAAAACAAAAGTAGAAAAAGAGTACCAGCATGAAATCCAGATGCTGAAGAATGAATTAGCCAAAAGTAATCATGTGTCAGAAACATTGAAACGAAAGATAGAGGACCTTAATAAATGGAACACTGAAACAAAACTACTAATGAAGCAAATTCAGTCTGAGTCAGAGAAGATGACTTTGGAAAAACAAAGTATTCAGAGGAAAAATGATGCGTTAAAAAGCCTAGCAGATGGTTTCAAAGAGCAACTGCGTACAACAAATGAACAATTGCACAAGCAAACAATAATGGAGCAAGAATTCCTATGTAAAATCAAAAGTCTAGAAGATGATCTAGCAAAAACAAAAGATTTAGCTAGTGAATATAAACAAAAATGTGATAAACAAAGTGCTTCCACCCTAACCATTGACCTGGAGATTAAAAATCTAAATGCCCAAATGTGTGCTCTAACTACAGAAAAGAAAATGAGTGAACAGAAAATACAACTACAGGAAGTTCATATACAAGAACTAAGTAGTAAATTAAAAAAATTACAAGATGAACTCCACCAGAAGACTCTGGATGAACAAATGGCACGCAAGAAAATGATTCTGTTTCAGGAAGAATCAATCAAGTTTAAACACTCTGCAGAGGAATTTAGGAAAAAAGTGGAAAAATTACTGGAATCTCATAGCAACACAGAAAAGGATATTTCTGGCATAAAACTAGAGTGTGTTGCTCTTCAGCAGGAAAAGCATATGGCTGAGGAAAACATCATGTTGTACAAAAAACAGATTGAAGATCTGCAAGAAAGGCTTAAAAAAAGTCATGAGCAACTGCAGCAAGGGAAGCATGCTGAAATGGACTATCACCAGAAGTGCAGGAAACTTGAGGAAGAGTTGGAAGTGCAGAAGCGCTTGGTTGAGGGCTTGAAACAGAAAATGGACTTGCAGGTCAAGGAGAGTGAACACAGATTTCTTTTGTTTCAGAATGAAGTTCAGCAAAATAATAAATTCAAAGATTGTGGATTTAACTTGAGCTGTGAGAGAAGAGGGAATTACTTGAATGACACCTCAGCTAGAGAATTTGAACAACTTCTTCCACATGCAAAACCTCACTCACCTTTGTTCAGGCAGAAACAGGAGAGGTCAGGCTTTACGACTGGTCAAATAGAAGAAAATACGCTGTATGTGAGTGCTGATGATACCATACCAAAGGAGGTGCAGTTCCAGATGTCGAGAATAAACCAATCACTTGAAGATGGAAACCCACAGTCTTTTACAGAGTTTGTTTCTCAGACGAGTACACAGTTCCAGATAACTTTTGATAAAGCAAGCGAAATCAGTGGAACATCTGAAAGAGACAAATTAAGAAACAGGAACCTACACAGTTCCAGACAAACTATTAGGCCTGGAGAAGACATGAAACATGAATTAGGATTAGTAAAACTGCATCCCTTGGAGGTATACACTACATTTTGTGAGGGTTTGCCTTCCTAATACTGTTTTTTACTACTCTATTTCATATTTTTAGTTACGCTTTACACTGTTCTGTATTCTCTTTCACGTTTCATATGTTCTTACCTTGGTGAAGGGTACACCTTCATTTTCACATTATACAAGCTTTTCATTAAATCTTTGTGGCAGGCTCGTTAATATCTATGAAACACTTTATTTTTCATGTCTTGTTGGAAATAGAAATTCACATACACTGTTCATCATTACTGGTTGAAATGAGCTTTGATTAACAGTGGTAAGTTCACATAGTAACAACAAGTGTTGCTTAGTCTACTCCTATTCTCGTTGCTGAATAAATATTTGAAACGGTGAATGCATTTTAAAACTCCAGCTACCTATATTTCTGTGCTGTCCAATGCTAATAGCAGCTCCCCTTTCCAACATGCTCAAGTTCTCCCTTTTGTTGCTCTGGTGGTGGATTTAGGAGTGGATTATGTACAGCATAGTTCTGCAGATCTGTTTCTCACTGTGCAAAATTCCTATTTACAGATAGTGAAGAACAAGCAGTATGACATGCATGTTGAAGTTACAACATTAAAACAAGAAAATGACAAGACTTTTGGTAATGAAGACAGAATGTTTGAGGGATACAAAACATCTGAAGGGTTTAGGAGAGACGACTTTGCAAAGATGAATTCTTTCTTAGGGGAAGAGATTTTGAGAACTGCTGATGATACTCAGTTGGAATATTTTACAGAGGAGTACGATGATATTAAATTTCAAGGTCTCCGACATGATGTGACTGCCAGACAGTTGGCTGAAGTTAAACTTTTAGACAGACTTACAATTGAGGAGCTCCGTTCTGGGCAGAAAACTACTAATGAGGTTCAGAAAAGTCTTGAAAAATTTTTAACTAAACCTACAGCTATAGCTGGGCTGTACCTTGAATCCAGCAAAGAAATAATCTCTTTTGCTTTAGCGGTAAAGAAAAGAATCATAGGGAAAGTGTTGGCATTAGCATTTTTAGAGGCCCAAGCAGCTACTGGTTTCATCATTGATCCTACGACAGGTCAGAAATTCTCTGCTGATGATTCAGTTGGTATGGGGCTGGCAGATAATGAATTCAAGAGTAGATTGCATGAGGCAGAGAAAGCTGTTTTGGGTTATTGCTGTTCTGGTAAAGTGCTATCTGTGTATCAGGCTATGGAAGCTCGACTTGTAGAAAGACAAAAAGGTAAAAATATCCTTGAAGCTCAAATTGCAAGTGGGGGGGTCATTGATCCCGTAAGAAGTGTTCGTGTACCTCCAGAAACTGCAGTGCAGCTTGGCTTGCTTAGTAACACAATTTTAAAGTTTTTGCATGAGCCCTCTAGTAATGCAAAATGCTTTCACAATCCAAATAACAGGAAAGCTATGTACTACTGCGATTTGCTGAAAATGTGTTTGTTCAGTGTAAGCAGTAAATGTTTTCTGCTTCCAGTTGGTGAAAGGAAAATAAGCAGCCCATCTGCAGAGAAAAGTCATAAAATTTCTGTAATAGACATCAAAACAGGAGCTGAAATGACTTCTTATGAGGCTTATCAGAAAAAATGTGTTGATAAAGCTACATATCTTGAGCTTTCAAAACAGGAATTTGATTGGAAGGAGTCTACATGTTTTGACTCAGATGGGAATTCTTTTCTTTTGCTTACTGATCTTAAAACTGGTGTACAGTTTAATATCGAGGAGACCTTAAATCAGGGTAGAATTGACAGAGCAGTAGTCAATAAATATAAGGAGGGTTTAATCACAATTAATGAGTTTGGAGATATTTTACTTACCAGTTCACAACCAAATAAAGATTTAAGGAGTCCTATTGCAGGATTTTGGCTTTCTGAAACCAATGAAAGAATTCCAGTTTTAAAAGCGTCGCGCAAAAACCTGGTAGATAGAGTTACTGCTCTCCGGTGTCTTGAAGCTCAGGTTAGTACAGGAGGCATAATCGATCCATTTACTGGGAAAAAGTACAGTGTTTCAGAAGCTCTACAAAGGGAGTTAATTGATGATGGTTGTGCCAAGCAAATTCAGCAGTGTGAACTAATCTTTACTGGGATCATTCACCCCGTAAGGAATACAGTTATGTCAGCTGTGGAAGCTATGAGTGTAAATGCCCTAGACAAGGAAATGGGTATGCGCTGCCTGGAGTATCAGTACCTGACTGGTGGGTTGATAGATCCAAAATCTCACTCCAGATTAACAATGGAAGATGCAATTAAGAGTGGTGTTATTGATGCTGTCACAGCTACGAAGATGAAAGATGAAAAATTGTATGTTAAAGTTATAACATGCCCCAAAACAAAGAAGAAGTTAACCTACAAAGAAGCTTTAGAGAGAGCTGTTTTTGATTGCCACACTGGACTACGATTGTTAGAAGCTACTCAACCCATGAAAACGGGCATTTCTAGTCTATATTATGCTTCATAATGGAACAAGACGTTAGTGGTCGTTTGGGGTCTGACTTAAAGTCAATTCAAGTCAAGGAAAAGATCTATGACTATTATGAAAAGTTATAGATGGTATTGTCTAATGTAGTCATGAGTTGCTTTAAAACTAATTAATATAAGCCACTAATTAGTATAAACCAGTAACCTGTAATTAGCTATTACTTTTCATAAAGTTTATTTTTTTAGGTAAACTTAGGTAAACTCCTAATTTCAAAATGCAGACTGTATTCAGTGTTTACCTGAAGGCCATATCTGACATAGCGTACATGTAGGTATTATAAAACAGAAGTTATACTGAGGTTGGTGGAGTTAACATGAGTGCGAAATACGTACATTTAAGTGAGATGAGAATTCACATTTTTATATTAAAAACTTAAAGAGATTTCCCACTTTGTGAATAAAGACAGTGCAGTATTTCATACAATGCACTTACTTCATTTAATATTAAAAATCACTTTGCAAATATAATTTATTGTACAAAGGTGAAAAAATACTATAGAAGGGCTAAATCTGCAGTAGAGTAAGCGCTTAATGCATAAATAGTTTTTCCCATGATAGTATTTCATACATTTTAAAAGGCTACTCACATCACAAAATTGCATATCCATTTTTTTCACACTTCAGGTAACTTTTTTGATATGTTTTTTCAAAACTTTAATAGGGAAATGAATTACTATTACATATCCAATTAATAAAAATACCATTGAAATAGAATGTCTTCATTTTTACTTCTTCAAGGTCTTCATTTTATTTGTGGAAGCACTTCATTTTTACATGAAAGTGCTTAGATGTGTTTTCTAAGTACTGCTAAATTTAAAACTACTAACAGGTCATGTTACTATTAAAAGATATATGTATTTTTCCATGCAGAAAAAGATGAAATGTGTCAGCATTTTACTTTTATTGTCCTTGTTTCTGTAGACATAGAAGCAATGTATTCTTCCTAACTGTAATTTAGTAATCCGTGTTCATAGATTATAAAATACTGGTATCCTGTGTTGGCTTTAAATATCCATACCTGAGGGTAATGCAAAGGCAGCAATTCAAAGATAGTTTATGTGCAAATGTTGTTTAGATTTTATCTGCTGAGTAATGGCTGGAAAGCTATACTTTTTTTTTACATATCAATCATTTTATAATGAATGTACATGTATGTGATTAAGCACCATAATCATAATTACAAATCTTTTGAGGAATTATTCTCTTAATGTGTATAATTATGTGGCATTTTTGTTCTTACATCAAAGTGTTGCATAATGCATACTGGTGATAAATAAAAAGAAATTGCTTTACGGTTATGTGATGATACTGCCATTGTGGTAGAATTGTGTTTCTATGGATGTGAATGTTAAATATTCCAACAATTTGCATTTACATGTTTTTTTTACAATTCGTGGTGCTTGTCAGAAGTCAATGGAAGAAGAAAAGAAGGAACATGTTGAGAAAGCTGGGGATTTGCTGAAATGGGTGTCAAACCTAAGCAAGACACTCAGCAAAGAAGGAGGAGAAAAGGCTGAAAAGACAGATTTGCCTAAGCAGCAGGTACATAGATGTGTTTTGGTAAAATAGCACTTCCCCTTTTTATTTTTTTTGTGTTGATTAAAATGATAAAATATTCCATAATTATTTTTTTTCTCCAAATCACCATCCACACTTTACTAAGGATGTAATTTCACGTTTTGTTGTGAGTGGAGGATTGGATAAATGTTCACACAAACACGTTACTCAGGAACAATTGCAAGCTGCCTTTCACACTCCCGGAGTGTGATATATTCTGACAGTACAAAGTCTCAATTTAGAGAACCTATACCCTGCATACCATAATCCAACCATTGTAGAGGGACAATGCATCCTGGCAAGGTGGCACTTTGTAGGTCTGCTGCCTGGTCCTGACATAGTTCAGTGAATGAGCCTGGTGAATTCTACCCTAGCACCAGGAGAAAGTTGGCAGGAGGGGCCTGTGGGCCAGGTTTGTTTTTATTTGCTATTAAAAAGTTATCTTGAGGGGTCCTCTTATGGGTTGGTTATGAGATGGTAGTTGAAACTCTTTGAACAGATGCACGCTCCTCTTCAAATCTGCTGCCTTAGGGAATCCAGAGGGTGTCAGCTGGGCCCTCTTTGCTGCCATGCTAGTAGTCCACAGGCTGCTGGAGGGGCCCATCATGCCTTCTTTGTATTTGGTAGGTCTGTTGTTGTGCACAGTTGTTACTCTGACCGTGCATTTACATTTGTGAAGTTTCATGTCATTTCTAGTAGCTCCCCTGCCAGGTTTGTCACACAAAATAGCTTAGTGACACCTAAAAGGATTTCCACAAGTGAAGGCCCACCTGCCCACTTCACAGCAGAGAAATGAAGCACTGTCTTTTACACATCCCTCAGATGTAGGCTGGATATGTAGTCATGCAAACATGATTTTGGCCCGTCTTTTAAGCCGCCTGTTCCTGTGTTTTTATTTTGGTCATGGGCACTGGTGCCAGTTAGGGGGGCAGCATGTACAGGAGTCAAGCTTCCCATCAGGCAGGATGGCAGCTCTGCAGCCCCCACCTGCCACCAGTCCCAGTGTGCTGCTTGTTCATACAGGCTGTGCGCACTCTACTACCAAAGTGCAGACCTGTTTGAGGCACTAGTGCTAGTTCTGTTAGCGACAGAAAACATTCAGTTCTGGTCTTCTTATACTCTTGATGGCTTTGATGAAAACCACTTGTCAGCATTGGGCCAGTGTCCAGCAACTTTGAGCATTTCAGTCTGCCATGGTGACTACAGGTGGCATCTTCCCTGTTCAGCTTTAGCTATTTATGTATTTATTTATTTATTATTTAGCTGTTTAGAAAATAACCTATGAGTTAGCAGCCTTGGCTTCCTCCTGCCTATGGGCGGCAGCCATTTCCTGAGGGTGTTTCCATTACGGCCTATGAGGTAGAAGGCACCTTCCAAAGGTGCCTGGTTTTGTCTCCACTCCTAGTACAGGTGCCTAGACAAGTTTTGTAAAAACTCGGTAACTAATTTTTTATATATTTTTTTGTTTTGTTTTGGTAACTAATGTTAGCTGAAAAATGTTTCGCACAGATGCCTGGGGGCTATAGAGTGTAGCCCTAGTGGGAGGGGAAGCTGCTGCCAGTAGTGGCACAGCGCAAGCAGGAACCGTCATGATGCCAGTGCCCCAAGGAAGGGGGAGCCCGTGACCCCACCTCATCCTGCTCATATCATCTCATATTATGCATACTGTGCTTGCTGTCTGTGTTTTTGTTCAAGCAGCATGAATAGTGGCATTGTAGGTCACTGGTACTGAATGTAAAGGGAGACTATGTTGAAGATCAGTTGTGTCCCAACCCATGTGAAAACAGGACCCAAGCCCCTTACTAGCATTCACTTACACCTGCGTTGAACGTACTCCCAGCTTGTTAATGAAGTCCTGGACACCCCTCAGTACTGTCTCTTTGCTTAACCAAAATCAAAGGTAGTGCTTTTGTCTGAAGAACTGAAGGCAGTTTCTCAGAAAACTTAAAAGATGAAATTCTTGCAAGTTCCTCTGTCAGAACTAGTACGTGAGTGGGGATGACACAGAAATGACAGGAGGATATTAATAAATATTTTATATTTATTAAAATTTCAATAATTCATTTTTTCTAAGTAATACTGCATTTGTGTCTGTTACAGAATTTCATGAAAGTCTGTGGCCTTCTGCTATTTTTTTTTATTTTTTATTACTCTTATGGTAATGCACAACTTCTTGATCATGACCATTGTATGCATATCTTTGTAAATTTGCTTTAAACTGTACCAAATACTAAGTGGTTTTAAGTGCTTAAGTTTCAAACAATAACATTCTAAAATAAATTCTGTTTGTCTCACCAAATAGTTTTCCATCTCAGGTTATTTTACCAAAAGACTTAGTGTAATGACTTATCCATACGTATATGATACAACTTAATTCTAAGAACAGTCCCTACTAGTTCTAAGAATAGCCCCTATTTTTAATAAAAATTTCCAGTTCCTTTGCTGTTGAGTTTTGTTGTACATGGAAATATTATGTTGTTTGTTTGTTTCTCTTTTTATACAGATGCATAGTGAAGTCTTAAACAGAGGTTGTTTATTTTTCAGGTTTCCCTTGATGAAATGTCAACCAAGAAGGAACAAATAGCTGAAGCTCTGCAGACTATTCAAGCATTTTTAGCTAAGCACAGTGACAAGTATGCCATTTCTATGCTTTTATTTTTCAAATAACATAAATTACTGTAATCAGCATATACTATTTGCTTAAAAAGAAACCATATTCTCATGTGACAGAGTCAATTGTGCTATATGTAGACATACAGGTGGTTATTGTTGTTCTTCTCTGTTTGTTTTATAATTTTGACTTCTCATTCTGGTAAAACCTTGATTTGGTTTTATTTATTACAATAATTCTGTTATGTTTATGCACCTCTGGTCAGCTTAAAAAATGTTAGATTGTAATTTTAATTTGAAGTCAAAATAATTAACAAAACAGTACTACATACTATATATATAACAAGTTTGTTTCATTTGCATCTAAAATCATATTATTTAAGATAAATTGCTGGGATAATTCATGTCTTCATTGGTAATAAGTAGACAAAGGCACATGCAAATGGTAAATGCCTTAGCAAAGGCATTTAAAGTAAATTGTAGATGATTTTAACCTCTTGTCCAGAGTAGCTATATATCTTGAACATCCTCTTAATTAAACTATATTTTTTCAGACTACTTTTATAAATCTTCTCCTTCCACCTCTCCCCAACCTCTCACTGCCCCCCCCCTTTTTTTTTAAGTTAAAGGTAACCTGATCGCTCCCTGCAGCTAAGGCCAATGGCATCCTGTGCTGCATTAGGAAGAGCGTTGCCAGCAGGTCAAGGGAGGTGATCCTCCCCCTCTGCTCAGCCCTGTTGAGGCTTCACCTGGAGTACTGTGTCCAGTTCTGGACACCCCAGTACAAGAGAAATATGGAGCCCCTGGAGCAAGTCCAGCGAAAGGCTACTAAAATGATTAAGGGAGTGGGAGTATGTATGTACGAGGAAAAGCCTGTTCAGCCTGATTAATGTGCTCTAGGGGACCCTGCCTGAGGAGGGAGGTTGGACTAGATGGTCTCCAGAGATCCCTTCCAACCTTAACCATTCTGTGATTCTGTCACAAGTTATCAAGAGATCTCCTTTCCCCTTTTTTATTTCTGTTTTAATAGAATGACAGATGAAGAGAGGAATGAAATGGAAAAACAAGTCAGATCCCTTCAGGAGAGCTACAGCTTATTATCCAATGAAGCTTTGAAGCAGCTGCAGGAAGCACAGTATTTGGATGATGAAAAGATGGAAGAAAAGGTAACAAGATGGAAACTCACATTTCAAGCTTTCTTGAGTGTTACTGCATGGTTGTGGAACCATACATGATGAGTAAAAGATGAAGCTGTAATTAACAGCCTGTGTGTAAAGGAACTTGAGATTTAACTGACTGATGGTTTTGTGTATTTGGTATAAAATACTGTGTGTTACCTTACCTGTGCATATGAATATTCTGCTCATCAGGGTGTGTTTTTTTTGTGAAGAGTCTTAATAATGTGTGCCTTGCATGAAGAAAGATAAACATATCATTCATCTCTTAACTCTTCTCTTAAAAGCCATTCTTTGACTGCTACATAAATCTGCGTTTGTGCTGCAAAAAGGACACCATAAAATAACATGTTAATCTTTCCAATATATCACTCAGAAGTGTCCCAGAAGGGATCTACTTTCAGTTTTTCTTAAAATTTATCTGGACGTAAATATGGGAGTACATAACGTTAATAACTCTGAGACACTGCAAATACATTTGTTAATGGATCTACAAATACATGTGTTAATGGATCTCAATCATAAATATGGGATTCTCAAAAAAATGTTGCAAATGAGTATTCTCATATACATTTATGGGCAGCGTCTGTGTAATTAGTTTAAATAGTGTTGCCAAACTGACTTCATACTTTCCATGCAAACTAAATGCAGTATTTGGTGCTAGAATATCTGGTTCCATATTGTTGAGCGTATATACAGAAGTGCTGTATGCTGTAAACATGAATAGCATGGTTGTTTTGAATCACGTACTGTTTCTGAATATTCTAACCTTTCACAGACATTTAGAGCATGAAAATTTGCCTTTCAGGTACATGTTCTGTTTGCTCACTCTGCAATCATCTCTTCTATTGTCTTTCACTAACCCTATTTATGTATGCAAAGCATAGGTTTTCAATTCACAGATGCATGTTGATTTTAAACCTTTTATCACATCGTGTGCTGTTCAATGACTGACATAGATCACTTGCGCGTTTGAGCTGCTAACATTCACAGCATTCATCCAGTGCTGGTAAGTACACATTTTTATGCTTATCATGCATTCAAAAGAAAAAAAAAAAATTTAAAATATTAAGATTTGTCTAAAAATAGTGATAGCTGTTCTTTTATATTCCTTTTTAGGTGAATAATGTCATTGCTGGTATCATTGACCAAACAACTGGAGAAGTCCTTTCAGTTTTTCAGTCTGTTCTAAAAGGTTTTATTGACTATGACACTGGAGTTAGATTGCTCGAAAATCAGCTGATCCTCACTGGAATCATTTCTCCAGAATCAGGAGTATGTTATGATTTGGAAGAAGCTAAAGCTCATGCCTTAATTGATCAGCAGACTCTGTTGCAGTTGCAGGAATTAAATAATGCAAAGAAACTTATTTCAGAATCATCATTATCAAACCTTCCAGTTGTGTCAGCTTTAGAACAAGGTCTAATTTCAGAACCTTTAGCTATTAAGATTCTTGAGAATCAGCTTTCAAGTGGGCACTTGATTTTGCCATCTACTGGAGAGCACCTGACTTTGCAGAGTGCTTTCCAGAGAAACCTGATTTCTCCAACATTATATGCAAAGCTTCTGGAAAAAGACACTTGTAAAGATCTCATAGACCCTAACTGTGCTGAAAAGATTTCCCTTGAACAGATGGTTCATAGAAGCATAATACATGAAGAAACAGGGTTAAGACTCTTACCTGTGAAACCACAAGAAAAAGGTAGAATCACATTCAAATGTGGAAGGAAGATAACTATTTTGAGGGCAGCCCATGAAGGACTCATCGACCGGGAAACAATGTTCAGGCTGCTGGGGGCTCAGATGATGTCTGGAGGTATAATTGACCCTGACTCAGGGAAACGACTGACTGTGGAAGAGGCAATGAAACAAGGGATGATAGATCAGGACACCGCTTGTGGGATCCTCACACATCAGGTTCAGGCTGGTGGAATCCTTTGTCCAAATTCAGGCCAACGCTTGACTGTTGATGAAGCTGTACAATGCAATTTAATATCATCAACCAGTGCACTGCTGGTATTAGAAGCACAGAGAGGCTTTGTTGGACTTATATGGCCTCACACGGGTGAAATATTCCCAATATCAACTTCTTTGCACCAAGAGATGATAACAAATGAGCTGGCATTCAAAATACTAAATGATAGGCAGAAAATAGCTGCACTTTATATTCCAGAAACTTGTGAAGTACTCGGTCTAGATCAGGCTGCACAGTCAGGGTTAATAGATATCAATACTGTGTCTGTTCTGAACAGTGTGATTTTACCAGATAAAATGCCCAGTGTAGAAGAATTAGAATCCCCTTGTAAAAATGTTGCAAAATGGTTATCAACATATGAGCTCTTGCCATCTGTATTTCATGACTGTGAGGAAGAACACGAAGATTCTGGCACACAAGACCCTGTATGTCGTAATACAGATCAAGCTAAGAAGTTATTCATATCTTATCTGATGGTAAATAGTTATATGGATGCAAACACTGGAAGAAGACTTTTATTGTATGATGGACAACTGCAAGAAGCCATCAGTATGTTGCTGGAAGGGGATATTTCTTCGTACAATATTGATGAAAATGAGTTTAGCCCTAAAGGAATTAATCAAAAGTCAGCTGACGATGTCCATTTTAGTAATATTGCGGGCAATGTTCAAGGTGGTCTTTTAGGTGTTGAAAGCACTTCTAATGACAGAAAGTTAATTCAGTTTGATGATTTAGGGAATGATAAATGTTTACAGGAAAAAGATGTCCATGTGTGTAGATCAGATGTTTGCAATACTAGTGGTACTGAGCAATCCGAATATGCACAGGAGATGTTGGTAACTAAACCTCCAGAACTTAGAAATGTAGAAAGTAGCACTCAAAATTCCACGGACAGAAATGTGCTCAAAGGTCTTCTGGAGGATTCTGAGTGGATGCAGGTAGAGCTGTGTAAGCATAATGATCAGAAAGCAAATTCAGGAAACATTGAAGGATTTCTTCTAAATGACTCAAATCCAAATCTTTTTTCAGAAACAGGGAAAGAGGATATTCTTTTGGCAGACAGTCTGTGTAAGGAAAACAGTAATGATAAAACCTTACAAAAGGCCTCGAGTGTGACTGACTTGTCAGATAGTAAAATCTGGAGAGACGTGGAAAGGTGCATGCAATATGAGCCTCACGTACTAGAAGGTGACAGTTTTAGAATGGTGCTGGATAATGGAAAGAAAGATGACTTTCAGAGGAGTTTTGGTTCATCTATCAGTGCAGATACTGAATATAGGCTTCCAGAAGAATCAGAGAGCCGATGTGGTCACACGCTACAGTTAGAAGATAATGGATATAGTGAGCAACCTCTACCGGGCTCCACTGATGTGTATAACAGGGCATCCCTAGAGGACCATCCCTACAGACATGGCAGGCCGTCTCTGGAGGGTTGTACTGATTTGCCACATAAGCTTTGTCTAGAAGATGGTAGAGACATACAGTGGACACCCTTGTTGGAAAGCAATACTGTTACACACGACGGACCTTCTGTGGGGGACAGTAACAGCACAGCACAAAGTCTAGCAATAGAAGAAGGCGATCTGCCATTTGACAGGTTATTACCAGGTAGTAGTTCTGACTCATCACTGGAAGGCAGTGATAGCATCCCACAGTTGGAAAGTAACCACTTGGAGCATGAATATGGTGAGGTAGCCTCTGAAGGGGACAGCTCGCTGTTTGATGACGACGACGACGATGCCTACGAAACTCCTCAGGTTGATGATGATGACAGTGATGTCTATGGTTCTCCACAAATTGATGATGACGAGTCCTATGACACCCCTCAAGGTGATGATGATTTTGATACCTTGCAGTTAAGGGATGTTGATACACCAGAGCCAGAGAATGTTCCATTGGGAAAAGAGGAGGGCGGTGGTCTGATAGCTCTGGGAAAAGAGAACAACTCTTTTCAAGAACTTCCAATTAGTGCTGGAGAGAATGGCCATTACTTAAGGGATGTAAATCTGATAGGTCTACCTGACAGCATAAATACAGCTTCTGCAAGGGCTGAAATGTTGGAAACAGTCCTTGAGGAGGAAAGGGAAAGAATAGGGGGCTTTGGAGAGAAGCAAAAACTACCAGTTACTCTGGAGAGTGAAGGAAGAAAGGAGGAATGCCTCACTTCTTTATTGAATTTGTATGAAACAAACGTACAGCGAGACAGAAATGAGGATGAAATGAAAGCAGAAAGCACCTCCAGTGAGGATGAATCTGAAGGAACACAGGAGGAGGAAGATTATGATTATGACTGTATTGATTATGATAGTTACGACGACTCTGATACTGATTCTGACAGTGATGAAGAAATGGATACTTTTTACTCACACCATCAATGTAAAAACAAAGATGAGCAGCTGTTAATTTCTGTAGGAGACATAGAAAATAGTGACGAAAATAAACAGGATATTGATGACTTTTGCTATTCTTTAGGCCACCAGACAGGGTACAGTTTGCAATTCCAGTCCAACCATGGCAATAGAAAACTGTCCTTGGGAAAATGTGAAGCTTCATCGGATGTTTGTGAGGAAAGATGTGTTGGTGTCACATGTACAAGCAAAGAAGAAAGACAACAGAAAACAGAAAACGAATATGGGATTTATGTCGAAAGTAAACACATGTCACAAGATCCTACAGAGCATATTCGGTCTGAAAATACCTTTGACACTAAATGGATGTCCTGTAAGAGTGAAGAAAGCAATAGAACACAGATTCTTGATGATACTATGACATCTGACATTAATGTAACACCATTCCTAATTACAAAGCAACCGAATGGTGATGATGAAAGTACTCAGACGAATATGCTTCTCTCTGAATGCTTTACTGAGAGCATGAACAAAACCAATAATACTATGCCAATATTACACTCAAGTCATGGACAAAGACAAAGAGAAGCAGTATTTGCAGAGAAAAAAATATTAAATGACATGGCTGGTATGGAACAACTAAAGGCAAGTTCATCCCAAAAGGACACTGAATTCCTCACAGATGTGCCTTATCCAAGTGATGATAGCTCACTTCGTGACCAGGTAGACCCAATTACCAACAGGAAGCATGATCAAATAGGAGAAGGTTTTGAAATTCGTGCAGAAAATAAAGATAGAGAAAATATTATAAAGGAATGTGATATTATGGAGCTAAGTAAAAGTCCCATACTTATGGAAAGTCTTGGGGAAATATTTGATGCATCAGCAACTAAGGCTGATAGAGAAAATCCTAATTCAAGTAAAGAAAAAGTAAATATTGGCCAGATTTTGCCCGACATTGGGGAGACAGTTGTCTGTCAAAGTACTGACAGTGTTCATAAAGACATCTCAGAAAACAGGAGTAGCAGTGATAATGAACTTACCCTTACAAAAGCAGGTGCTTTAGGAAGCACTGAGGATGCCAAAGAATCAGGGGATGGGATTGTTGTGCTACCTTCTGGGAATCATACACATACCACTGATGCTTCTTCTGCAATTCTGAGCAGCGTAGGGGCTGACTTGATTAATGTTGACCAGAAAGAATATGAAGGGCTGAAAAACACAAAGGGTGAGTTCCTGTCCAGTGAGACTTCTTCCTTTGAAAGTGGTTTCAAAAAACAAATGTCCATGGAATCATTACAAACGGAAATAGGACCTTGCAAAGATTTCCAAGTAAAGAAGGGCTTTTCACAGTCACCAGAAGTGTCTGACACACTAATGGAAGACTTAAAGAATATATTACAAAGGAAATTGAAGGTGGGACATATTTACTGCAAGGAAGAGGGTGAACCCCTAAGTTACTCTGATACCAAAACTCTGATGCAAAATTTACTTGCAATGGTTAGAAGCACCCAGCCTGGAAGCAGCATGTCTTGTGAGTCAAATCTTAGTCAAACAAGCAGTACTGTTAGAACAGCATTAATGGTTACTACACCACCCACAGAGCCGAAGGACAGCGATGCTCTTTCCTTGCTCTGGCCTGATTGCAGAAGTCCTGATCTTCTTCGTGATATCCTGAAGCAGGAATCCTGTAAGCAAAAGATGGATGATCCAAAAGAAATGAAGAGTGAAATAGACCAAAAGGTGAAAGGTCCTGTTCCAAAACTTAGGACTTCTGAGCTTACGGAGATTTTTCAAATGTCATCTGGAGATGAATGTACAAGCAAGTTAGAGGAGCTGATAAGTGGTTTGCTTACGAGCTCACAGGTTGCTGGCATCACCACAGGACATGAAGGTAAAGGCAAAGTAGATGGGCTTTGTACTCTTTTCTCCACAGAACAACCAGAGTTTGGATCTGAAATTCCTAAAGAGAAAACATTGGCAGATGACATAGCTGTTGCTTGGAAAATTGACCAGGAGCATGAGAAGACAGACAGCCTTTCCAAAGGTGTTACTGAACCTGCTTACAAAAGCAAAGAAGCAGTCCTGGCTGACAACCTCACTAGCATGGTAAGTAACAGCAGCTGGTACGTGTTATGTTTCCTGTGTTAAAGGAATCGCATGAATCCTTCTAATTGCTGGAGAGAATAATTAAACTGGAATAATGGTTACAAAAATAAATAAATAAATTTAAAACAAATTAAAAGGATTTTTATTGCTTATTTTTGGTCTGCCAATTTGGAAAAACTTTTCTTATTGTTAAAACACATTTTTAGGTCGATGGAGTACAGAAATGTTTCAAGTTAACAGAGAAAATGAGAGAACATTTGACGGTGCTTCAAGAAATGAAAAGCCACCTAGATAACCAGAAAGCTATTAGTAGCAACCTGGAAATACTAAAAGAACAATTAGAACAACTAGAGGTCAGTAAAGTGTTCTTTATGCTAGCACTTCAGTGATGGGAGCTAGAAAAAGACCTCAGACGAGGGGAAAAAAATGTGAGATTTCAAATATAATTAAAATAAATCAGATGTAAATTTCTTTCTTGCATAGTAGCTTAATGCATTGTATATATATTCTCTTTGCAGTCATTTGAATCTGGATTGGCTACCTTTGCAATTATCTTAAAAAAGGATACAAAGTTGACAGAAGAGTTTTTAAAGTTTAATCACAAGGATGTTCCCCAAGAGAAACTTCAAGAGCTAAAGATAAGCTATGACTATCTGCAGGAAGCATTTTTGGTGGTCTGTGATGCATCTTCAAAACGAGCAAAACAAATAGTCTGTGCTATTGACTCAGAAATGGTATGTTTTTATCACTGTACATCTGTATATTTTGTCTTGCTTTTCTTAAGGTAGTTCAGCTAAAAAAATAAGGGTTTTGTTTTATCTGAACATAAAGTACGTGTATGATTCCATTTAACATGTGAATGAAAATGTGACTGGACTCTGGGGGCATAAATAAATACACAATTTCCCTTTCTAGTCTAAGCTTGCAGAATCACATCAGCAACTTTTAAGCAAACTCCAGAGATTTTCGGACTGGATCTCAGAACACAGTAAAATCGTGAATGACTTCACAGTGAATACTAATGACATTGAAGATATGAAGCAAAGTTTACAACTACTCAAAGTATGTATTCTTTATAGCAGATGTTGGTGCTTCTAGCAAATGTTACTTCTTGTTACGAACTTTTAGCTAGTTTTTGTATAGCTGCTCATTAACCTCTATTGCTTAATCAGACGTTTAGAGCTCATTACTTAAGAATACAATTACTCAATGATCCATTAGAAAAGTATTATTGATTTGCTTTTTCTCCTTAAAATTTTTTGCAGTCTGTCTTAGTGAGAAGATTATTGGTTCTCCTTATATTTGTTGTAATAAATCTCATCCTTTTTTGAAAATCTAGTTTATGTTACAGATATTTTAATTATTACAATTAAATCTTTAAAAAAAGATCTGGATTCTATACTAAAGCTTAGTTACCTTCCAAATCAATTACATGTAAGAGAAGATGGGTAAAAATAAAAATCCCCTTCATTTCCCACTTTGTTGAAATGAGTTATGAAAAACAAATCAGATCAAGTTTTTAGTGGTGTTCATACAGTATTATACTGTATGTATATATTACTTCTGTATGTATGAATGTTAAAAATGACATTATTTTACTGTGCTTTAATGGTGTTCCAGTATGTGTTATATTGTTGTAAAGGCTGAACAGGATGTAGCTGTGGGAAGAATTTGCCACACTGCTGGAGACAGGGCTTCTCATTGTGGAGTGAAGAATGGAAACACTTTAAAGTAAAAATGTTACCATTTCTATGTCTTCAGATCTAGAATCTAGAAAACTTAAACCAAAGCTGCCATTTCAGTCAGTGCATGCTCGCCTTAAATTCTTCGGTGTTGAAGGTCAGCATGTTCACAGACATCCATGAGAAAACAAAGAGATTTTCAAGATCATCCTATTTATTACTTGCACATGGACTGTACCAGAGGCAAACCATACACAAATTCAGAAACCCTTAGTGGAATGTGTCAGAATGATCCTTACACATTTTTGATTAACTGTGGCTACAATGTCTCTCAAAAGCATTTTGGAACAAGGGCTAAGTACAGAAGATAGTGGTATTTATGTTTTATTTGTACTGAATTTATCTTCCTTGCTAGCCATTTCCTTTGTCTTTATTTACAGAACGCTGCTGCAGAGCTTGGCTGTACAAAAATGCAACTGGAGTCCACTGCGTTTGATGTTCAGTTCTTCATTTCTGAACATGCCCAAGATCTTTCTCCTAATCAGAGCAAACAGCTTCTGAGGCTCTTAAATACCACCCAAAAATCTTTTCAGGAAGTACAGGAAGCAATAACATCTCAAGTGGAAAGTTTAGAGACTCAGTTAAAGGCAGCGCAAGAGCTGGGTGATCAGAAGGTTTGCCTTTCTGTGTAAATGCGTGCTGAGTGTTTTTGTCTATGGATGAGGAATTTTAATACCAGTATGCACTATTAAGTGTATTCTTATCTTCCTGATTTCACTACAGATACATTCATAGTTCTTCTAAGATGGTATTGATCTGGTGAGGCTTCGCCTCCAGTACTGTGTACAGTTTTGAAGTCCACAATATAAGAAGCATATAAAACCATTAGAATGTATCCAGAAGACAGAGATGGTGAAGGGTCTAGAAAGGAAGACACATGAGGAGCAGCTGAAGGCACATGGTTTGTTCAGCCCAGAGCAGAGCAGGCTGAGGGGAGGCCTCATGGCACCTGCAGCTCCCTCAGGAGGGGAGCAGAGGGGCAGGCGCTGAGCTCTGCTCTCTGGGGACAGTGACAGGACCCGAGGGAACGGCATGGAGCTGGGACAGGGGAGGGTCAGGTAGAGTATAAGGGAAAGGTTCTTCACTGGTCAGGCACTGGAACATGGTGACCAGGGCAGTGGTTGCTGCACTGAGTCTGCCAGAGTTCAAGAAGCATTTGGACAATGCTCTCTGGGTTTGATTTTGGGGTGTTCCTGTGAGGAGCCAGAAGTTGGAGTCAGTGATTCTTGTGGGTCCCTTCCAGCTCAGGATATTTTATAAGTCTCTAAAGTTTGGCGAATTGTCATTTTTGCCTTTCATTGTTACAATCACAGGTCACAGAAACAGAATATTAGATTATGGACAGGTGCAGTTTCAGGCATTATAATCAGTTCTTTTAAGGATTGTTTAAATGAAGCAGTGAACTCATGTCCTCTTCTGGCTGCAGCTATACTGATGGAGAAGTTTACTATTCCACCACTGCTTCTCTCTTCTGTCTTGCTGACAATTTTCTTTTCCTTTGATTTGCCATGTCATCTGCTTGTGTGATCTTTTTTTTAGGTCTTTATAGGCGAGTACCAGATTTGTTTAAATCTTTGCTACCATAGCTCATTTTGACTGAGACAGACTAGAGAGACAGAAATATGATTAAATCAGATCTGTAATTCTACGTATGGGCATTGAGAAGCACCCTGAGTCAAACTGGTACAGTTACCTCTTCAGCTGGCATAGCTGCAGCTGGCAAACATAGGCCAGCTTCGTAGTCGAAGGCTGACAGATGCTGCTGCGTAACTACATCTCCTCTTCTGTCACAGAAGCACAGTGAAAATTCAGAATTGCCACCTCATCCCCCAGTTTATGCACACTGAAAGGTGTTTCAGTATTCTGAGGGCTTTGTATCGCTTTACCATTCTAAAAACGTTTGTTTCCATCATGCTTTTCCAAAGAAATGTAAAATAGAAGAGAAACATAAATACTTTTGTAAGATGTAGTAACAGTAATGTTTCTTGCATGTTTTGTTCTTTTCTATTGCTTAAGAAGTCAGCATTTTCTATTCAGGTAACATATTATGCATACCAACAAGAGCTAACTCACAATCACAACTAACCTCTGTTTTGATATCCTTTTTGCAGAATTAATAGTGGTTATCACAGGTTTCAAGCGGTTAAGAGACTGGATTTTCACTCCTGTCGTTCGGAGATTTCATCTTTCACATATGTGCATGGCCAGACTCCTATTGGGCAATTCCATCAAACATGGTCTCTCTTACTTACAACATATTTGAGGTTTATCCATACCTTCTATATGTTCATCTTGCTCTTTGTACCACTGCTATCATGTTTACAGCATACTTTTAAAAAGATTGCTTTGCAATATTGGTGTTCAAAGGTTAATTCGTCTTAGAGTATCTGTTAGTTCTTATAGTGGGGAAGTTTTTGTTTTATCGTTCAATTCTATTTGGCTCTAATATAGGATGTGGCTGAACGGCAGCAGGAATGCAAAGAGAAACTGCAGGAAATATGTGATTTGCTTAGACAGACTGAAAATCGACTCATTGGACAGCAAGAGTCTCTTGTTATTGGAGACAGCAAGGCTGAGCTAGAACAGTACCAGACCAGACAAGAGGTACGTACAATTCTAGTTACATAAAGTAAAAACGACTAAGTGCAGAGGAGAGTGACTAGATTACCTTGTTGAATAAAGACTGGAGTGCTTTTACCTGCTTAAAAATTTGAAGAATTTTTGCACAAGGCGTTGGTTACAATCCTGTTTTTTTTTGTTTGTTTGTTTGTTTTTTTTCTAGTGATACTTGCACTTCCCTTGGTGTCTTTATGTAACAGAGTACTTTCAGTTTGTTTGCTTTCCTACTGAGACCTTGCCTTTTAGCATCATCTTCTGCACATTTTTTACAGTGTATATGGGAAAAAAATAACTGAGCTGCTGAAAGAAAAAAAAAAAGTGCTTGTTCCTGGAGCAGAGGAAGTTATAATAAGGTTGATCAGAAAGATCTGGTGAATAATGTGTTTACTTCTATTTGCAATCTTTTTTTTTCTCAAAAGGAGATACAAAAAGACATGAGAGCAAGTGCCCAGACATTGGCAGAGATTGTGAAAAATACTGAAACCTTCTTGAAAGAAAACGGAGAGAAGTTGTCACAAGAAGACAAGACTATTCTTGAACAGAAACTGAATGAAGCTAAGACAAAGTGTTTGCTCCTTAGCCAGAAGGCAGAAGAGTCCAAAAAAGAACTGGATAAGGCTATGACAACAGCAATTAAACAGGAAACAGAAAAGGTTCTTAGGCAACCATTTCATACTTTTATTCAAACTTTTTATATGTTTTACGGGATTAGTCTTGCAATTTGTTATTGGTATACTGAGGACAGATTAAGTATTTAATTTGGTTGACTAATAAACTGCTTTCTGTTTTCTTTATAAAATAAACAGCAATATATATGCCAATTTTTAATGTTAATGTATTTTAAATTGTCTGTTTGCATATGATATAACGTAGTGCCTTAAGAAGATTTCTGAACTAAAATAATTTCATTGTAGGTCGCAGCCATAGAACAGCTGGAAGAAAGTAAAAATACAATAGAAAATCTCTTGGATTGGTTATCAAATGTGGATAAAGAAGCAGAGCACGGTAGGAAATTCAAGCAGGCAATAGAACAGAATGGAACGCACTTTGAAGAGGGAGATATGAAGGTTTTGGAAGGAGAAGAGGATGATGTCAATGGTAATCTGTTGGAAATAGAGCAAGACATTGAAAGTCAAGTGGATGGACTAGTAAAAAGCACAGAAGATAATCTGAACCAGCAGTATCAGAAAGTCAAGGTACTGTTACTGTATTTACATTTATGTGCTAAACATGTCAGTCTTCATTCAACTTGAGTGAATTCAATCACATCCTTTCTGAAATACATTTTGGAAAGGGCACTAGGAAGTTAGTGATGTGCAGTGATAGGAATTTCGGTAGTTAGAATGTATTGCAAATTTGTCAATTCTTCAATGTTACTGTGGTTGATCACTGCAAAATAAGAAAGAGCATATTTTCAAAGGCAAATTCTGAGAATTCTGATGGTGAGTCAATTATTTTTAAGTTTTATAGTGAGAAATTAATGCAGTGCAGTCACGTTTTAATCAGTTCTACAGGTAATAAAATGCAAGAAGCAGCACCATAAATTCACATTCTTTATGAGATTTTTTTCAAAAATCTTTGTAGTAGCCAAATTTAATCCCCTGCAGTTCCCTGTGAATACTGATTACAAATAGCTACAGACAATAGTTTGCTGAAATTGTACTCTTCACTTCTTATCCCTTTCACACATTGGAAAGCACTATTTCAGGGCTTCAGAGGAATGAGTTAGATAAAACCACAGTGCAGCATTTTAAAAACAGATTTTCCAGGTAAGTTAATTGGAGGCATTTAAAATAATTGAGCTCAATGTTATGGCCTTTGTTTACTTACAGTTGAGCAACCGAAAACTTTCATATATGGTTTGATGGGAGTATAGCTAAAACTGGTAATGCTGATAGCTGATACTATTTTGGATTTCCTTTCTTATTAAAAAAACGAAGGAAATGAAATAACTTGGTTTTGTTTTCATAATGAATTTACTTTCACTTTTTTCACAATTCTCTTCTTTATGTAATGCCAATAGGATAATTACCCAGTATAGATATAGAAGAAAAGCATACCAGTCTATTTTATGTAACCATTTTACATGGGAATTGAGGATCTTCAAGAATGGCAATTTTTTTTTTTGGAAAGACATAATCTAAAATATAGATTTTATTTAGTATACAGTTCTAGTGTATGTGTTTTACTATTTTCTGATGATATTGAAACAGTTTACATGCACAAAATATGGCTTGATCTTTAATGTCAAAAGGCCCTGTTTTAAGGATATGTTAGGTAAGAATCACTGCTCTTGAAATTGAAAAACAAAACAAAAAATCTTTGGATATGTTTGTTCAATCAGATTATAAGCATGTTTGTTCACTAAGAAAATAAGAAGGAAATATCTTAATTCTTATTAAAGTTTGATGCTTTCACTCCTTTTGGCCTGTTGGTTTGAAATGCTAACTACTGTATAAGTTACAGAAAGTAGAACATTTCTGATTTTGGAAGTTGCCTACCTTCAGATTGTTAATTAACTAAATTTTATTTTGAGACAGAGAACCAGAAAAAAAAAAGATTACATTAAGCACACCACCCTAAGTATTAAGTAATAAGCAAATAAATTCTATTAGGAAAAAAACAAAACTAAACTAAAAAGATTGATAATGTGTAGTTTAACTACACAGAGTTGTCTTTTAGAGGTATAGGAGGAAGTGTTTGTGTAGTTATATATCCAGTGGTATTTACTCCATTTGGTCATGGACTGTAAATCTGGTTAAGCTTACCATCAAATATTTCTTAAATTTTTGAAACAGCAAAGAAATATGCTGACCAGGAGTCACGCTTTCCCCTAAATTAGTCAGAAAATGTTTTAAATAAATAACAGGAAAATTTTAAAAGCTCTTCATCATTTTGATGGACATTTTTTTACTTGTCATTTCTAAGCAGAATTCAGCAGAGATTTCAAGACAGTACTTGTCTAATGGAATCATCTGAGAAGGTGCTGGTCATAATTATTTTATTTTTTCTTGCAGGCTCAACATGAGAAAATTATTTCACAGCAGCAGGCTGTCATAATAGCAACTCAATCTGCTCAGGCACTACTTGAGAAGCAAGGCCACTACCTTTCCCCTGAAGAAAAAGAGAAGATGCAAAGGAACATGAAAGAGCTGAAGGCTCAGTACGAGACTGCCTTAGCTGAATCTGAACGGAAAATGAAGATGACTCATTCTCTGAGGGAAGAACTGGAGAAGTTTGATACAGACTATAGTGAATTCGAAACCTGGCTGCAGCAGGCAGAACAAGAACTGGACAATTTGGAGGCTGGTGCTTCTGACTTCAGCGGTATTATGGTCAAATTGAAAAGGCAAAAGAGTTTTTCAGAAGATGTTATATCTCACAAAGGTGATTTACGGTATATTACAATTTCTGGACAAAGAGTTCTGGACGCAGCAAGGTCATGTAGCAAAAGAGACGGTGTCAAGGTTGACAAAGATGGCATTGATACTTCGGCTACTTATGCTGAAGTGCAAAATAAACTGGATAGTGCTTCAGATCGTTTTAAATCTCTCTATACTAAGGTAAGTTTTATTTATACCAAATAGGATAGGCTGCTATGATTTTGGAAATTAGTATAAAGAGGGGTTAATTGGTGAAGCAAATTACTGTGTGAAGTTGTAAATTCTTTGTTTGTTAATTTTAGATAATAGAACAAGAAGCTTTACTAGAATATCTGCATTAGTTGAGTGCCAGAATATCTAAGGTCTGAATGGTTGACATTTTCTACTTTGTGTTTAGTGTGAGTGTGAATGTAAAGATTTAATTGAAAAAATTTCAAAGAACTTACTTTTATACATACAAAAATTCTATCCCATTAGCTTTATTTGTGATCTCACTTTGGTCAACTTGCCAGAATCTACCCTTTACATATAAACATTTAGCACAGATGTAATAGAAGTACCTTAAATGTCTGACTCTAACTATGAAGAGAAAAACCAGCACAAAGTAGACTTGTCTTACTAAATCAAGAACTTGAAGAGCAGACTTAAAAAGTGAGATCTTCTGGGTTGTAGATTGGCTTGCAGGAACTTTTTTGCCTTTTGTAAAGGCTTGTTGTCTGTAATAAAATATTTAATGTATGATATACTTACACTGCATATATATTATGTATTTAATAGTGACATATATATTTATGCATTTGTGCACACACACGAGTTTATAGACTTGTATTATCGAAAGAATCTAGTCAGTTCTTAGTTAATTGGCTGTGTAACTGAGTGCATTCTATATTTGCCCACCAGGTGGAGCTGAAGTACCAAATGTAAATATTAAAATATAGTGTATCTAAGGTTCAAAATATAAATATTTAAAGAGACTTTATAAATATTATTTAACACAGTAGTTTATAAATATTAGGACTGTGTACAGTCAGATTGTCTAACCATCTCTGAAAAGACTGAAACAGAGTTTCACTGATCTCTTTATGTGATGATTCACTGTGTACATTTTGGGACAATACTAACATATAGTTCTAATAGGAACTTGGATAGATGACATCTTTAAGTTACCAAAACAAAGCGTATGTGCCTTATGGAGAAATATTGCTTTGGATTTGTTAGGCAGATAAGATATTTATGGAAACAATTATCTGTTCTCTGTATTTTAAAGAATATGCACATACCTTCTGTTTTTTTTGGAAAATTTCTAGCTTCTATTGGCTAGATTTTTGGTGTCAGAGTGCTGATAACGAATATTTAGGTTGGTGGATCAAAAAGTCTTCCTAAAGTTTTTCCTGTTCTGATACAAGGGGTTAAATTCTGGTTTGCTGATTGTATTGTTGAACTGATCGTAAATTATGCTTGAGAAGCACAAAGTAGGAAGAACTGTATAGCCTGCCCAACTGTCTCACCTGAGTTCAAAAATCAATTAGTCAGTGGAACGACGACAGGAAAAATGAATTCAGTATTTCAGGAAATGAAAATAAGACAGTGAGATTGTTATGAAACACAACAAACAGTTTAATGTATTTCCTTTTTTTTGTTTTCTACTCTTTTAGTGTAGCATCCTTGGAAATAACCTTAAAGACCTGGCAGATAAATACCAGCATTATGAAGATGCCTCATCTGGACTTTTGTCAGGTCTTCAGGCCTCTGAAATAGCTGTTAACAAACAACTGTCAGAGCCAATTGCAGTGGATCCCAAAAATCTCCAAAGACAACTGGAAGAAACAAAGGTAAAAAGCTTTAAAAAGTTTTAAAAAGCAGAAGTTCTTCTGTCCTAAAAGGAACTGCTTTCTGTCAGAAAAACTGGATAATCTAATATAATCCAAGTGGCTGCAGGCCAAATTCTTGCCTTGCAAGTCTGCATGCAACTTTTATAGTTCTCAAATTCAGCTGCCTAGTGTGTTATCTGAAAAGAACTAGAGTGAAAATAAAATAGGGGACCAAGATGCCATCAGCAGCGATGAAAACTAGATGTGTTTCATGTCACTTAGCAAATAGTAGGTGAAATCTGGAAAATTTTTGAACTAACAAAGGATTTAGTGATTCCAGTTTGTTGTCACAGTCGGGCTTGTGACCAGGTTCCTGATGGAGAAGACCATATGTTGTTTTTTGTCTGAGACTCTTACTTTTTTCTATTCACATTTTTGTTTTACTGCATTATCTCCAGTAAGGGATCACACTGGATCAGCAGTACACAGTTTTTCTAGTCTGTTTACTTTCTCCAGTTGTAACCAATACTACAGGCCCCACTAAAAGCAGATAAAAAATGATTTGCACTGCACAAAAAAACAGGTGTTTGTTGTTTTTTTTGCTTTTTTTTTCCACTGAGGAAGTAACTCACAACTTTATGTCAATCCTAGTATAGGCAAGACAGGATAGTGGTGGAGCTTGTGAAGGTAAACCACTAGTTAGGTTCATAAACAGTAGGCTTACAGGAGGCTTTAGGAACCCAAATATAAAGTGGCTTGTTTAAAGTTTCATACAGTCTGTTATCTTAGAACTGACTCTTGTATTTTCATAAACACATTCTTTTATCTACTATAATTAAAATGCAAATTCTTTATTTCTCAGTAAGCAAGGTTACTGTTCCGACTTCTCATCGCTGTTTGAGCTGTGCTATGTGGAGTTTCTATGCAGGTCTGGTATGTTTGCTGTTGACAAACAGTAATCAATATCTCTTGGAAAGTGGATGCTTTAACTACTTCCCTTAGAACAGTCTGAAAGTCATACATTTACTACATGGTATCTTTCAAATCTGCCACAGGAATTAAAAAAATATATAGTAATTATGTAAGATTTAAGAAAATTAGCTGTTCTTTCATAAATAAAAGCGTAAATTTTGGTCTCCAAAACATTGGAACAATTGAGGTGCATTTGTACTTCCAAACACTAGAAAGGTAGAAATAACACCAATTACAATTTGAAGCCCCATTTAAACTTCTGTTTCTTATGCCAAAACGAATTATGTCCTGTATAATGCCAATTTTCATGCAAGTAGTATAAAAGGAGTGAGTATTAGGGCTCTTTTATGAAATGCCTACATGGATTACTTGCCACACAAAAGAGCACTCGATGAATATGAGCAGGGAAGAAGGGAGAGACTACAAAGATGCAAGGATTCAAAAGATTCAAAGGAAGAGAAAAAACAGGAGCCTGAAGAAAGAAAGACAATTAATGAAAGCAAAACAAAGAGAATTTCTGAAGAAGTCAGGTGTTGCAAGTTAAAGCTGTCCCTTCTAGCCAACACATGCAGCTGATAATCCAGCTAGACACAGGCCTTGGCAGTATGGTGGAGTCTAATCTTTTTATGGGGATTAACTGTTCTTCAGAATAATCTTCAGCGCCTCTGGCATAAGTTTGCTTGCTTTCTGCCAGCATTGCAAAGTTTTTGGTATGTCTTTTTAATTTTTTTTCTCTTTTCTCTTTCTTTTGTACAAGTATAGTATATTTCACTAGTGTAAGGAAAAGTTCTCTCCAGGTCTGTCTAAATTTTATTTTGTCAACAGGGTAGCAAGATACGATATGTTCCAGCATAATGTTGTGCTCTGGCTACCAGTGCTGAATGCACTGACATGACTTCTTTGTCCCGGCATGGCAGATGGGATTGAATTGTATGTCCATAGCATTAGTGTGTATCAGAAAAAAATGAGAGGGCCCTTCAGTTTGGACTTCTGCAAAGTTCAAGCAAATCAAGACAAAGATACGTCATATGCACTAGCACAGAGACCTGAAGTACTTTAGAGACTGTTCACTCTAAAGTGGTTTTATACACTGGAGAGAGAAAGCCACTTTCAGAAGTTGATTAAGTCTCTCTTGATTCTGGAACAAGTCATAGCTGGGGTAGTCTCTAAAACTGTGGTCCTTGGTTAGAAGGAGAAACTTAGGAAAAAATTGGTGTTGCTGGCTCCAGGAAGTTTTAAAAACTATAAAGATGATGACATTGTTTCAAGGTATTCATGTTGGTGCTACAATATCAGCCTGATCCTTTGTTGATACAACTGATGGTTAGTGTGTAACTGCTGCTGTCTATATGTTTTTTTTCTCTGTTCTCTGATGCTGAATTGAAAATATGTTTGTTTTTCTTTTGGATAACACTTGAGTCAGTACAAATGCTCTTTAAGAAACAATTAACCAAAAGACACATTTTGAAGTTACATGTAAGACAGCCAGTTGAGTCAGAGACGTACTGTAGGACAGAAGATAAAGATGGTGAATAAACTAAAACAAGGGCCAGAAGGCCAAGACTAGTCAAAGCCAGTGGTGAAGATTTGCGGAGAGGCCACAAATTAAATTAGTTTATTCCCAGCACTAAGTTTAGGTTGTGTGGCATATTTTGAGCCTTACATGTGTACCTTTTAGCTATACTGAACTGCGTAATTGGCAATTGTGGAATTTTACAGGTTCTTCAAGGACAAGTGTCTAACCACCAAATTGCTGTAGAAAAACTGAAAAAAGCTGCTGAAGTGCTTTTGGATACCAGAGGGGAGTTGACACCAGACAAAGATGAGATTCAGAAAACACTGGGTAAAATGCTTGCTTTTCTTAATACGCGTTTTTATCACTTGTGGCATGCAGATAGCAGAAGAGACAAAATACAGAGTTTCCACATCTCTGTGTCACTGCTCACGTCTGTGTTTTGTTGAGATATAAGCTGTTACAACACGGTAAATTCTTTGTTGTGCTGTCTCCTGTGTTTGATCATGTGCTTTTCACTTAAAACCTGTCATTTTATTTTTAACTTGTTTTTTTCAGAGGGAGGGATTATGTTTAATTCCCATGTTACAGATGAGTGTGTCAGAGTTAGGGATTTGCTGAGGATCATAAGTTTACTATTGGGAAAGGACACGTTCTGGTTCAAGGAATGTGACTCCAGCTATCTGTTTCCAACCAATTATTTGAAGTTTGCTTAGCTGAACTTAATTTCTTCTGATTTCAAGTAACTTTCCATGGCAGGTTGTCCTTGGCCAGCTTCTTGATGCCCCCACAGCCTCTCTGTTATTCTCCTTCCTCAACACGATGGGGAAGATTATTATGGAAAAGCTCGTGGGTTGAGATAAAGAGAAGGAGATCACTTACCAATTACTGTCACAGGCAAAATACACTCAGTTTGGGGAAAAGTGGATTAAATTTATTGCCAAACAGACAATAGATTTTGATAATGAGAGACAAAGTGAAAAAACTTGAACACCTTCTCACCACCCACCTTGTCTCCAGTCTCAGTTTCACCCCTTCATTTCCAAGTTCCTCCATCCTGACACCAAGCCATGCGGTGGGATAAGGAATGGGAGGTCAGTCTGTAGAGTTCCATCTCTACTGCTCTGTTCTCCCATTTTTCCCTTGCTCCAACCTCTCCACAGACTCTAGTCCTTCAGGATAAGCCTGCTCCAGTGTGGAGCCTGCTCAGCTGTGTCCTGTGGCAGGTCCATTGTGGGGTTGGCTGGAACTGGCTGTATCCAGCTTGGGTCAGTCCCCCAAAACCTAGCTGCTACCCAACCTTGCCACCCACACTGAATACTCTTTCCTGTCAGTTGTGCGAATTAGTACAGCATGGCATTTAGCACAGTTTGAGGCTTGAATACTGGGTGTGTATATCACATTCCTATCTCTTACTGGAATCCCATCAGTAACTTTCAGCAACAACATAAAACAACTTGCATCTTTGCACTTGGTGATGAAACTCCATAGGAGGTATGTGGAACTTATAACTTTCAGAGGGTTATCCCAAAAGTGGTGATGAACCATCTAGAAAGCCATTCAGCTCTAACAATAACATAAGAGACATAGCTGTAGAGTAGCTCTCTTAATACCCTGCTATTTTATTTCTTGGGAACAGTCAACAGCTGCCAGAAGCTAGAGCTGCATGGGAACCAACTTCTAAAGATTTGGGAGCACAGCTGTAAGCTGCTCCCTCATTTCACTTGTCGTATGGGCTTCTTGGCTTTGTCTGATTCCATTCTTTTGTTGTGTTGTGTGTTTTTACTGAATACAGCTGATGCTTTTGCTTATTTCTGATACAGGCAATTTTTGACTCACACTTAACCTGGTGACAAGTAATAAAATGAGTTAAAAGTTTAATATGGCTAAAAGAAACTTTGAAATGTATTTTCTCTTTATCAGATGATATTGTGGAGAGATATGACAATTTATCAAAGTCTGTGAATGAAAGGAATGAGAAGCTCCAAATAACTCTGACACGATCCCTAAGTGTGCAGGATGGTTTGGATGAAATGCTGGATTGGATGGAAGGCGTTGAAAAGAGCCTTGAAGAAAAAGATCAAGTGCCTTTGAATTCTGCTGCTATTCAGGATATCATTAGTAAAAGCATTGTAAGTATCACACTGAAAGAAATATTTGTTTGAAGCTAAAGTTTCAGAAAGAATTAAAATCTTACTTTAATGGGCTCAGAATACTTAGTAAGGAAGACTGTTACATGAACTGAAACCTCATCAGGATTGATTTCTGTAGCTGAAATAGATCTACACTGATGGTCTTGCTGTACTAATTTATTGTATTACTTCACATGGTGGACCAGCTCCACTTCTTAAATTTTAATTATAAGCAATACAGAGTGGCTTTTGCTTGTTTCAGATGCTAGAACAAGACATTGCAGGTCGCCAAAGCAGTATAAACACGATGAATGAGAAAGTGAAGAAGTTCATGGAAACAGCAGATCCATCCACTGCATCCTCACTGCAAGCTAAAATGAGTGAACTTGCAGGACGGTTTTCTGCAGCAAGTAAGAAGCATAAAGAAAAGCTGATGAAAATGGAGGAGTTGAAGACTAAAGTGGAGTTATTTGAAGGTCTGACAGAAAAACTCCAGTCGTTCCTAGATGAGAAAAACCAGGCTCTCAGTGAGACCGAGGCTCCAAGAAAGGATGTTAGTGAAGTATCTCAGTATATGCAGGTACTGTACCAGTCCATTTGTATACAATGTGTGTATCTAAGTGATTGAGCTATAAATAAGACATACTTGTTTCACAGCTTCAGTTGGTTGGCGAAAATCAGAGATTTCAGAGATTTAATTTTGAACAGCTGATTGCCGAGTCTAATATGAAGAATATAATTCTGTTTGAATTCTGTCTTGCAGGAGGCTAGTGTAGAATTGGCACAGCATAAGAAAGATCTGGAAGTTTTGCAGCAGCTTCTTGAAGAACTTTCATTCCATGCTCTTCCTGGGGATAAAGCATTGGTAGTAGAAAAAGTAAATGCTTTGTCAAAAAAATTCAGAGAGGTAGAGGAGACCGTAAAAGAAAAGTAAGTCAAACAATTACTGAAGTGTTTCCACAGCCTAGGCTAATAATACTGTGTGAATGTTATGATGACTGCTATCCACTTGTGTGCTACCTCAAGAGAGTACAGCTAACTTCAGAGTAGAGAGGCATTTTCATTAAAAAAAAAACACAAAACAACAAAAAAACACAACTGTTTGGAAATACATCTGTATCTGGTCTATCTGCCTGTTTTGCTTTCATAACTTAAGCATTCTTTGTATTTAGTTTGCTACTTGTTCTAGTCATGCAATTCCTTGAGTTAGGGTTGATCTGATGGTATTTGAAATACTGTCTTTGCTTTTATTGCACAGGACTGAGTAGACTTAGTTCACCAGCCCTACCAACATCTCACTTTAGGTTCAATTCATGTTCAGTTAGAAGACAAGCAAGCTACAAGTGCTCTGACAAGAGTTTGCCTCTCCATGGCACCACTGTAACTTTATCATCTCCAGTTAGATGGATAAGCACAGGACAGCTTCGTTTTCTACCTACTTTGTAATCATCTATGCATCTTCCATCAAAATGTCCCAAAGACGGATGTTTTCTGTTCATACAGAAAACTCACAAATCTGTGTCTGTAGTCTTTGAAGCCAGCATTGAGGCTGTTTTTGAATTCAGGAATGGCATTATTGGGTTGATAACATCTATTGGTTTAATTGTCAGAAGGAATATTGACATCCAGTCCTGAATTTCTTTTGTTTTCAATTATCTAGGGAAGAGGATGTATCATCTTGTCAGAAAGAGATGGATGCTTTTGAGCTACTTGTGGAATCTTTAAAGAAATGGATAAAAGAGACAACAGAACGTATTCCAGCAGCACAACCCTCTCTGAATACAGAGGAGTTAAAGAAGCCTTTGGAAGATACCTTGGTAAAATACTGTGATACAAGCAGCTAAACTCAGCTAAAGGAAATAGGGCATTTGTTAGTGACATAAAAGAACAAACATAAGGCATAGGCAGCCATGGTGATGGGGACTAAGGAGCTTGCAGTCTGCATTTACGTTCCCATTTCCTTGGCATGTTTGGATATATGTGGTGGGTTAGCCTTAGCTGACTGCCAAGCACCCACCCAGCCACTCTCTCACTCCCTCTCCTCAGCAGGACAGGGGGAGAAAATACAGGTCTTGGGCTGAGAGAAGGGCAGGGAGATTGCTCACCAATTAGTGTCATGGGCAAAACAGGCTTAACTTGGGAAAGATTAAAAGATTGCTAATCAAAAGCAGTGTAGGATACTGAGAAACAAAAAATATAAATTAAAACACTCCTTCCACCCCTCCTTTCTTCCCAAGCTCAACTTCAGTCTTTGACGTAAGACTGTTCTCTCTCCCCTGCTCCAAGCTGGCACAGGGGTATGGGGAGTGGTGGTTCTTCATAACACTTTGTCTCTGCCACTTTTCCTCCTCATACTCTTCCCTGGCTCCAGAGTGGGGTCCTTCCCATGGGCTGCAGTTCCTGTCAGAAAACCTGCTCCTGTGTGGTCTCCTCTCCACAGGCTCCAGCTCCTCCATGGCTCTCCCTGGTCTGCAGCGTCCTTCAGGGCACATCCACCTGTTGTGGCATGGGCTGTACTCTGGATATCTGCACAACAGTTTTTGCCCTTTCTTAAGTATGTTATAACTGAGGTGCCATCAGCATAGCGGATGGGCTCAGTTGAGGCCATTTTGGAGCTGGCTGGAACTGGCATGTCCAGCATGAACAGTCCCTGGTCTGTTCTCCCAAAAAAACACACCTGCGACTCCCAGCCTACCAAAACTGCCACATAAACCCAATACAGTACTACAAGGGATTCCCAAGTAACAAGATTATTCTGTTCTCAACACTACATATTTTAAGTCTGGACTCAGTTTTGCAATGAACAACTGTCTCTTTTTCTTAACCAGAATTTAAAAGATGAATGGACGTTAAAAGCAACTGAAGTGCAGAAAATGAATAGCAGAGGAACGTTGTTGTGTAATCTGATTACTGCTGTGACTTCTCCTGCAAAACTGAGAGCAGTTGCAAAATCAGGTATGCATTCATATAATCAGGTAAATCTAACATCTAAGGAGTTTTTAAAAGTCCTCAAATAAATAAATAATGTATTGCATCCTATGATTAGGTTTCTGGATATTATGGCTCATGAGAAGTCAGTTAGCCGTGTCTGTTCTGACCATCATTTGCTGTGATTCTCATTTCAGCTATGTCTGACTACTTTAATAATTCAATACAAATTCTTACTGCTTTACATTGCCAAATTGCACTTTGTAAATGATTGACAAGTCCTAAAACCTGTTACTTCTGTCCATAATTCCCAGAGAATCAATAAAATGAACAGTATCACAGTCTTTTTCACCTCATCCCAGGAAACTTCTGATAATGAGAAACTGACTTAATGTGGTTGATGTTCAGTGTTTCATGTATCTGCCAAGTCTGCAAGTAGGACTTCCAAATAGAAACCCTGTTTTTGCAAACACTGATGCACCTGCACATCTTTGCTCACAGAGAGCCTTTTTCATGGCCGTTCTGTGTGACTTCAAACAAGCACATAATTGCAGAATCACAAACGTTTTGTTAGAAAGATGATGAGGACATCACTTATCTAAAAAGTAAGCCTAGACTAACTAGCTCATCCAAATGATGATAGCGTAATTAATGCTAGTCAATATTTTAGTTAACATGACATGAAAGGGAGTCAGTTTTGTATCCCAGTATGAATTTCCTGGTCCAAAATGTGCTTCCAGCCTGAAGCTTTGACTAACTTATTTTTATGTGTAATCTGATTTTAAAGAAAAGCAAATATATTCCCATGATTTTCTGTACTGTAGTGTTTAAACATTGATTTGTTTTACAGAATCTAGTAATTCTGCTAAGTATCACTGAAGCCATAACTTAAAGTATGTGGTACCTGGGGCATTTCAGTGGCCACAAGAACATTTTCAGTCAGTTCTTTAATTTATTTCCTGACCTTGTTAGTTCAAATATTGCCCTTCAGTGGTCATTTGCAAAGGACAATGGAAGGATGGAGACTTCCAGAGGATACTTATCTGGCAAGAGTAGATCACTTTCTTTTTCATATCTCTTGGTAGTAGCTACTTCTGTTTTCATTCATGTTTGACGTTTAAATAAAAATCTTCAAAGACCATTTTGGAACTCTAGGATATTTGTGCTCCTGCCTCTGCTTCTTTCTCTACTTCAATGCATCCAGGTTAAAAAAATAATTAAATAAATAGCATATAAGAGCAATCACAATCCTCCAGACTTGAATATTCACCCTCCTAGACAAGAGCTGTACTGTGTATCAGTAATCATGGTTTAAAAAAAACATAGCCTGGCTAATAGAGCATGAAGATTTACAAGGCTCTGGTTGGGGGTTCTCTGGTTCTCTTATCTGTTTATTTTCTCTTGCCATCCTCCAGCTGCCACTAAGGTGGCCCTAACCATCCAGGGCTGGATGCATGGCCTTCTCCAAGGCAACTGTTAATCTTTCCCTGTTAACTGCTGACCTGGATTACAAACGTGCAGGAGAGTGGGAAGTGGTTCTCCTGCCTGTTCTCTGTGTCCCAGCACTGTGCTCTGATGGTGTTTCACAAAGTTTGTGTAGTCCTGAGTCCAGAGGCTTTGAAATGCTGTTTGATTAGCAGGGCTTTTTGGCTACCTCCGAGTGACAGTGACAGGACTTTATGAGTGACAGTAAGGATTCCACATTGCAGACTCTGGAACAGCATGGAACATATTGTCAAGTCTTGCTAAAGATAAGATAGGAAGGGATTTGTCCTGTTGATATCAAGAGGTTTTTTGCTCAGAGGTACACTCCTGTTTAAGTGGGTAAAGCTGTGTCATTAAGCAAGCTGTGTCATTAGTTGTGTTGTCTGCAATGACTGCTTTGGGTTTCTTTTCTGCTCAGTGTTCAGTGCTTTCCTCATGATTTTCAGTGTTTGCCGCTCTCCAGGGCAATGCCCAGACATGGTTGGGTAAAAATGTTCTCAGTGAGCAGTAGGGAACAGATTGCTTTTCGGGGCGAAGAAGTGACATTAGCTGTATGGTATGAGTAGGCCTCACAGCTAGAGCGTAGACCTTTGTCCACTATTTTCATTTATTTGACATAGTATTGTAAGCTGTAAGACTGCTCATGCATCATGCATACGTGCATGCTATATGTGCGTCTGTTCACCCCCACACACTCTGCATATGCTATGCATATGTGATCCCACTTATGGCATTAGCTGGCTGGAGCAGGTTAAAACATAAAACAACCTTCAAATATGTAAAACCATCTAAATAAAATGTTTGTTTTTACATGGTTAGCATGCACATTTTTCTTTGAATGTTATAATGAAAACTATTCGTCATGTTGTATTGAAGAGGAAGTGTAATGCTGGTGTTTTGGTGGGAAAAGGCCCAGCTGAGCATGTGACTTAGTCTTTCTTGGTCTGTAGGTGGCGCAGTGTTAAATGGTGAAGGTGGAGCTCCAGGAACTCAGGATTTTCTGAAAAATAAAGGTCAGTAATCACTAGGTAAAAAATTCAGGATGTGATAAAGAAACGTGCTTGTGAATTACTGTTAAATATGTTGATATTTTTAAAATATTGTGTGCAGATCTGATTGCAACAATCTTTACTAGACAGACTTCATATCACTGTTGCATAAGGAAATTATGCTATTATGATGATATTAAAATCAACTATAAAAATATCTGCCTTCGATACGTCCTTTGAAAACAGATCAAGTCTTTGCTTTCTGAATCAATATGTACTTCTATAAATACAAATAAAAAATATAAATAAATAGGAAGAGCTATTTTAATATAATATATGGATTTTGAGAAAATTATTAGGATTTATGTGATTTGAAACTTTTTAATACCAGCCAAGGTACACAACATGAACACACATGTATATATACGTAATGCAAAGACACATTTTACATACATCTGTATCATTGTACGTGACCAGTTCCTTTTCAGAAAAAAAAGGACCCTATGTAGGCACTTACATATGCTTTGGGATAGGCCATGTACTAGGTTTCAAGTCTGCAGTGTTCATTCTTCTGAATTACAGCCTGCTTAGTACACTGACTGCCTCCTAAGCTCTCTTGCTGATAACACACCTTTATAACGAGCAAGATACGAATGCAGTAAGGTTAGGTAGTCAAACTAGTAACTGTTAAGAAATAATAATAATTAAAATAATATAAAATAATAGAAATAATAGTAACAAGTTAAGAAATAATTCTTAACATGTTCAGCAGCTTCTGGTTTGGAGAACTATTAGCCATGGTCACTTGAAGTACTGTTTAGAATTTCTTGGAAGTCTAAGTATTGCTTGAAGTATATGTGATCTCTAATGTAGTCTTTGTTCATCTTTCCTTTTACAGAACTGACAACTGTTCAACAAGCCATGTCTGATGTAAATCATAGTTATGAAGATTTGGGAGTTTTACTGAAGGAAAAGATTTCAGAACTAGAAAGTATGCTTTCAAAAATGCAAAATATTCAGGAAGAATCAGCCTCAATGATGCAGTGGTTACAAAAAATGGACAAAACTGCATCAGACTGGGAAGCTGCTCCAACTGATAGTGAAGCTGTTAAAGCTCAAGTCGAGCAACATAAGGTAATTCATGTCTTCAGAAAAAAAAAAAAACTCCATTAAAATTATTGAGGGAATTCTATCTGAACAATTGCGTCTCAGCATAGCTTAATGTTGCAGAGAGTATTTAAATGATCCAGTAAACAGGAACATGCCAGTCAGGCTTAGAGCAAATCTCGCGAACTGTGTCAGTGCAGTAAAAGGAGCACTGGGTCAGAGAGAATGAATTTTGCATGTCAAAAAATAGTGATTCTGATGTCCAATTCATATAGGTAAGAGTATATTGATTATGCAGTGTACTTTTTTGATATCTTTAGTTGTTTAAGCATATTTACTGGATTGCTCATAAGATCTGTGCAGCTGTATCTATCCAAAAGCTGTTTCTGCAGCTGCTGGTTCACTGACGCTCCACAGATCTCCCCAGCTCTGCAGCTGCAGAGGCTTACGTCTATTCCAAGGCAGTGTTTCCCTTCAGCAGCCATGTCATGCTTGTTTAGTCGTATAGCTGCACAAACGTCTCCTCCCCTCTTTTTAATTGGTATAAGAAAATCACTGAATCAGGAATAAGCTTTTGTCCTGCTTAAGCACAGGGGAGATATGCTACTCACAGCGAAGGACGATATTTACACATGTAAAGGTTTATCTGTAAAGTGAAATGTAATGTGTAGCTAAGCTATTGAAAATTCTTCCCTTGTCTGTGACTTGGGATAAACAAGGGCAGAATTTGATCCTGCTGAAGTACTTATTTATTTATTTACTACTTACACATTTTGGGGTTCACCCTTAAAAATTAAACTGAATAGCCACTGATTTTCCTTAAGTTTGACTTTCTTCAGACTCAGGTAATATTCAGTCCCAGAACTCAGACTGTATGTGGAAAATTCTTCTTCCTTCATTTGTAACAAAGACTGTTCAAAGCTGACAAGACCATCTTACTCTCAGTGTAATAACAGAAGAGTGTTCCTAGCCAGATGGAAAACTGAGTGATTACTCAAGCAAGTCCTTTTGATGCAAACGGACCTTTTACTAAAAGTTCTAAACCGAGCACAGATCTGTTCAGTGCTTATTTTAGTGTAGTGTTGTTTTTTGGGGGGATAGTTACAATGAAACTCCTCAGTGCAAATTCTGTGACTTCAGAATGTTGACGTAAGAGACCTTTCCTGGGCATAAGACTGTCCACTTCCATCTGTAAGAGCTGCGTGAAGTGTTTTCAAGGCACTGCTTGGGCATCTTAATCCCCTGAGCTTAAGTCTGCACTTAAGATACGGTGCTCTCTAAATGACAGTTCTAGATCATCTACAAGAAGCAGTCAGTCTGTGACAGCAGAACTTTCAATGAGGTAAATGAGTCCACACAGAGCTCTTATACATTGTTGCTTAGTCCTGTAATTTCTGCTTTGAACCTCACTGTGCACTAGTCAGTTGGCCTTATGTACAAGAACAGATTCCAGTTACATGCAAGAATGCTGAGATTTAGTGGATCCTATTTATCTGAATTATTCTAATCCTTTCATTTGTTCAAATTAAATAGTAATTGTTAATATTAACATTGCTTACATAGATGAGGTCACTCCCAAAAAAATATGACCAGCCAATACATGCCATTAGAAAGGGTTTCGAGGCTCATAGCAGAAAAGCAGTATATAAGTGCTAGGTATTTATGGTTTACTTTCATGGTTACTATCTCAGAATTATGAACTTCAAAAATGCTTTACAGTTTATCTTTAGTCTTACATTTATTTTTTTACCATTTGATTTTACAGCTATTTGAAACTGAATTAAAGCAAAGTGCAAATAAAGTGCAGGAGCTAAAGGACAAAGTGACAGAGCTGTTGGAGAAGAACCCAGACTCTCCGGAGGCACCCAAATGGAGACAAACATTGGATAAAATAGGTACTTCAGTAAAGCTGTATTATAATTCAGACTGATTTAAAAGTTGTTTTATTACATTTTAAAAAACGTATTAACAATCACACTTGCTCCCTCCTACCCCTTAAATTCTGTGGAAATAAATCCCTTTACAAGAGGGTGAATCTGGAGTAATTCCACTGAAGTTGGTGGACTTTGAATTTATGTCAATGCAATTAAGAGAGGCCATAGCTTGGCTGCATGTTTTAGAGGGCTTTACCTTTTTCAGACAGTGTGTGGCTAAGACTTGAGAGGTCAGCTATTGCTCCAGATACATATGTAGTTGTTCTTACAAAAAGTGCTACAAACAAATCAAGTTAATACTATTTTCATATAAATAATGCTTTGAGTTGTTGGTAATGCCTTTCCCTTGCACTGATGGCTTTCGTCATTTTGTGGTTTTGATGGCTTTCTACCATTTTCTAAAGCTGGCTTCATAAATTTTGCCATAAAAATTGGAAATTATCATGTTTGTACATTAGATTTTGAGATAATGCGGTGTGTAATTGTTGTGAGCTTTTAAAAGCTCTTCTTAGGTTTGTCGTATTTTAAATAAATCATAGATCAGTCAGTGTTTCATACTAATAGGCATATATGAATAAATAATAATAGCTGCACCAATAGCAATTGTAAAGGTAAATCTGTCTTTTTCATAAGTGTACTTCCAAAAATTTAGGTAGCAGGTAGCAGTTTAGGTAGCACATTTCTACTCAAAGAAAATCTGAGTAGTGCTGAAAGAGAATTAATTCAGAATGAACAGGGATCAAAGTCAGTGAAGTGGCACAAGAAAATGAAAAAACAGACATGAATTCAAGGACAGGGAGCATTAGCAAAATGCCAAAGCTGAGTCACCAAGCACTGACAGTATCACAGAGGGAAGAGGAAAGTTAAAAGACGATGAGGCTCAATGGCTACCTTGAAAGCCACTTGCTACAAGTGGTTTTCATAGTTTGGCCTAGGTGAACCTAGGTTCACACAGTGCTTTTGAAATACCTGTGTAAAGAAGTATTCTCATTGCCTGTCATAGGTGCCTGGTTTTGAAGTCTAAATAAAGCAGTTAATCTCCACAGGCTCCCAATACAGACATTTGAAAGAGGTGTGCTCCTTCAGGAGGCATTTCAGAGCAGAAACCTAAATTATGACTTAGCTTCACCCTTGGAAAGGTATCTATTTGTGTCTACTTATGAAAAAGGAAGGCTAGTTGACCTTAGTCAGGCCCCTAATTTATAAGTGAGTACAGCCCTTCAGCTTTTATGTCATTTGGAATCAAAGCCTAAATGTGGTGGTATTTCACGGAGTAATATTCTAATCTAATTTTATTGCATGTTGTACATTCATTGTTCTAAAAATGCTGCATGTGGCAGTGCTAAACTGCAGACCCTTATCCTAGTGTATATGGATCTGCCTGTTAAAAGATCTATTTGCCGAGTCACTGCAACAAGGCATCTGGAGTTAATCAGCAAGAAGCCTTATTAGAGTGCTCTGTTTACATTTCGTATATAGTCTGCTGTCTGACAGCCCATCTGCTAGAGCATGCATGCAATATGTTAACGTTATCGTTGTTAGATTCCAAGTGGAAAGAGCTCAATCAAGTTACATCTGAGAGACAACAAAAACTGGAAGAGTCTTCAAATTACCTGACCCAGTTCCAGACAGCAGAAGCTCAGCTAAAGCACTGGCTCGTAGAAAAGGAGCTAATGGTCAGTGTGCTGGGACCCCTGTCAATCGATCCAAATATGCTGAATACACAAAAGCAACAGGTTCAGGTGAGTAAGGACTGCCAACATGCATTAATGATTTGGTTTTTGTTGTTGTTGGTTGGTTTGTGCATTGTTTGTTGTTGTTTTTTTTGCTATTAGCAAAGCAGTATCTTGCATTTAGAGTGAGTACAGACCAGGTAATAGGAGCTATGTTATTTATCAGCAAATATCAGCCTAAGGTATTGTTGGCTACAGCAATTAGAAGAAAAAATTACCATGAGAATGAAGAGATCAGAACAGCTAAAGGAAAAAATGGTCAGGACTTACCCTTGAGGAGATACCTATCCCCAGATGTATTTTTTGTTTTAACTGTCCTGCGATTTGTCTGTAGTCTAATGAAAGCAGTCCTTTGAAGTTTTATTAATTTGAGAGTGTATAGGTAACATTTTGCGGTCAGTTCTCACATACAGTCTATGCTGTAATTTGAGATTTTGTTCATTTGACTGTGCCAATAGCTAATAAAAATAAGAAAGCAAGTGAAACGTAGTATTGTGAGTACGTATGGAGCCAAGAGAATGAAGGATAGACGAAAAATATAAAGAAAAAGTGTAGTTTGCCTACAGAAATGCAGCAAACCACAGACAGAAGAAACAAAAGTTGAATCAGACAAAGTTGAAGAAACTGTAAATTCTAATTTCAAACATTTCTATTGCTGCCAGTTAATTTGAGCTGTGACAAGAAATAACATTCTTATTTTGAAAAAGTAGTATTAAAGCTGGCATATCCATATTGATTAAAATAAAGTGTTTTTAACATGAACTATTCTCTAACGCTATGTGAAAATGACTTAAAATTGGTCTGTAAATGCTTCAGAAATGTAGACAGCTGGCCTAAGACTATCATGTATCACTTAGCAGTCCTTAGAAGTTAAACCTCTTTGACTTAAGAAGAAAGGGTTTGGAACTCTCTGTAAAGTAAAACCATGATATTTGTCCCTTTTTCTACAGGCACGTTTGACTTATTGTCAAAAAACAAAGTACTGGGAACCAGTGATATAAACTTTAAAGGTCTTACAGTATACATTCAGTCATTTTGTGAATCATCCAAATATATTCTCTGTGCCGTAATAATACATTGCAATATTATGTCACCATACACCTTCTTTGAAGTCCTATCTTAAGACAAATATCAAAACTGTCTAGGAAAGAAGACACTGCTTGAAACTAAATAGTGATTATTTTTCTTGGTACAGTTACTTAATTGCTGTAATATTAACAACATTCATTGTTTACTTGTGTCTACTGTTTGAATTTCCATTAGATGATCTGTAAACTAACTTTTTTTGTTGTTGTTCTTTGATGTAAACGCTCAGAAACAACACTCAATTTATGTGCAGAATATGCAATTATTTCACTGGCTTTTTAAACCCAGAGATTGATTACTCAGTAAGGGAGCTTAGCTACACCAAATTCAACATAGTTTTTGTCAGAAGCATTTTGCTTTCTTTTTCATGAGGTAAATGCTTCTTACAATGTTCTTTCTTCCCAGATTCTGCTCAAAGAATTTGACACCAGAAAGCCACAATACGAGCAGTTAACTATGGCTGGTGAAGGGATCCTGAAGAGACCTGGTGAACATCCTCCCTCTCATGAGGCTGTGAAGGAGCAACTGGCAGCTGTGGCACAAAAATGGGACAACCTCACTGGCCAGCTGAGTAACAGATGTGACCGAATTGACCAAGCCATTGTGAAAAGCACAGAGTACCAAAGCCTACTCAGAAGTCTGTCTGACAAGCTAAGTGCCTTGGATAGCAAACTGAGCAGCAGCCTGGCTGTGAGCACACAACCTGACGCTGTGAAACAACAACTGGAAATTGCTAAAGAAATGAAGGAGGAAATAGAACGGGAAATGAAGAATATAAACGCAGCTCGAGCTCTTTGTGAAGAGCTGTCAGCACTGGTTGGAGAAGAGTATTTGAAAGCAGAACTTACGAGACAGTTAGATGGCATCCTAAAATCGTTCAAGGATATTGAGCAAAAATCAGGTTAGTATTTATTTAAAAAGAAACAGCAATAAAGGCATGAAATTAAGCACCATTTTCACATTTGTCTTTATAGTCAGTAGTGATATGTTGAGTACGCTGAGCCTAATGCCAGCTCTTTATTCAGTCCAAACCCTAAGCAATTGCATGTTGGAACTTAGGAGAGAGTCTCTGTACCTTGAAAAGGCAAAAACAATACTTAGATCTCTAGTGAGCAGTCTGGAAAAGAATTTGAAACAAGATAAAAGTGCTGATCTTCTCATCTCTCTGCCTTCAGGTGCATCCTTACTAAATTTGGATACCAAAACAGAGGGTGCCGTTCATTGAACTACTTAACTGTGTAGATGCAGAGAGGGAGCTAAAATTGTTACTTTTAGGCACGCACCAGTGAATGGCTTGGCAAAAAGTAGTGGTAATACACAACTGTGGTATAAAAGTGAGATACAGCTGCCTGTGAGAAGACTGAGCTGGTAGCCTTTTCTATCCTGTGAACAACGGAGCTCAGCAAGTAATGCAGTGCAAGCAATATCATACATTTCTCTTCCTGACAGCCTCAGGTTTAGTTTGTTCATTTCCTCTGGTCACAAGGAACTTCAAACGATTTCCCTAAACACACATATCGCCTGCAGGCTCAGTTAGACGCTGCTGGGCTAGATTACTTGATATTCTCTGTGCTTATACTTCATAATACCATTAAACGTGACTGTGTGCTTTTTACCCTCCAAATCTGCCTGAATGGGATTCATGTAGACACAAACTGGCTGAGCTCAGCTGGTTTGGTTCATGTCCAAATGCCTTTGCTGCTCTGCTGGGGTGCAGATACAAGACTATCCCTTGCAAGAGGCTTGGTTGTCAGCAAGTTAAGCACTACATACTAAGGACCTGCTTTCTTCACATTAAAAATAATTCATAATAAAATCAATGTTATTATTTTTTCACTGAATACTAGGAGATTCTGATAATGAGCTTCTGTGCTATCTTTTCTCTGTAGATAACCATGTTCAGCAGCTTCAGTCAGCGTACGCCACTTCTCATCAGTTCCAGCAAATGTCTAAGGACTTCCAGGCCTGGCTAGACAAAAAGAAAGAAGAGCTGAACCAGGCTCGTCCTGTGTCGGCCAAACTTGAAACCTTGCAGTCCTTAATTGAAGAACAGAAAGATTTTAAGAAGACTCTGACCAATGAAATTGGTTCATATGAAAAAATTGTTGCAGAAGGAGAAAGCATCTTACAGAAGACTCAAGGAGCTGACAAAGCAGCCTTACAGTCCCAAATTGCCACACTTAGGAGTAACTGGGATGAAATGGATAAGCAGGTAAAAGAAAGGCAAGATAAATTAACAGACTGTCTGGAGAAAGCCCTCAAATATAAACAGCATGTAGAAAATTTGCAGCCATGGATAGAGAAATGCCAAAGCAACCTGTCTGAATTAAAAGTTGGCATCAACCCTGCAGAAATAGAGAATTCTGTTGTTCAGGTGAGGGCCTGGCAGAAGGACCTGGATAAACATCACGGGATGGTGGAGCTATTAAATAACACTGCTGAAAGTTTGCTCAGCGCAAGTGAAATAGATAAAGAAATTGTTAGAGAAGAAACCAAGGCACTGAATCAGAAAGTGAATACGGTCACAGAACAATTACATAAGAAGAGAGAGTGCTTGGAAAATATGGCACAAAGGCTGAAAGAGTTTCAGGAATCATCCAAGGAAACAGAAAAACAGCTTAAAAGTGCCAAAGAGCATCTGGAAGCTCACGATTCGCTTGGACCTCAGTCATTCAGTAACAAACACCTGACAATGATGCAGGCCCAGCAGAAGGCTTTACAGACCTTAAAGCCTCATGTTGATTTAGTAAAAAAGCTTGCCCAAGACCTGGTGGTAGAAGCTTCTGATTCAGCTGGTGTTTCTGACCTTTTGCTCCAAGCTGAATCTTTGGAGCAGGAATACAATGCAGTGAACCAGCAGGTTGAAGATAGGTGCTCGTTCTTGGAGACAAAACTTCAGGGAATTGGCCATTTCCAAAACAGCATCAGAGAGATGTTCTCTCAATTTGCAGAGTTTGATGACGAACTTGATAGCATGGCTCCAGTGGGGAGAGATCTTGATGTACTGCAATCCCAGAGAGAGGATATAAAACGTTTCCTGAAAAAATTGGAAGATCTTATAATGAATAATGAAAATGCTAATAAAAACTGTAAAATGATGCTAGCCACAGAAGCTGAAGCTTCTCCTGATCTTGTTGGTATAAAGCGAGACTTGGAAGCATTAAATAAACAGTGCAACAAGCTCCTAGACAGAGCAAAAGCCAGGGAAGATCAAGTGGAAGGTACAATTAGCCGTGTTGAGGAATTTTACAGTAAGTTAAAAGAATTTTCCAGTCTGCTTGGGAGAGCTGAAGAGCACGAAGAATCACAAGGTCCTGTTGGAATGGAAACAGAAACCATCAATCAGCAGCTGGATACGTTCAAGGTAGGAACATTTCTCTCTTAACTGCTATCGTGTGTTTTACCACAATGCATTTTTTTATTCAGTATCAGTGTGAAAATGATTGGTAAAATCATTTGAGACCTTGGACAAGTCTTCTCTCACATCAGTCAGTTCTACCTGTATGCATTTTATCTATTTTAAATAGTATATCTTCTCTTGCTTCTTCTGCTATCAATTACTAGACATTGGTGTCTTTGCAACCCAATTTTTGCAGTTCCTTTAACCCAGGTCTCCCTCTCTTCCTCTCTTCCCAATCTTACTTCTTTGTGCAATCCATCTGCCTTTCCGGTTTTTGAGAACTCCATATTGTTTCTGTTCCGCTGTCCATGTATCACACAAACTTCCTTTTCCATGTGGTGTGAATTTAGGCTCTGGTGTTCACATACCACAATCCATACTTGCTTCATTTACATGAGTAGCTTTCTTTTTTTTTTTTCTCTTTTTTTTTTTTTTTTTCACATGGGTAGAGGCAGCAGTGTCTGAGAGTTTAACACCTTACCACTGTCCAGTTTTACCTCATCGAATCCAATCCTTACCTAGAAATATACTGATAAGAAGAATTCAAGTTAAATGAAACTCCTTTTACAGAAGGAGCTTGTTGTAGCATCCTTATCCAAGATGCACTTGGGAGCCTCTGTGCGTAGCTTTTTTAATATGCCAGCTGGCGACCGTTGTCCAGCTCAGAAAAATACATTGCAGCAATACTGGGTGTAAAGTGTAAGGGTGCTTTAGTGCTGAAACGAAGTGCAGATCTTTGCAGATTTTAGGCTACAAGAAATGAATTTGCAGTGCTCACTGGGAGGGTTTATAAGTTACACAGGTGTAAGCGGTGCTTGAAAAAGCTCCTAAATCTCCCACTGGCTGTGTAGTAGCACTCAATCTCATGTGCTGCTTTGGATTCATTCCGATCTAATATTGGTTCAAATGTTTGTGTGACTTGTAAATTAGTACGCAGTTAATCCTAAAACAATCCTGCACAACGTGATTTGATAAACCATGCCGGTGGAGAGACCGCCTTGGAGAAAAAGTAATGACATGCTTGGCCCAACAGAGGGGGCCTTTTGCTTGTGCAGACTAAACCGTGTTGGAGAGGCAAACCGAAGGCTGATGGTTCAGTCTGGGAGTTGCAGCTGAAAGTTCCTATCGGTTGCAATGATCTTTTAGAGTGCATAGAGACAGAAATCTGGAACAAATAGTTACGTTTTTAAGAGATTCCATTAGATTGTGCCTGTTAAATTTGTATGCTAACCTATCTCAAGCTAAAAGGGAAGCAAATGGCTTATCTTTGTATATGGTTAGTAAAACACTTGGGAAATTGGAACATAACATAGTCGGTGCAGTTTCCTAGGCGTTGACTTGGTGTCGTGCTTTGTAAGGTCAATGGAAAAGATGCTCAGCTGTTGCAAAATTCAGGAATGAGATCCTTGTCTGGCCTGTGCAGGAAGAGTGTCCCTGTAACCAAAGAGTGGTAAAAAGACCCAAAAAAAAATGAAGAAGGGAAAGGAAAGTAGCGATAGCAGCATGTTTATATGTGTGCTCCAGGATTGTATTTATATAAGATATTTGTAAGCTTAGAAGTGTACTTAGAAGTGCAGTAATAAAATCAGAGTGTTTGACAAGTGGAAGTAGGGAGAACAGAACAGGGAGTGTTACTGGGTGACTGTAGGTACCAAAGGCATGCTGAGTTGGGGAGTGTGGGGTCAACGATCCCTCTCCTAATCTGTGAGCACTACTGGCACGCATGGCAGCAAAATGACAGTAGCTGTTGTACCTCTTCATACTCCTTGTCCTTCCAGAGAGCAATTTTACCCGAGGCAGCAAACTGTAGGCGCCCATCAGTCTTGCTCCACTCGTGGTGCTCTTGCTCACGCGTTTGTGCACGTAGGCAGGCACACACAACCTGAAAATGTGGCTCTGGCCACAAAACCCCAGTGTAGCTCCTTATGTCTTTAGCTCCTGTAGTCAAGCACAAGCAACTTCTATTCCTCAGGAGCAAAGCAAAATGCTCCTTGGTAGATAGATTTATCCACATGATGTCTGCAGTCTCTTCAGGGAAGGATCTGGTGTAATGGGCCAGAGGTGGTTTTTGTGGTTTGACTAGTTTTTATGCATAAGAGCAGAGCTTTGTGCGTCTTCTTGGCATGACATTAAAATGCAGAGTTATTTAAAAAAACAAACAGACTTGGAGTAGTATTTTATATATATATTGTTATATACACACATCCATATTTGTTTTATTTATATTCCTTCTTTGTAATCCACTTATTCCAGCCAGGATGGAATGTTAAATCGAAAGTAGTTATTGTCAGTGTTAAACTGCATTTATTTACAATGCAGATATAAAACTTGCTTTCTGTAAATGAAAATCCCCTGTGGAGTTCATTTGAAAGTAGACTTCATTAGACTGTTACTTCACAAACTACACCAGGAAGAGTATAATCAAAGAATTTGTCTCAATTAATGTAAAACAGACAAAATTAATTACAGATTAATTCAGCTTTATTAGATGTTCCCTCCCCCAGTCTTTGTGTAAAGCAGATACTGGTAGTAAAGAAAATTTCAGTAAATGAGGTCTGCTCAGTTACACTGAGTCTGCCTCCCTCCTCAAAAAGTGAAATACAAAAGAATTGTACAAATGGGGCTTAACAGAGAGCCCTGCGTTTGGGTAGCTACACTTGGCACTTGGAGCAGTATTGCAGCTTGGTTTTCCAAAAGAGAGACAGAAGAACCCCAGAAGCTGAATTACTTTACTTCTCGAAACCTTTGCACAGTTCCTTGTACTGCCATAAAGAGGTATTCTTAGTAAAAAAAAACTACACAGAGCTCTTGCAGCTTTCATCAGTTCATTTGATTTTTGCTTTTATTTTCAGAAGAAATGTAGATGTAGCTGTTAAAGAGGTTACCTTCTAATTTGACTTTATAGGAATTTTTAGCTAGCCTGAGTATTCCTGCCAATGAGCTTGAGCTAAGAGTTTAATTGGCTTATGGTAGTTGTGTGGAGAGTGTCTGTCCTCTGATTTTCACTTTGAAGGCAGATAATGTTGAAAAAATAATCTGAGGTTGCTCAAATAAGAAACTGGAAGTGTCGCGTTTCCCGTGAGCTGGTTTACAAACACCGTAATAAGCTACTGACTTTGCGCAGAATCTACTACTTTTAGGGTCTCTGTTAAAAAGCAAAGGCAAAAGAAAGCTGTTCTAATTTAAGTATTGCTTTTGAAGGTGACTGGTGCATCTCATGCAAGTCCTCAATGTGGATATGGTGAAAAATGGTAAAATATTTTTTAAATGTTAATAATTTTGCACTGCAAAACGTATGGATTTCAGTTACATACTGCCTCTGTAAAACAACACAGCATCCTTTGCGTTGAATGAGGGTGTGTTTGTGACTATTTGTGGTGAGAATAAGCACGGATGACAGGTCCTCGCAAATGCTTTACTCATCCTTACCATTATAGTATGGATTCTTAGCTGGAGAGCCCAGAGGTGAGTTTGTTTGACTCATTTTGGTACATTTTGGCTGCTCATGGAGCAGGCAGGGTATGTGAGACGGGGCTAGAGAGAATTTGCCACATGTGACTTAAATATTTAGAAGTGTAGCTGACTATATCAAAGAAATCAATAAACAAAAGGTGTGGTGTGTCTGTGTGCCTTGCATAAAAGGCATCCTGCTCGCTGCTTAACTCAGCAAGCCTCAGCTGATTGTTGCTAATGCCCTGCCGCAAGTTTTAGCACCCAGTGCCATATGCTGTCCTTAAACTGAGCTCCGAAGCCCGGCTACACCCAGAGCTCCTCTCCCGAGGCAGGGAGGCCTCTGGCCACAAAGGGATGGTTGGTGCTGGCCCAGCAGGCTGCTTCTCGGGTACCAGTGGCGAATTAACCTGTGGGTCTCCCAGCCCAGCCCATACATTATTATGAGCTACGTGCAAAGCGCTGAGGAGATGGAAATGTCCAAGACCTGATCTTCTGTCCTGTGTCACTGCTTTCATGCTGCTCCCAGTCTGGCAAAAACCATCTTCCACGTATAAGCAGTTTTATTCGTTCATTTTTGCTTTTATCCTGCCAAAAGCCAGGGCAGAGGGGCAGCTGGACCCCTGCTGCCCCTTGCCCCGAGCCTGGAGGCTGGTGCCTGTGAGCCACACACCGGAGGTGAACGGGAACAAAACCGTGTGAAACATTCAACAGAACTCAAAAGCATTAAAGCGAAATTGGTGTCGGTGGTGGCGGGGATCCGTAAAGAGTGAAATTGGGGGCGGATCCGTCAAGATGTCCAGCTTAACTTCCACAGCCAAACGACGGCGCCGGCAGCCCTCAGCTGAGGGACGCCCTGAGGCGTTCGCCGGGCAGGGGCGGGATGCCCAGCCCCGGGGGGGCACGCACCGCCCGGGGGGAGCCAGCCGAGCCCTGTCACCCTCCCTGCCGCCCTCCCTGTCACCGTGCCGGCCCCGGCGTCGCCGTCGGGGGGCAGCAGGCGGCGGGGGGCCGGGGAGGAGGTGGCCGGGCACCGCCTCCCATCCGCCGGGCGCGGGGAGGCCGGGCGGGGCGGGCGGCGGGGGTAGACGGTGCCTGAGAGGCAGGCGGAGGGGCGTTGCTGCGGGAGGCCGCCCTGCAGCCGCCGGGGAGCTGCCGGGCTCCGCTCCGCTCCGCTGGATGGCGGCGGCCCTCGTCCTGCCCTGCCCGGCTCCCTCGTCCCGGCCCGCCACCGCCACCGCCTCACCGCCGCGCCTCAGGGCGAAGGGGCCGTAGCGGGGCGGGCGAGCTGCTGGTGCCTTGCCGGGGGGAGCCTGCGAGTGGGCTCTGCCCCCCTCCGCCGCTGCCTTGGAAGGGGAGCAGCTCCCCGGGACGGGGTCGGGGGGCTCAGCAGCCCCCGTTTTCTTTTTTTTATTATTTTTTATTTTTTTTTTTTTTTGGCCGTGCCTCAGGGACGCGATGCTCGCCCCTGCGAGCGCCGCCGAAGAGCTCGGGACGAGGGGAGAATGAGCCGCCCCTCAGAGCGGGCTCATCCCCAGCCGCTGCCAAAAACAAAGTCAAGGGCTCTCCGATGCTTCTGGCCGTGCCGGATTTAACTTATTTTTTTATTTTTAACTCCGAAATTTCCTCCGTGCCTTCGGTCTGAACCGGCCGCAGCCGCTGCGGAGGCTGCGCTCTGGGGCTGCCGTGCCATGGTTTATTTATACAGGAGATGGGTTTCTGCGCGCCGCGTAAATGGATTACAGTTCAGCAGGCACCTACAGGAGATAATGTGCTGCCTGCTGTAATGCTGGCTCGTTCGGAAGGCTTAATCTGGAGATTTAAGAGACAAATTCTGACCTGAAAAAAGAAGTGGGATGTTCCACGGAGGGCTTTAAGTGGTTGAGCCGCTGCTGGGGTTTGCTATACTTGGTTTGCCTCTGATATCGGAAGATTTCTGTTCCTTTCTTACTGAAGCACTTTATATTTTAGAGAAAAAAAAAAAAAAAAGTAACTCATATCCAGGTAAAGTTGCATTTAAACCGGTGCACTGATTCTGACCTTAACCACCTCATAAGTTATGCTGTGTATTTTGTATCTATGCATCCTGTGCTAAGGGCAAGTTTACTGTAGCTCTTTGGACTGGTAGTGGGTTTTTACATGTTTCCCTCGTATCTCTGAAAGCAGAGGCGTGGTGGTTACCCCTGTGTGGACAGTTTCGAGATGGGGAAGCCACTGAGCAGGCCGGACTGTTTGCGTCAGAATCCTCCATGTGTAGGCAAAGGGGAGGAAGATGAAGACCTGAACATCGAAGACTGTTACGTTCCCCAGAGGTCCATCTACGACACGGTGCGGCTCAATGAACAGATCGATTCGGGCTCCAAGGGCAGCCTCTCCTCGAGGCACTTCACGGACCGGACCTTGCCCTACAGTCACAGGACGCTGGATATCAGCACGCTGTGCTCCAACGGTGCCCTGACGTCTTCCAGTGTGTTTGAGCTCAGGAGTCGCGAGGCCAACAAGTTGGATGAAAAAATGATCTTCGACGCTCTCAAGCTGAACAGCGACATCATTCGAACAGGGGGGCTGCCCAAAGCCAAGTCTCACACGGAAAAGAAGGAGCATCGGCGTTCGTGGAGGATGTTCGTTCCGCCCAACTTTTCAGATTACACGAATAAGAGCGAATGCTCGTTTAGTGAGCCTGCTGATACGTCAGATACAGCTAAATCAGGCAAATGCAAATGGGGTACGAATTCACTTACCTCGGAAGAGGATGATTCTGGTTTGTGCAGCCCTCCAACAGAAAGGGAAGAAAGACAGGATACACTCCTAGCAGGGGAGCAAACCCAAATACAGAGTTTATCTTCTGCAGAAGAAATCCAGGCAGTCGGTCAGCTCAGACCGTTTCTCCCTGCTCTTTGCAGAGAGCAGCAAGCCCCAGTGCTTGCAAGCAGCAGTATCCCTGTCAAGGAAAGCTGCAGATTGACTTCATGTGACATTTTGCCCTCTGGAAGAGTAAAACAAAGCAGTCCACAAAAATGTGAGAGTGATCAGGAAGAGATGGGGGAGAAATACTCTTATTTACAAAGTTTCAAAGAGAGAACTCTGACACATGGAGATCCTCTTCAAGGTGATGGACCAAGTGTTTCCCTCAACCAAAACGAGGTGGAAAATGCATATGAAGTTCATGAAAAGAATAAAACGCGAGCCACAACAGTGGAGAGGGATTATGTGGATGATGCACCTCCTCAGTTAGACGTGTATTATACGAACGGTGCTGTAAATACTGGTGATGTGGATTTAGCAAAATACGAGGTTTTATCAGATCCAGAGGAATCAAGTACAGCACATACAGGCTCAAGTGAAAATGCATTTTCTGTTCAACAGCTTGAATTAGATAGCACTGTAAACTGTCCAAAAGCTATCCCAGGGAGAAGTAGAGGCAATATCTGGACTACAGGCATCCAAGAAACCTTGGATACAGTCTGCAATGGCCTGTTGTCTAATAAGGTAATTAAAAAATATATCCATTTGTGAAATAGTTGTAATGCAACCTTAAGCATAGCTGTTTACAGAAGTCTTTCAGTTTGGCTGTGGCTGGAGACATTGTACATTTTATTAATTCAGCAGATGTAGCAGGCAGTGTCAGTGGCGTAGCGCACCCAAGACGTCCAAAATAGGTGAGATGGTCAGCTCCGAAAATGCACAAGGGGCAATCGCTGACAGGGCTGATTACTTCCAGCTGTTGGGTGTATGGTTATTTATTGTCCAGATGGTGTCTGTTACCCTTGATTTGGAGAGCCTCCACCGCGCGCCGATGTTCGTGTTCAGTTTTTACACAGGCTGTGGTTAAAGGCAATGCCATTCAAGGGCAGCTACAGCCCATTTATTCCGGCTGAGCCGCCTTACTCATAAAGGTATAAGCAACAGTATCAGATTGTTGTGGTTTCCAAGGCATGTAGATTAAAGGCTCACCGCATGTTCTGAAAGCCTTCTTTTGCATTTGCGTGCCAGAAAGTCGATCTGACGGCATGGCAATGTTTTACAAGCACCGGCTCTCACAATGTTTTGTGAGTGGTGGGTGAGGTAAGAAAGTAAAAAGCGAAGCTTGGTAATAAGTAAAGGGTGTTTTGTCAGCTCTGTAATTTTTTTCTTCCCACTCCGGTTGAAATCTGAGATATTTCAGACTTTGTTGCTAAGTTGTTCTGGTAAACTTTGGCCTCAGCAATAATTGTAATTTATTTTAAGCTTCTCCTTGCAAAGAACGCTTGTGTTTGTAAAGGGCAGATTACGGAGATCAGTCCCCTCTGTGGCAGGGCACTGCTTTCAAAAGATGAGGCTTTATGGGACGTAAAAGAAGAATTTGTTATTGATTCTGTGTAAAAAGATTATTCTGCTCCTCCCTACCCTGAAGTGAAGAAAAAGACGAGCATTTTCCTTTTTCTGGGAAGCAGCCAGCTGGTTGTGCCCTGTGAGTTTTTGTGAAACCACAGTTTTCATTTATTTTTTTTGGTCCACAGTAGCAAAATTCGTACGGATGCTTAATTGCTTTTACCCGTCCCGCTCAGTATATTTGCTCTGGCCTCTAGATTGACTTGTCAAGCTCCTGGAAGTGTGCTCAGCCACCTGGGGGCTGCCTCTTTAAAAGAAATCACTTGCCATACTGTGTTTGGTGCAAAAGAGGAGTCATTGGTATGTTTGAAGTGATTTCTGCTTTTCAGGATGCTGAGAAAGGTTGCTTTGAATGCTCTAAATGTACACCAAAACTGTTACTGAATGCTGCTATAGAAATAGAAGGATTTAGGGTCAAAAGTTGAGCATTCTTTAGCATTGTTTATTCATTGGTTATTTTTCACTGGCCTGTGTAATTAATTCAGGGGCTTCGGGCCATTTTCTGATCTCATTGACACTGGTGTCAGCTCAGCCTCATTCAGTTGAATACAAGTGGAGATTTACATTGCTGTTGCTAATGGTAATAATCTGACTCTGAAAAGCCTTAAATACCTGAGAGAGTAAAATAAAGCAAACAGAAAACTGTTCAAATTGCTCTTTGGGTCCGGTCAAAGACCTGGCAATTTGCAAGAGTATCTCACAGAATTAAAAACCATTCTCATGGGTCTCCACTGTGATGCTGTTTCAGCAGCATCCGTACTGCCTCCTCACTTTTTACCTTTATATTCTCATAAAACCTGCCTTGAAATCATTCTCCCTTCACTGCTCCTTTAACTTGGAAGTTTTGTCTTTGCCCTAATTTGGAAAAAAATGCCCAATAGTCTGTCTTGGTGTTTGTTTGTTTATTTAAGGACAATTTACGGTCCTTCTGCACCATGTTTTGGTAGGATTTATAGACAGATAATGAAACAGATAAATGCATTCCTTGTCTTCAGATGCTTTCCTTGATTCTTTCTCCCTTTCCTTCCTGTCGAGAACTACTCATGGAAATGTACGTCATTTTACCTCAATGGTGTATTACATTTATTCTGTTTAGATTAAGTCTGTTTTGTTTAGATTTATTGATTTATTTTTTTAGGAGGGCGCTGGTGAGGAATGGTTTCCTTTCTTTTAGATACCAACTCAGCAAATTCAGCATTTTTGGGTTGCGTAATGTGATGGAAGCACTAGATGTGTTTTATGTTAGCAGTCATAATGTTTCACGTGTGTCTTGTTTTTCTAACTGCAGGTATTCCAGAAAGAAGAAATTGAACCCCTGCAAGTTAAGCAACAGGAGGTAAATTGGTTGGGCCAAGGCCTTATTCAAAGTGCTGCTAAAAGTACCAACACAGAGAACCTTGAACATGACCTTGAAGACGTTAACACCCGGTGGAAGACTCTTAATAAGAAGGTTATTATTTTGTATACTATTCTGCTTTTGTCGTGTCCTATATTTTGATTACTTATTTACTGACGTCTTTCAAAACACAGGAAATTAAATATTCAGTGAGACTATGAATTGTGTTGCTTTACACAATATCTTCACCAGTAATTCTAAGGATCAGATTTGTATCGCTTGTTGCCAGAGGTATTGCTGTCATTTATAAGGTTTTGTCAAACTTTCTGTAGGTCCATCATGGTTTTTCACTGAGGAAAGATTCCTCCAGGACTGCGTGTTCCTTTCTGCATAAGCAAAGCAGAGAAGGTTGATAACCCAGTCAAAGAGGCAGGAACTGTGATGCCTATATGGAAAAAGCAGCAAAGTCATTTGTAGATAGCTGCTTTTGAGTAGGTCCTCTTCTGTCTTTGTTCACGTTTTTTTTTCCTTCTGTTGTATTTGTGTGCACTGGTCATACCTGTGGAGTGCAGCGCTGATACAGCCCAGCTTTGTGTGACTTGTGGCACATTTCCTTTGTAGTACCTTAAGGGTTGCCTGAGCCATTGGAAGGTACCACTGCTTTGGAAAACTTGCTGTAGATTTACTTTTTTTTCTGATGCTTTGAAGACTTCTCTTCCTGAAGTAGCTGCTGTTGAAAATGGCAAGGGTGGGAAGTGGAAACTGCATTTGGTTTCCTCTGCTCTCTGTCTGCCTGAAGGGGTGATGCAGCAGGACCACAGACACTTGTAATGCACTTATTTGTCCTCTCCTTTCCTATTTCTTCTTTCCTTTGAAGGGCTTATTGCCCCTTAACTGCTGCTTTGGGTGCCTGGCTCAGTCTTTTTATAAGGAAAATATAGACCATCTGAAACACAAACATCCTGTCAGTGTACTTCATAATACTGTAGCTATATAAAACAGGAGCATCTCCTGTAATGGACTACTAGAGCAGTCTAGTTCACTGAGAGTCAACCGCTCTTCACTTGATGACTGTGGAGATTAATGGTACGTTGTGCCATAGTGCTGCTACAAATAGCTTTGAAAATGAGAGCACAAGTTAATGATATTGCCAGGTGTTGAGCAAATTTTGGCCGCTTGTTTCACAGAAATAAGAAAAAAGGTGAGTACAGTCAGATGTTCTATTTTTCGTCAGGTTGCCCAGCGTGCTGCACAATTGCAGGAAGCTCTCCTTCACTGTGGGAGGTTTCAGGATGCCCTTGAATCTCTGCTTAGCTGGCTCATTGATACAGAAGAACTTGTGGCTAATCAGAAACCACCATCTGCTGAGTTCAAAGTCGTGAAGGCCCAGATACAAGAACAGAAAGTAAGTAAAATCCGTTCAGAGTATCTCTCTTTTCACTGGAGCAATGAGAATAAATTCCCAGTCTTTGTCAAAGCATGAAGTCTTTTCAGGTGTACCAAGGTGGTTAAGACAGCCATCCATTTGGTACTCCAGAGTCTGCCCAGGGCTCGGAGAAAGGCTCGTCTTCTGGGAGCATAGGACAGCTTATGACACTGCAATCTGAGCTCTAGTTAGAATAATTAACACCCTCTGGAAAGAGATGTTAAAGGTCCATTGGAAAAAGGGACGACGTAAAATCCAGTTTTTGGCAATTTCGCCAAAGTAGGAAATAAAACATAGAAAGTTTTTCATTGTAATAACTCCAATAAGTACTTGAATCTTGATCCTGTTCTGATCTGATCATTGTTGGTAATTATTTGGAGTGCTCTTGGGGAATGGACTGGGTTAATATAAAGACACCAGCAGTGTTATCACCTTCTGTGAATTTTCAAAATGGTCACAGAAAAAAGAAGCACACTGTAGCTCATAGAAGTCCACGCAGTTGGACTGTGTGGCCAGCTCCCATGCAGACATTTAACATAAATCTGTGGCCAAAACAGGTTGTCATTTTGGGATCCCTGCAGAGGAGGGAATGGTCATCTTACCAAAGGTTACTAGAGAATGGGGAGAGAAGTGGCACAGAAGATTTGAGGCAGAAGTGGAATTTATTCTTGAGGAAGAAAATAATTTATTAGACTAGATCAGTGAATTCCATTATATGTCTCAAAGTGGTTCAGAGAATAAAATGAGCATCTGGGGGTGGGGAGGAGGGGAACATCTCCCTTTTTGGATTAGCATTATTCACACCATCACAATATAGCATCACACTTCCATCAAAATAGCATTGTGTTTTTTTTTTTTTGCTTAAGAGGTTTTCAAGAAGTCCAGCTCCTTCTGTTTTTACACTTGTGATATTACAATGTTCCTTAATAACCTGCTGTCGGATTGCTTTCTCTCTAGCTTCTCCAGAGGTTGCTGGATGACCGCAAGCCTACTGTTGAGGTAATCAAGCGTGAAGGGGAGAAAATTGCAGAGTCAGCAGAACCTGCTGATAAAGTGAAAATCTTGAAACAGCTGAGTTTCCTCGACAGTCGATGGGATGCATTGCTCAGTAAAGCTGAAACAAGGTATTTGAAATTCTTTCATAGCTTTGAAAAATATAGACATAGCACGTGATAGATGGTTAGAAGCAGCAAGTGGAACTCTAATGTGAAATCTTTTTAACTACTATCATACTTGTTCGTACATTACATCGTTGTGTCTCGATGTTGATATAATAGGTCCTCTGAAGAAAAAGTGGAGAGACATGCCTTGAACAGAGTAAAAGCTTTAAACAAATGTTTAATTTGTTTTAATAACGTTTTAGCCTAAGGTGTGACAATCTGCTAGGATTGATGGCATGTGTATCCTCTGAACATTTTATCTCTGTTGGTTCATTTAATTGAAGTTTCTTGATTAAGAAAAGCACATCTATTTTGCATAGAATCAAGTACATTCTTGACACTTACTAATGATATTACCTCAAAACTTAAAAATCCTGACATTCTGCTACAAAGAGGGGGCACTCAACTCTTCCCCTCTTTTGCTGTTTGATGTCATCTATGTCATCAGTTTCTAGCATTTAGTAACCCTCATGCTGTCAGTTTCTGATGTACTTATGCAAGGTGCTGAGCTGCCTTAGTTCTCAAGAAAAAAAGGACCATTGAGGTATGCAGATATATTCTAGCAATGCAGAAACACTCTTAAAGAGATTGCAGTCCAATTCAAGTTCCAATTAAAAAAAAAGACACAATATTCACATATACAGACACTTAGATACTTTATGATTTGTCTATGATTCTAAACTCACCTATATTGCCTTCTATTCCCTCTGTAGTTCCTTTACTCCAAACCTCTTTAGTTGCCTTGTACTAATAATACAATTATTTAATTAGTAGAGTCAACCACTAATAGACAATTATTTCCTTTTTTTTTTCTTTAATTTATTGAAAGTATCTGACTCATTAGCTGGGTAATGTTATGTTTAATTTAATATTCTTCTCCCAGTCTGGTGATGTATAATTAAAAATGAAATTGCATTTTTTTCTAAGCTATCTATTAGTTGGAAGCTTGTCTCCATTTTTCTTTGGCTGGTCTCTTGAAATGAAAAGGAGATCTGACAATGATTTTGAAAACTAAGTAGAGTATTTCTGTGAGCATTCTATAGCTAACTGTGCCAGGCCTGTTGGGTCTCCCTTGCTTATAAACCTTGGGAAGCATGTGTGAACATAGCTTTTACCTGGAATAAGATCCCCTGTTGAAAGACAATATTGTGATGTTTTTCATGTAGGAGAAATCTCTCTTAAAAGCATGCTTGAGGGAGATTTCTTTCTACTACCAGTGGTGGTAGAGGAGACTATTCCTGTGATCAAGAATCTTCTCTGAAAAGTAATAATCTGGAACAGAAATGTTTTAGATACTGCTTTTTTTTTTTTTTTTGAGGTCAAGTCTCTGTGCTTTATTAACATTGTCTCATTAGTTTCATCGAGAGCTTTTATCCAGAACAAGAGATACAGAGTAGAGCCAAGTAGTTCTGCTCACATCACTGAACAAATGTTAAAAGGTATTTTACAACGCTGAGTAAGCATGATAATGTGTTCTGGTTCAATAAAGCCTTTGAGTAACTTTAAAACTTGTAATAGGGAGATGTAACTTAATGCTTAAAGACAGCTACAAGTTGAGAACTACCTTAATTGGGTATCGAACAATGTTTTGCTGAATGGAGTGCTAGAAAAAAAGTATATGAATATGGTGCTAATCCTTTTACTTATAAAACTTACCTATCAGCTATAAGAACTTCAAACAGCTTTGGAGGTAGGTTTTGTTTGGGTTTTGTTCAACTTGCTTTTTTATTGGATATTGTGGATGTATTTCTGTTTCATTTTCATATATTTCTATTTCATATTGTAGTTCCTAGAATAAGACAGAATTGTGGTTTTTGTTTGTTTGTTTCCAAAGATTCAAGATTCAAGGGTCTTTTTAAAAAAGAAATATTTAATATATACTTCCTCACACAAAAAAAACACCTTGTTTGTAGGAACCGCCAGTTGGAAGGCATCTCAGTGGTAGCACAGCAGTTTCATGAAGCTCTGGAGCCACTGGTGGAGTGGCTGACCGCCACAGAAAAGAGGCTTGCAAATGCTGAACCCATTGGAACGCAGGCCTCCAAACTGCAACAGCAGATTGCTCAGCATAAAGTAAGATACAAACCACAAATTTGCTTGTGCCATTCTTTCTAAACTCATCTGTAAAGTACAGCACAAATGGGAAAGCTGTTGTGCTGTACCATTGTTTTACCATACTGATTTTTTTCTGTTATTTGAGTTTTATCTGTTTATGTTGGCAATATGTCATTTTTTTATTCAGTTTTTATTTAGTTCCACTTACGTTTCTTTTATGTTTTTCTCATTTTCTTTTCCATTATTCTTCATTATTCAAAAAATATATAGGCTCTAGAAGATGATGTTCTAGCTCACAATAAGAGTTTACATCAGGCCATTAGTATTGGTCAGTCTCTAAAGACTATGAGCTCCAGGGAAGATAAAGATATGGTGCAGGAAAAGCTAGATTCTTCTCAGGCCCGATACATTGAGATTCAAGAGAAGAGCAACAGCAGGTCTGAACTTCTCCAACAAGCCTACTGCAATGCTCAAATTTTTGGGGAGGACGAAGTTGAATTGATGAACTGGCTGAATGAAGTCCATGATAAACTCAGCAAATTGTCAGTCCAAGATTGCAACGCAGAATTGATTGAGAAACAGCACTCTGAACTACTGGTATTTTGATTTCTGTTCATTTATTATTTCATTCAGTTTTGTATATGGTTTACATATCCATGTTTTATTTATTTTTCATTAATATATTTTATTTAAAATGGAAACATGCTTATTCCAAATAAAAGTAGTATCATTTATTATGTCCGTGCTTACACAAATGACATTTCCTCTTAGGATCTTCAGGAGGAGATTCTTCTTAGAAAACAAAATGTTGATTTGGCTATACAAAATGGCTTAGAGCTTCTCAAGCAAACAACAGGTGAGAGCTTTTAGAAAATTACAATTCACTGGGCTTTTTTTCTTGTACTTGAAAGTGCTTATGAGAAGAGTGAAGTCAAACTTGTAAATATTAGTCCATACTTGCTGCTTAAAGCGGTTGCAGTTGTCTATTTTAATAAAGGTTTGAGGTCAAGGTAGGTTACGTTTTGGACCAAATGTGTGTGAGCAAAAGTCCATTTATGCTTGTAGGGAATTTGGCCCTTGAATTCCTTATTATTTTTAGTGGCAAATTATTTTAGTGAACCTGCATTCCATTCCTAATAGGAAGTTATGAGCATTACTCAGAATGGAGGGCTGTTTGGCAGTGGACACAGTCAATTCCCTGGAGCCATTCACAGATGAATGAGATATTAGACTACCTTTAACTGCAAGAGGAAAGCTTTGACCATTGGAGCTAATATTGTGGGAAAAGTTGCATTCCAGTTGTACACAACGTCTGTTCTGTAGATCAACATCTGTCCAGATTTTCCAGTACTTTTATAGTTCTTGAACTCTGTAAGACACACACGGCCGAAGGAGGGGAATCCTTTTTCTATTCCACACTTAAACATTATGCGTATTCTGTAATGAAAACTGAATATATACTAATACATTTCAGGAGGTTGCTTTTACTTTAGCCTTTTGAGTTGTTTTGAACAGATGGTAAAGCGTGTACATGTTAAAGAATGATATATTACTGTAGTTAATATTTGGTTGATTTTTTTTCTTACTATTTTCAGTGACTTTTATAATCTGTTTTTTTTGTTGTTGTTATTGTTTGATTTTTTTTTTTTGGTGGGGGTGGCTTTATAAGAAGTATCGTGATTTTCTAAAGAACATCTGCATTAAATTTTGGGTCACATTCCTTACTTTCTGAAACTTTAGTAAAGCAAAAAACCACAGAAGGTTAGATCCTGAATTGAGGTAAACTTTGTAGCTCTGTAGACTTTTAGTGAAGTAGAATATTTACAAGAGGTGAGGATTTGCCCTGTCACCTTGTTTGGGTCATTTTATAAATTAAATTATTGAGATTGCTGTAATAGGTGTGGGTTGATGTTTGGGATTTTTTTTTCTTTTAAGGATTTGTGTTCATAGGAAATAACATCCTTCTGATATTTTAGGTGATGAAGTTGTAATAATTCAAGATAAACTGGAAGGCATTAAAGCGAGGTACAAAGACATTACAAAATTGAGCTCTGACGTGTCCAAGACCTTAGAGCAGGCTCTGCAGCTTGCAGGTCAACTACACTCAACCCATGAGGAGCTCTGCAAATGGCTTGATAAAGTGGAAGTGGAGTTACTGTCATATGAAACTCAAATACCAAAGGGTGAAGAATTAAGCCAAGCACAAGAAAGACAAAAAGTAGGTTTTAGAACCTGTGAATTATTTATTGCTGAATGATTCAACTAAGTTTTGTGTTAACTTCTGTTTGGCAGGAAGTTGTTTTGTGAATAACTAATTTGGCATCGGATCATCTGACTAAATGTAGCAGTAGTTAAGAATTGAACTCACTTTCCAGAGTCATCTGTTATAATCACTTACAAAACTGGGCTGAGGTTTATTTTTAGCACAGAAGCACAACATTTCCTTTTTGTTTGAGCAATTACCTAATCCTGGGAAAACTCCTAAATTGTCAAACAAAGTTATTTTGGTTCTTTAGTTATGACATGGATAAAATCCTAAAAAGTATAAAAAAGACAGCATTTAAATATATTACTAATTTTGTTTATCAATAAGTATTTTTTTTAATGTAGCACAAGTTGGATAGTTTTGAAAGAAAAAAAGCTAAAAAAAATACATTAGTTTTCTGATATATATATATATATATATATATATATATATATATATTTATATAAAGAAAAAAAAAAAAAAGAATCAGCAATAGGGTTTCCTGTAAAGAAAAATGTCATTCCTGAAGGATTGTATGATGATTTGACTGGGATGTAATCCAGTCATTGCTCATTTCAGGAATCGCTTGAATTCATCATATTTTGCTTCATTTCATACTTTTGGTGGTGATTTAGTTCTTTATGGAGTTGCAGGGTGCAAAGAATATGTGTTAGTTTTATTTTATCGGATTGCTTCGTTAACTACTAACAACTCTAATAAATTCCAGAGAATTTCAGAGTATCACATTGACTGGAGAAATGTTTTTAGGATTATTCTATAGAAACTTTCAAGCATCACTCACTTTTCTGTCAAACAACTGACAAGTATCAAAAAGCTCATAAAACGGAGCTGAAAATAATTGTGCTAATTTATCCCTTTGGTGTGCCTGGAACACATTTCAGTTCTCAACACGGTAGTTGAGAGAATAAAAACCATGTGCAAGCTGTGTGTGTGTTCAGCTCATGTGTTGGCACATTTACTTTAAATGGCTTTTTGCAGGAGCTGAAAAAGGAAGCAAAGAACAACAAAGCCTTAGTGGACACCCTGAATGAAGTTGGCAGTGCCTTCCTGGAGCTGGTGCCATGGAGGGCCAGAGAGGGGCTCGACAAGATGATAACAGAGGACAACGAGCGATACAGATTGGTGAGCGACACGATCTCGCAGAAGGTGGATGAGATTGACGCTGCCATCCTGAGATCCCAGCAGGTACAGAAAACTGGGTTTTGGGCCATACTAAGTTGTCTCTGGCAACATGTACCTGAACAGAAGATGTCCTTTAATAGCGTTGCCAAACGTTTGTTGTGCTCGAGCAGCAAAAGGCCTGTTTGAATGGAATGTGACTCCACTGTAAAGGTATGCATGCTAGAATGTACGCTGGTGTAATCATCTGACTTCTTGTTGACACAAACCTCAGTCCTGCAGCTAATATTGCTCTAACTATCCTGTGGCTTCTTAAGTGGGAGTTTGCTTGGGTAAGAACTGAATGGCTCATATCTTTCACAGATCAGGTTGTGTTAGGGAAAATAGAGTCCAGTTCCCCAGCAAATCTTCCTGGATGCGACATTGAGATCACTAATGTAGCCATACCTTCAAGCATCAGTTGATTGTCTTGCTCCTCTGTACTTTTGACAATTAAAAGCTGGATCATCCTATTCCAAGCTGCACAGGAGAATTTAAATAACAATTGCTTTTACTCATATCCACAACACTTTTCTTCTTGGGACACAAAAACTGAGTTTTTAAATACATGAAAGTTTCTAAACACACACAGATGTGTATATATGGTACACTTCGAGAACTGCCATTCTAATTTCATCGCTAAATAGTCCCATATTTAAGCTCCGTACTTATAAAAGCATTGTGGAGACACAATTTCCCACTTTATGCCTACAGTTCAGGCATAAAAATATCGGTGGAGATTTGTCTTTCTCCTAACAGTTCCTGTAAATGGTTATAATGGGACAAGGAGAAAGCATGTGTGACACTTCCAAAGTTTCTTGAAAGCCAACTGAAAGAGGCTGGCAGTAACTCAGATCTCCTTATTTCTGAGGTTAAAAATAACTTCATGCTTAACTTTTTAAGGGGTATGCTATGAATATTATCTCATCTCATTAAACTAAATCCTCAAAAATGAAGGGTGTTTTTCTGGTGAGTGATAAGGTGAGATAGAAGAGTGGATGTTGGCTCTCCTTAAACCTGACGGAATTGTGTGAGTATGTTGCATCCCCTAGCACCAGTTCAGCAGATTCAAGTCCAGGCATGAAAGGTCCAGAGCTGCTGCTCCACTCACTGATATTGCGAGGGCATCTTGCACCCTACTACCCCCCAACCTCCACTTTAGCCCATCTCACACCACCCCACTGTACATCCCATGTACTATATCCCATGATTAAGTGGCTTAATGTGTTTCCAGTGAAGCACAAGCTGCTTTCCATTTTGCTCACAGATAGACCATGCATAATATAAAATATTTTTGGAGGAGCTGATGCTTTGTGAGCTTGCCCTGAACTTACTTAAGTACCAATACTATTAAAAATTTCTGGGTGGAGGACAAAGCCACCGAGAACATGAGTGGAACTGGAGCATTTTTTCTGATAGACGTTACTGGGCTATGGTGACAAACACAGTAAGCGATACGAATGAGTAAGCATATTGGTTCATTCTGTAAACAGAGGCTTAAAAGCTTAATAAATTAATGCAATTTCTCCCAAGTGGATAGAATTATCTGAGACAAATTCTGCTGTATGTTTTCATCCCTATTTCTCAATAGTGAAGGTACTGGTCAGTATCTTACCCCAGCGCAAAGGGTGCCACAAGGAAACGGATCATATTCTGCAGATGACTTACTTGTTTTTTGTTCTAAAGCAGTCACAAAGAATGTTTTACAAAGCATTCAGAGAGCATTCACAATGCTACCGTATTCATAAGTCAGTCTTTCTCGATTAGAAGAAGTACCATCATGAACTATGGTTGATTAAACTGGATAGGGTTGAAATAGGTGATTTTATAGTGACTTAAGTGAAGCCATGGCTCAAAAAATAACTCTGTCAGGCATAATGGAAAAAATCTCTTTGAATTTTGGATGCAGTGAGCACCAATTTTGCGCTTTTTGTTCCTTAATATTATTTATATGTGCACGTTGCAAATTTGAAATCCTGTACCTTCATCAAACGGAGTTTAGAGTCCAGTCCTTCCTCACTTCTATGGAATCTGGACATTTCAGTGCCACAGCTTGATTTTATTATTTCCATTCAATATCCGATCATTATTACTGACATGCCCATCAATCTTTGGTTTCAGCAAATCATACTGAAGTTAGTTTGTACCTCTAACACATTTGACATCACGTTCATTTCCTTTAGTTGGGTCATAAATAGATGGGCTTCCAAAGAGCTTGGTTGTGAAATGCAGTTTCTAAAGTCAGTGTTTAAACACCGTTGGTGCATGTGCTTTGTGCTAATGTTTACAGTGCTAATTGTTTCGGAGCATACCTTTCTATTGGGAAGTCACAATATTTAGGACAAAATTTTACTTCCTTTTACTTTAAATGAGAAATGACGTATGGTGAAAAAGAATGTTTGTGCTCTCTTTCATGTAACAAATGGATTAAATAAGGCTGAAAAAGATTGACTCATAAAGAAAGAAATCTCAGAACTGCTTCTTTTGTTTTTGCGTGACTCATAATTAACCACTAAGACAAGAGTGATTTAGTGGCTAAAGCGAACTGCAGCTCTGTTCCAGGAGCAACGCTGTCATGGTTCTATAGCCACAAATGCACAGACCATCAGATTTAAAAGACAAGAGGGACTGAGTGTGGTCAGAAAGAGACTTCTGAAGAAAGTGTGGTAGTCAACAACACAAGTAACAAGTTCTGACCTAAAATGTCCTAACAGACTTTCAGAATAGCTCAGAGCCATATTAATCTTCATCTAATTGCAGCAGGGATCAGTGTTTTAGAAAAAAAGTAGTTAGTTCTTAGTAGTTTCTGTGGTGACTGTTTTGTGTATCTGACCATCCTGCACAACATGGCTGAAGCTCAGAGCTGCCTCTCTTGAGTACTACAATATGTATGTGCTGAGATGCATGCCTATAAACTTGAGCATAAGATATAATATATGATTTTTATTAATTTTCTCAGTAGACTCTTACTTTTCAGCAGAATTGGATCCCCAGGTACTTCTTTTCAGGATCTCTTACTCTCCTTTTCAAATTAGTAAGAAAAAGATCCTCTAAATCCTCTAATTACCTTAGTGCTTCAAGGTAATTTTTGAAACATTAAAGTGTTGACTAACAGGATTCAGAAATTAATCTTTTAGTGAAAGGACTGGCTGCACCCAAATGCCCCAAAGTATTTTCAAATTTAATCCACGGTCTAGATTTAGATGAAATCCTGTCTTCTCTGAATTCAGCGTGTTTTTTTTTTCATTGACTTAGTTGAATTGTGATTGTTTCACCTTAATCATTTAATATCAAGGTGGCTTTTAAGATTAAAAAGGTAACATCAAACAGCTATTTCTTACTGTAATTACAACAGGAGCAGTAATAATAAATATAGAGATGGTAAAGACATGAAAGTTGAATAAAAATAAACAATTCAGTTAAAATTATGAAATCATAACCCTTTTAATTTTCATGTCTGTTAAGAGAGCTGTAGGCTTTGGAAAAATACCCTTCCATTCTTTGTCATGCTTATGAATTAAGCTGATTTTATTACAATTCCTCAGAACCATTTTGGGCTTTGTATTTAATTTATATAAAAAAACTCATATGGAAAGTGAACTGCCATCTTTCTACCAATTTAAAAGTATGCTTTTTAATCTCCTTTAAAAATTTTGAAACAGTCATTCTAATTTCACGTATATAGAATCACCAAACTAATTCATGTCTCCCTCATTTAGTTTGATCAAGCAGCTGATGCTGAACTCGCCTGGATTGGAGAAACAGAAAAGAAACTGATGTCTCTGGGTGATATTAGGCTTGAGCAAGACCAGACCGCAGCTCAGCTACAAGTTCAAAAGGTAAAAGAAATGCATTTCCAACTGTCATGTTAATTATTGGCCAGCACACTCTCCATCTAGAAAATGTACTAGTGTGATTTAATTTTATGTCTATCATAATGCATTTCAAAAATAGTTTTTGCTCCATGTACTCTTATTTTTTATTGCTGACCAGTTCTTATTGTGTTTCAAGGCTTTTACCATGGAGATTTTGCGACACAAGGATACTATAGATGGACTTGTTAAATCTGGGGATAAGATAATGAACACATGCACTGAAGAAGAGAAACAGACCATAAAGGTAAAGTTCCGTAAGTTTGCAGCTACAGTGGACGTGAAGATAATATATAAGTAGGAAGATTCCTATTATGTATCTTTCAAAAAACTGATGAAAAAGCTTTAATTACATCCACTTCTAGTCTGAGGTTTGTAACACTGGAAGAAATGCTGTCATGTATCTCTATTCTTCCTTCAGGATGTTCAAAGAGCAAGCACTGTGTACTTACTTCATTGTCTGACACTACTTTGTAGCCCCATTTGTCTCTGGCGTGGTAAATAGCATTTTAGCCAATGAGATGATTGAGTGACTAGGTATTAGTCAGCTGGGGTGATGCGTGTGGAATCTGGCTGTTGATCTTCCTCGCTTCTCTTGGGTCTGTGAAGCTCTGGCTGGGTGTGTGCATTTCTGTGCCCCATTCAGTGGCTGGCACCTCAGTGTGAATCTTTACTTTCATTTCTGATGATTTCAGTCTGAGCCTTGTTCTTGTTTGCCAAGAATGTTCCATCCTGTTGACTAATACAGCCTCTGAAAGGTGTTCTTATGCATTTGTTTATGTGTACACACAGAGCCTGAGGTGGGGGACTGACACGACATATAAACATATCTATACATGTGCATACATACATGCAGATCTTTCCTACTGGTATTTTATAATGGATTATTTTTTTTTTGTGCTAACTTGTGGATGTGTTATGTGAATGATGTGCCTGGATATGTCATGTGAATCGGGTCCTTCCAGTGACCAGCAGTACTTCGCTAATTGTGCTGTGCTGCAGCATCTCTGAATAAATTTGATTTGCTCTTAAGTGAATTTAAAATAGATGAGCTGTTCAGTCTATTAAAATGTAGTCATAAGGGAGAGCAATTTTAGGTGGGCCTCTATTGAATATATGCATTAGTCAAAAATACTGTGCGTCTGTGTGTTAGGCTGTTTTGTCCTTTGGATAGCATCTCTATACATAATTTACATGCAAGACATAACAAATGAAACGATAGTTTGTTCTGCCAGAAATATTTTTTGCTTCACATTCAATGGCTTTTTTATATGTTTAGTTTTTCCAAGGCCAGTATTTACATGCATTGTTGCATGTTATATTTCATGGAAATGATAACATGGGCAGTCCTCCACAAGAAGAATGTATAGTTCGTTGATACTTTTGTTATCATATCCCCAAACAGAGTAGGTTTGTAACGTTTAAACCTTGTAGTTCCATCATATTAATGGTAACACATCCTCATTAATTAACGCATGATAACCTGGAAAATAATGTGGTTTCTGTGGGAAGTTTGTAAGCTACAAGCAGGACAGCATACCCTATTCTCTTGTCAGATTTTCAAAACCAAGATTTTTGTGAGCTGTTCATGATGCTTTGATTCAGAAATGCTGTGGAAAACTTGGCTTCTGCCAAGGGCTGCTGAAGATGGGTGCTTTCTGTAAGGAACTGGGGCTACAACGTGCAGTCAAATAATCTGCAGCTTGACTGGAAATCCTGTGAATGGTGTTGTTTGTAAATATTGGACATTGTTAAATGTATTTTAATTAATTAGAAAGCACCCTGCCAAATTCAGATCTCCCATGATATTGATTCTTTCCTCTAAACACTCTGGTACTGTAGAAATACAATCAAAACTAAGATTTGGTTCGCCGTGGTTTGGTGTTATAATTATCAAAGACTCTTTAGAAATCAGGGTAATAGACGTGTGGAAAGACAGACATTGCTATTTTTTTTTTTGTTAATATTATTTTACAGAAAAAACTGGAAAGCCTGTTACAGAAATACGATACAGTCTGTCAAATGAACTCTGAGAGAAACCTCCAGCTGGAACGGGCTCAGTCTCTGGTTAATCAGTTTTGGGAGACTTATGAAGAGCTTTGGCCATGGTTAACTGAAACAGAAATGATCATCTCTCAGCTTCCTGCACCAGCCCTTGAATATGAAACCTTAAAGCAACAACAAGAAGAACATCGGGTAAGAATTTTGTTGTTTAAAAAAATAAAACAAAATGTGAAAAGCTAAGTTGTATTCTGCTTAGACAACTGTGGAATACTCTAGTGAGTACTTAAAACCCAGACAGTTATACTTCTATTGAAAAAAGTTATTTAAACTAATAATAGTGAATGTCTCTACTGTTTTCCCAAACTCTGCACACAAACAAGATTATCTGGGGAAGGCAGCAAACAATGTAAAACCATAGAAGAGGGCTAAAGGGGAAAAAATGCCATTATAGTGACAGATCTGAGCATACAAAAGCTGATAGCTTAGAAGTGTGTTTAAAAGTAAGCAGTATTGGAACAAACCGAACCCATTAACAGAACAGAAATTGGATGATGAAGTAAGAACCAAAAAAAGGTAAGAGGAGACTATAGAAAGAGCTAGAGTACCTGCTGTCAGCCTCCTGAAACTGAAATGTTCTGTGTGTACAGCCTGTATATAAGTAAGCATGCATACAACCTCATGTACGTATTATAAAAAATGGCATTTCTTTTGTTGATATCTTGGGAACTGAAGACTGATAATTCTAGGCCCAAGATTTCAGTGCTTTGGCTCCAGCCAACCCCATAACCATTTCTCACATAAAGTATACTTGTTATGTAATAATTTAAAAAATAATAATTGTTTAACAGAACATTGCAAAACAGAGGGAATGTTGTTGTAGGCTGGCCTCCATATGGGCTTTCTTACAGAGAGAAATAATCAGCTGGGATAAAAATCCGTATGCTTCATAGATGGCTTCTAGTATTACGTGGCATCAGATTTATCCCACCAGTGTTAAAAGCCTGCACATGCAAAGCCCATATTCCTACTGGAGGTACCTGGCTCTCCTTACAGAGCACAGAGTGACTACTTGTGGGCTTTTTTAATTTTAGCTGTTTCAATTAAGTGACTCAAGGTAGATAGGGTGAAGCCTGGCTTCAAATTCCTGTTTACTCTGAGACCAGTGAATGAAGATGTGCCACTTTGATACATTGGTAAACATGGGGTTCACTCGTTTGTGTCCACAAAGAACAAACATTCTCTGCAAAGACTAGGTATGTAATAGGAGCTTGTCAAACTATCTTGATTAGTCACCATGAACCAAATCACACTGCTTTACTTATAGGTTTGGTCCCCATCTACTTTAATCATTCTGCTTGGTTGAGAGGCCCTTCATCTGGGCTTGTATTTTTGCATTTTCCCTGGGCTATGCCATTAGCAGAGATTTGTTTAAGCAGAAGATTAATGTCTGGCAATTTTAACACGTAATCTGATCTGAAATGCTTGTTTACTGGAATTGTTTACCCAATCATAGATCATGGCAAAGACCAGATCATTTGTAGCAATACTGAAAAGAAAAAAAAAGGTTCTGAATACAAATACTTTTCTGTATTCTCTTATATATATTCACTTATATTTCTATTATCATGCAGTTAATCGGTTTGAATTTAGCTTTTGGCAGAGGGAGAGTACCAGCATCATAAGGTTTGCACCTAGAAATGGGGACTCTGCGGATCTATTTGTGCACAAAAATAAAATACATAAGATGATTTTCTAAAAACTTTCCAACTATTCTTAGTTCAGCTTTTTCCTTTTCTGTGCTAAGCAGTACTGTTTTTCTTGGTGCAAGGCATACAAGTAGAATTCCATTCTCAGTAAGTATCTGGGGTCAGATTTATTTATTTTTTTTTTTTGTATTTTCATTGCTATTTCTTCATCAGCAGACAGTGGTTTGTCATGGTCAATGTCTGTTCAATCTTCCCAACCTCTCCTCTTCTAGGGAGGAGCAAGGAGGCAAGCCAGTAACAGGATTCCTTTTTAAGGGAAGGACCTCAGTTGAAGAGAAGAGGATTTATTTACACTGAGACTGATACAAGCCCTTTTCTGTGTCTTCATTAATTTAAACAAACCCTAAGCTAGGAGGAGCAGAGCATGTGCCTGCTCCAGCCTTTCATGTTCCTGCACAGTGGCTCTAGGCTAGAAATGCGTGGATCTCACGGCACTGAGAGGAACGGTGCCTCAAAAGACAGAGGGATTTTTCTGAAAAGGAAAGGATGAACTAAGCAAATAAACAAAACCAGAGGGAAGGGTTGGGCTGCTCCCCCCCAGATCTTTCCCTTTTGTCACATCTGTGGGTGCAAGTAAACAAAACCGAAATACGTAGTCAAGTCAGAAGACAGGACAGTTGCCTTGTGACCTTTCAGGTCCACCAGTCTCTATCCAGTTTTCTGCAGTTTTGACTTATTTTGGGGGTGGTAGATGAGATCAAATGTAATGTACATATTAATTACCTATTAAACTTTGTGTCTTCTAAGTAACAGCACTGTTGGGTAGATGGAGTGGTCTGGTGGCCGGAGGGGAGACTGCTAATCCTGGTTGACTGTTCTCTGCTGATCTGTCTTCATTGTCCTCTGTCCTTTTCACTTGTTTCTTTGACCCCCCTCTTTGTGCCAGTTTCCTGTCCTTAAGTCAAGGACAATTTGCATGAATATCCTTGTAATGTCAATACCTTGTTCTCTGACGCTCTTCAATGGAAGACTTCTTGATAAGTAGCAAATACCAACATGAAACTGTATAAACATAGTGGTGTTATGCAAATGTTTGGAATATGGTTGCCATTTCTGTCATTACAGCTCCTAAAAAACGACGAGGAGTGTCTGTTGCCAGCATCATGTGCATAGCTGGCACCTTGCATCCTACACCTAATGATAGCCCTACAGGAGGAGGGATATGCCCTGCTGGGCCTTGCCAGTGCATCTGTAATTGTGATGTTTTACGGCTGGCTAGCTCGGTGTTGGAAAGGGCGCCATCCCTGGCAGAGCAGTCATTAACTTTATTTGATGTTATTTGTGCTTTACATTAAGATGACGGGTATTTGTTTGGAATTCCTTGCCAGCTGGATGTGTTAGAAGTGCGGACAGCTGTAATGTGGTGGTGTAAGCCTAAGAAACTGATAAGTTGTTTCGTTTGTTATAGCAACTGCGTGAGCTGATTGCTGAACACAAGCCTCATATAGATAAGATGAACAAAACCGGGCCTCAATTGCTGGAGCTGAGCCCAGGAGAAGGTTTTTCTATCCAAGAGAAATATGTGGCAGCTGACACCCTTTACAGTAAAATTAAGGAAGATGTCAAAAAGCGAGCTTTGGCGCTGGACGAAGCCATTTCTCAGTGTACCCAGGTATCAGTTTAAGTTTAAAGTATAATTGGATTCATTCAAATGGAAAGATACACAGACATTATCATCTTATATGTATACATCAAGACTAAACTGCTGTTTTATCTGGATTTTTCAACTGAATGGCCTGTGAATGTTCAAATCGCTGCTCATGGCACTGATTCTCTTTTTTGAGGGGTTATGATTATATATATTGGTCACTGTTACGATGATTCTGTTGCAGTTAAAAATTGTTACAGCTTCTCAATATCAAAGTTCCTTTTAAAAAGGAACATTTAGTCTAAAAATGTGGGATTTTCAGTTTGTTCTGTTTCTTCTTACTGGTCTGTTACTAGCTGATGCTTTGTTAGTTGATATTGATGTCACTATTAATCAGTTAGCTTACATAAAGTTATATCTAGGACTTGGCAGCTTTAGTTACAGTCCTTTACCGATGGAACTAGAGGGTACTTCACTTCAGTTGTAATAGCATTTGCTCTTCATTGTAGACCCAACAGGAACTTAATGTAATATATGCTTGAGCTGTTACAGAAAAGTGTTGTGAGCAAAGTTAGACTTCACAAAATGTCATCGTAAGCAGAAAATTCAGATCAAGTCCCTGACAGCTGTGTATCTTAGGTTCATCACTCTGTAGAATGAACCTCGATAGAGTAATGTTAGGTATCAGGTCCTAGAGACTACTAGATATTGGATTGTCATTATATCCTAACTGAAATTCTTTTATTTGACAACAAATTCAGATAAAAACAACAACCTCATTAAACTGTGTACATGAACACAAAAACCTGAATAAAAATACTGTGTTCTGTACTGCTGTTTTTATGATAAGTTCCCCTTTTATGTTGTTGGCTGGAAATTAAGTGCTCTATTTCTGCTTAGGTCTAAAATACTAAATCAAGAAATAGACCTTAAAGTTCTCATCAAGTCTCATTCCAAATAATTGTCTTCATATGTCATGGTACTTTACACTGTATTCCTAACCACTATAGGCAAAATCTAAGAAGATAAGGGAAAAAGGTGACATCAGCTGTCATCCTATTTTCGACCTGGTTGTAGACTTTATTATGTTGTGCTTTCAGTCATTCTAAACAGCCTCCTGATTCACACCTCTGAAAGAAGCCTGATTTTTTAGATTCAGTGTTTTTCGTTATCATATATGCTCAGGCCTCCCCCCCTTTGCAGCTGCACATTTAAAAACTAAGGTGTTTATTTAGTATTTGATTTCTTGCTTTGTATGTGACAGACGTTAACATGAAGAGCTAAAGTACAGAGAAGTGCAGAAGGCTAGGTACAGAAAGCAAGAATAAAAATGCATTCTTTGGTAACAGCTAGAATATAATCAGATGTTGAAAAAAACACTTAATTACTTACAAAATGAACCTTAAAGTATTTCATGTCCATACATGTAAATGTATCCACAGATGAGAAAGCAAAACATTGGAATGTCCAGAATGTAATTTTATATAATCTCTTTTTTATTAAGTATGTATCACCATACTCTGTAGCATGGTGGGTATGTCAGTGTTTGTCTAGACAGTACTGGAAGAATAATTAGTTAAATCTTCAGGTTTCAAATTATGTTAAATTGCCTTATGTATCAAAGGCAGCATGTGACCTATGGAGCCAGAATGAGAGGTTATAATGACTTCCCTTTCTTCCTTTTAAGTTCTAAAACACCTTGCCTCAGTCATTGAAGAGTAAAGTGAGGCCCATTGAGTGCAATGCCAATTTAAAAATGCAATATACATGCCCTAGAATTAGACCTGGATATTGCCAGTTTAATTTCAGGTTGAATCACTTCTGTAAGGTTTTGTTGCTACAATCAGTTTTACAGAAATCTTGAAGAAATCTGCTTACCTTTATGCGTTATTGCATTTTGAGAGCTTGTGTGATATTCACACTTCTGCTGAAAACAGGTAGCATTAGTCTGAGTCTGTAACATTATTAGAACTTAACTTTGGACCTGTACGGATGAACCATGCTAATTAACTAAGATGTAGCTGAGTTTCTGGGCACCTGGGCTCTGAGTCAAAGATGGGTGAAGGCAATAAATGCTGTTGTGTGCTTTTAGTTGCAGAAAGAAATGCACATTTGCTTCACTAATGAGCACCACCTGGGCACCAGGCAAATGTCTTATTGAATGACCTCAAATACCAAATTTTAATCAGTGGTTATATGAGATATGTTGGTCCTGATATGAAAATACGTGTATTTAATACTAAGGTGAATATATTCCTGAACTGATGAGATCAGAAAGCCATGACTCTCCAAAATAAGATAGAAAGTAATGCACAAACTCTGCGGGACTGCATGCAGGTAGATGCTGCCATATGTGAAGTATTTTCAGATGGAGTGTCTCAGAACTAAACCCAGACTTCATACTAGAATTCAGAGTCTCTTCAATCTGAGAGGAAGTACTATTTTGCAAGGTCATGTTTTTAATTTAGATATTAAAAGAGGGAGAGAACCACCGGGGGGTATTGCAAGTTGCATGTATATAACTAGAGATATTAAATATGTCAATTTTGAAGTATCTTATTCCAAGAGAATTTTCCGATGCAGTTTTTCAAATGTTTTTCTCTTCTACCCTTTCTTTCTGTTCTTCACCACCCTCTCAGTTTCATGACAAGATAGATCCAACTCTTGAGAGTCTGAAACGCATAGTTGAACGTCTGAGGCAGCCGCCTTCAATCTCAGCAGAGGTTGAGAAGATTAAAGAGCAAATCAGTGAAAATAAGAATGTGTCAATGGATCTGGAAAAACTTCAGCCGGTCTATGAGACGCTTAAACAGCGAGGGGAGGAAATGATTGCTCGCTCAGAAGGAGCAGACAAGGATATATCTGCAAAAGGTAGTAGACTGAGGAAAGGTTCATGTAGCGGAAATGCAGCAAGCTGCATCACATAAAGCTCTTCAGTTCTGATGATCACTAATCTGGGGATTGTGTTCTTCTGAAGAAGCTGTGAAAGATATAAAAAAGCAAGGCATTGTTTTAGTAATTGTGGCTCTGACCTTTGTATTAATTTTAAATGCCTTGTTGGTTGTTTCCACTTAACATCTTAAAAGTCCTGTAAAGAAACAGTTTTAAAGTCTAAATTTTAAAATGTTCACATATGTTTCTGCTGTAGAACTGTAGAGATATTTATGGCCAAGAATTGTTTGCCAAGGTAGTAATTTAGTTCCTTTGTTGTTTAGCTGTTCAAGATAAACTAGACCAAATGGTCCTCATTTGGCAAGACATCCAGACCTTGACTGAGGAAAGGGAGGCCAAATTATTGGACGTAATGGAACTAGCTGAAAAGTTTTGGTGTGATCATATGGCTCTTGTAGCTACTATTAAAGATACTCAGGACTTCATTCGAGAACTGGAGGGACCTGGAGTTGACCCATCTGTAGTCAAGCAACAGCAAGAAGCTGCTGAGGTCAGTACAAAGTATTCTGTTGATTTAAAATGTTCTATTCACAGTATGCAGGGGAAAGATGGAATTACTATGAAATACCACAGGAGACTTTTTTTAGAGACAAAGAGGGGTAATTACATAGAAATTTACTATAATGATATCTCAAGAGTCTGTGGCAAATAATACGTATCAGTGCTTAATTGCAATGAGCGTACAACTTGTGCTTGTCATTATATTTACATATCTGTATATAAGCATATATAATACGCATGTCACTGAGACTTTTAAAAGTTACACATACTTCAGATTCCGAGTAATACCTAACATCTAAATGAAAGGGATACAGACGTGTGTATTATGCTGCAAGTCTGTAATTATTTATGCTGATAGCTAAAAATTTGAAAGTTGAATGATAACCTCCGAAAAAGAAAACATTCTGATTAAAGAAATCTAATTTAACACTTCCTGTTTATTTCTTCCATCTCATACAAAATGACATCATTATCCATTGTTGTAATTTAGACTGATGTCAGTTGATTTCACTCTGACACTGCAAAGGTCAGTGGATGGTTAAGGATGCTTAAAATACAAGCATCCAATTGTAAGTCCGGGCAACTTTAAAGAAACAAAAGTCACATCCTAGTGTGTCTACCTTAAAAGCAAGCTCTACATAGATTATTAAATTTAGTATTAGCAGTGTTGGATTATTTTTTTTCCTTTGTAGGCTGTTAAAGAGGAAATTGACGGATTGCAAGAAGAACTAGAAACAGTTGTGAGCCTTGGTTCTGAACTTAGAGCTGCTTGTGGGGAGCCTGACAAACCTATTGTCAACAAGAGTATAGATGAGGTATGGGAAATGCAGATGCTTAAGTCTGTTACGTTAGATGCTTGTTCAGCTGAAAGTAGTATTCCCTGTCTCCCAACAAATTCTGAAAATAAATTCATTTTATTGCTTCATTGATAATTTTTTTTAAGAGTTTTTCTTTTTTTGTAAAAATATTTATTGATTAATGCAATAGATGAGTATTTCTTGCAAAAGTAATGCTAGAATAAGTTTCATGTGTATTTGCTTTGTGCCAAGTAAGACATCTTAACTGAGACAATTCTATTCACATGACTACAAAGGACTTTCTTTTGATTTCTCTCATGTTAAGTAATGTAAGTTTCTTTTAAGCTACCTTCATTGTAATGATGCAACTCCAAATGACTTCGTAATATTTCCCATATTCACTATAATCCCTATATCAATAAAAATATAGTCAGTATTCAATTACAAAGCTTCTGTAATACAGAACCTGTAGTGTATTCTGAAGGAAACTAACTATGCAGTGATGGGTAGAACAAGAGTTTTAATATGGAATGAATATGAAATGTTTATGGTTAATTTATTGGTGCTACTGGGCAGTGACTTTTTATTTAGTGAATGCAAATTACATAGCAGTAAAATTATTTTTGTTCATTGGAGCAAATTGCACTTATTTGCAGCTGAATTCTGCCTGGGATGCCTTAAACAAAACATGGAAAGAACGGGTGGACAAACTTGCTGAAGCCATGCAGGCAGCTGTTCAATACCAAGATGGACTGCAGGTAGGTTGGTGTGATATACTTAACCCAATCTTAAGTTAATAGGAGTTAATGTGGTTGTATTAAAAATGCAATGGGATTTTGTAGGTTATATGTAATGTATCACTCTGATTATAGTGACTATTTTCTTCAGCAGGCAGGTATCTTTTTTTTTTTTTTTTTCTAATTAGACATGAAATGTATTGATTTCTTTGCGTTGTTCATATATTGCACGATATTTAGATTCCAAAATAAAATCTCCTTGTTTATTGACGAGACCAGAGTTTTACTGATACCACACAAATTCATAGCAATCCTGCTCATATTTTCTTGTGATAGGCCATTCACACGATAGGCAAGCTGTGACACATTTACATGATCTGAAAGGAATAGAATATAGGTCTATAAACTCACTGTGGCTATTCTTCTTGAACAGAGGACAGTTAAAAAACTTCAATTAAATTTAATCTTTACTGTTAGTCAATTAAATATGTAAGTTTGAATATAGGAAGAAAAAATAAGTTGCTGGACTATTATAGTAATTCATAGTATAATGTATCTAATCACAATTCTTCAGAAGACATTCACTTTTTAAATCTGTAGGTAAAGATATCTTTTGTCTGTATGTGTTGTATATTTGGTTGCAGGTTTCTTCGTAGGTTTGGCTTAGCGACATCTCTCGTCTTTTGTCAGTGGATGGCTGGAAGATTGAAACATTTTAAAAGATTCCAAACATAATTGGATTTTGCAAAACTATTTTTTCTCAATGGAATTAACATCTGTCTTGGTTCATTGAATCCTTGAAATATAAAATTACAGTTTCACATGACACTGAGCAAGTTGTTTGTGTGTTCAGTGCAGATCTGGCAGCAGAACACTCCTTAATAATAATGCAATGTGCCTGTTTTCCAGTGCACCTCATTATGTATTTTTCTCCCAGTGCTCTTACATTCATGCTGTGCAGAGGCTGACATGTAGGGTTATCTTAGGAACATTGCCATTGGTTTAAGTGTTCTGTGTTTTCTGTGGCTGAACATCGTACAGGCTTGGTACTTTGTGAAAGAACTGTATTTAAATGCCTTTTGGTGCTCATTGCAGTAGACAATCTGAAAAGTGTTGTGGACAGATTGTTAGCGGTACTGCAGTTGCCTTATCTTATTGAGCTTGTTGAGTGAGGGCAGTTCTCACTCAGGCAACTATAGGCAGCTCTGACAAGCACTGCTAAGCCTTTCTCCATCATGAATCATGGTTAACAGGCAGGGAAAAGGGGCCTAGCAGAGTTTTTTTTTTCCCTATAAAAATACCCAGATGTATATAGCTGTTGGTAATGTGCAAGTAGTTCCAATAAATGTTTGATTCTTAATGATGTTTAATAATCACAGTTGAAAATGTGATACTGTTCAGCCACAACTTGCCATCTTAGCTCCAAGAGGCTATGGAACTGAGAGTTGATCTTGTACTTACTTCTCAGAGTGTGCATAAAAATTGCTGATCTTGCTCAAGGAGTAAAGTGCTACTTAGCATGAGTACTGGCGGAATATTGCTGCTCACAGAAGCTCAGTTTGGCAGTACATACATTCTTGTAACCACTACCTGGAATACTGTTTGATCCCTTGCCTTGTCAATATTGGAGGTTTCATTGAAGAAAACTGTTTTATTTCAAAGAGCATAGCAATATTGTTCTGAAGTAAAACAAATTCTGGTATTTTACTGGCTACAGCTTTTAACCATGATACTATTTCTCTCTGCTCACGCTTGAATTTCATGCTATGATTTTCAGGCAATATTTGACTGGGTAGACATTGCTGGCATCAAGTTAGCGTCTATGTCCCCAGTTGGAACAGATCTGGAGACAGTGAAGCAGCAAACTGAGGAACTGAAGGTATGAACTAGCTATTTATTTCATTTGTATTTCCATCCGTCTGAATTTTCCTGCATTGTTTAGTGCTTTTCTGTATTCTCCAGACTGAAAAGCAATTTTCATTTTCAATTTTTAGTTTTTTAAAAAAATGTATCTGTATGAAAATTTCAAATAATGTTTAATTGCAAAGTTTGCATTTTAAAATACGTGGCTCAAGGCTTTGGAATAGATTTTGATGAGACTGTTTTATTCTGTGACTGTGTTCAGATACTCGGAAAATACTTTTAATAGCATTAGTTCTCTTTCAAAGGCTGTAAGGTTATGAAGAGAGTTCTTTTGCTATGACATTTAAATTTTCTGGCTTCCACCGATGTCCTGGTTTCAGTTAGAACAGAGTTGATTTTCTTCCTAGTAGCTGGTAGAATGCTATGTTTTGGCTTAGGATGAGAAGAGTGCTGATAACACCCCGATGTTTCAATTGTTGCAGAGCAGTGCTTACACCAAGCCAAGGACATCTCAGTTTCTTGCTCTGTCCTGCCAACGGGCAGGCTGGGGGTGCAGTAAGAGCTGGGAGGGGACAGACCCAGGACAGGTGACCCAAACTAGCCAAAGGGGTATTCCATACCATCTGACGTCATGCTAAACAATATATAGGGGTGGCTAGCCGGGGGAGGGGGGCCAGACTGCTCGGGGTTAGGCTGAGCATCTGTCAGCGGGTGGTGAGCAATTGCATTGTGCATCACTTGTTTGTACACATTATTATTATTACTATTATTACTATTATTACTATTATTATTATTATCATCATTATTATTTTCCTGTCTTATTAAACTGTCTTTTTCTCAACTCATGGGCTTCACTTTCCATTTCTCTCCCCTGTCCTAGAGAGGGAGGGGAGAGGGTGAGTGAACGGCTGCGTGGTGTTTAGCTGCCGGCCGGGTTAAACCACGACAACCATAAACAGTTTTCTTGATGTTCTAAGAGGCACACCTCCAGAGCTTCACTTCTGCCATTGCTGACTTTCTCTAAATGTTTAACCGTATCACATCATTCCCAATACGTCCAGTAAGCTGTAAATCAAAATTTCAGATTTAGAATCCTGTCTGTATTGATCTATGACTAAGCAAACTCTTGATGTTGGTAGACTGCTCTACAAATTTTAGGTAAAAAGCAGGGATGTATAATAACTGGGGGATGTTCCTGAATTGTGCCATATTTTTAATATACAAACAAGAGAGATCATTGGAGAGGACTTTCCTATTGGAAATCTTTGTCATCCTCTGCTCACAGTTAGCAATATCTGGTGGGATAGTAAGACGTTGCATATTTTCACTTAGCTGGACCTGAGTGGATTATCAGTATCTTATATGCATTTTGATCCAGGAAAACAAAGCCCTAGATCTATGAAAGTTGACAGTGATGCATTATTACTGTAAATATTGCTGTACTGTGCTATACTCAAGATCATTACTTATGATATATTTATTTGTATTATTTTCTATTTATCATAGCAATTTAAAACAGAAGCTTATCAGCAGCAGATAGAAATGGAAAGACTGAACCATCAAGCAGAACTATTGCTGAAGAAAGTAACACAGGAAAGTGACAAGCACACTGTTCAAGACCCTCTCTCAGAGCTCAAGCTAATGTGGGATAGCCTAGAAGAAAAAATTATAAATAGACAGGTAAATAAACCTGAAGGTGGGGGCTTCATTCATGACTTGGATTTGTGAGAAAAGCTTTTCCTTATGCATAATGTTTGTATCAATTTACATATTTAGTCTTTTTGGTTTGGAAATTACAGAACTATGTATAATGGAATTTGAATTTCATAATTTGCTGAGTTGCTTTTATGTTTTTTTTTCAACCCTTAGTATTTTTGTCACTTCTTCTGTCGGCAGTGTCATGTCAAATCATTATTATTTCATTTTGGCTATTTAATGACATCTTAAGTAGCAGTTGAAAACATGTTTATATGTGAAAAAAAAAAAAGCTGCTGAACCAAGCACTTTTTCTTAAAACTTTAGTACTGTTTCACTACTCTACACAACATTAAATTGTCAAAAAGAGTTGAAGATGCAGTGCTTATAGTGTGTTTTTTTTTCCTCTAAATTGAATCATTTAACTGCAAATGAAAAGTTTAAAGAAGTCCGTGCACCAAGATATATTTATATTTAAATTATATTTTAAATGATGAAAACTTCTGTCATATCTCTGATGAGAGGACCTTCAATCTTAACTCTGCTCTGGTTACATGGCATCTTCAGAGGTCAGGAATTTAAGCCTAGGATGTCAGGCTTTACAAGGGAATTGCTAGCTCAGCTCTAACTATGATGCAGTTGGATAACTGTTTGTCTCTGTTTTTTATGCTATCATATGCATGGACTCCACTCTGGAGTATGGTGACTAATGGTAATTTAGGCTGATTCAATAGCATCATGAAACGGTTTCATTGTTAATTTATTTTATTTTTACTATAGCACAAGCTGGAAGGTGCCTTGTTAGCCTTGGGGCAGTTCCAACATGCCCTGGATGAGTTACTGACATGGCTGACGCATACAGAAGACTTGCTGAATGAACAGAAACCCGTGGGTGGAGACCCCAAGGCTATTGAAATTGAACTTGCCAAACATCATGTATGTAATTATAATGAATATGAACTGAAATGTTTTCTGAGGTTTATCTTAGAGATGAGTCTTGTAGTAAAACTTTGCACTTGATAAATAATTCCCTATAGAGATTTTTCATGATGCAGAAATTCAGGCTTAGAAGAACTAACATCTTTTTGTTTGCTTCTTTATATTCCTTCTTCCTTGCATATACCACACAAGTGGCATAGGTTTTAGCCAAAAACAGCAGCTCACCCTGGCCTCCCCCTTTACTCACCTTTTTTTGATCCAGGGAGATCAAAAGTCATCAAACCTGTTACTCTTCCTGAAGCAATACACTCTTGATTAGTTGTTAAGGCCACATCTTACAAAACATACTTCACCTTTACACAGCTTTGTTCTTTCTTATCAGAAAAAAATATTTTGATTTTTAGCTATGAAGTCTGCAAAATTGTATCTTAGTTGGGTCTAACTAGAACAGAGAATGCTGCTCTGAATCTCTTAGCAAATTTTAGGGGTATCCATATCTTCATGTTTTTCTCCTTGCAATGTAAGGGGTTTTTTTGGTGATGGCGGTGTTTTGTTTTGTTTTTTTTGTTTGTTTCAGGATAGTTAGTAGCTAAATTGGCATTGGAGCCCATGGAAGAATATTTCCATTATTCATTTATTTTGAAGAGTATCTCTAAAGAGCAAAAGATCTTCTCTACTTGTTTGTGTGGCTCAGTGCTGTTCATGATGATGTGTTTTTTGTAGGCCTGAAGATTTCATGCTAACCTCATAAATCCTCTCCTGCCTTTTAGTTTTTGGCTTGCATATGATGTGAAAAGCATTCTCATTCAGAGTTAATTTTTGGCTTAGAGAGAATAGATTGAAATTGACAGTACACAGATAATTAAGGCATTTTCATTATCTGTATCAATGCCACTATGCTTCTGAAGCCTTTTGGGTAGTCAGTTGGAACTTGGGCAGAGTAAAATATATGCATGCCCTGTGTGACTACTGATGGAAACTAGCCCTTTAAAAAATAATAATAATTACAAACCCAGCTTCCACTCCATGAACAATTTATATGTGTTTTACTACTGAAGAAGCATCCAGACATCAGTTATGACTTCATCTGCCTTCAGTACTGAAGGAGTTCAGCAAACACATGAACCAATCTACTTCCGTTTCGTAAAACAGAGTTTATAGGTTAGGAAGTTCACACGGTAGTGCATCCTGTGGTAGTCTGGAAAAACATCCATCTCCTGAATAACTTTGGACAGAATAAACCTTGTTCCTAGTGAGCCTCAGTAGGAAGGAAGGGATAAGATTCATCTGCTTGTGTGAATATCCCCCTTTTTTTTCCTGTCAGGAAAATAAAACAACAAATACCTTCCAGTGCGTAGCCTAGAAGAATTAAAGCAAGTGTGATACATGTTTGTGCACCTTGTGATACTAGGACTACTTGTAACTTGCTTTTATATCAGGTGCTTTGTATGTTTTATTTGAAAGTTCTTCTGTTTTTAGCTTTTTTTTTTTTTTTCCTTATACTAGTATTTTGATGGAGATAAGTTTGAACCAGTGGAAGAGAGCAGTCATAAAGTTTGACTTTTTAAGTAGTGTTTTTCATTCCCTTCTTAACCATTTCACACATCTTTTTCTGTTCTTTATTCTGGGTATTTCAAAAGCTTCCATTAATCTTAATGAAATCTTTCTGAAAACAGTGTCTTTTTCCCAATTGTACTTTTTTGTCCTTGGTGGTTTTACTGTGGGTGGTGGTAACAGGTTTTAAAACAGATGGAGATTTTATCGTGTTAGTATTACAGTCGTTCCCCAGCTCTTAGGACAGTTGAAGTGTCCTGCTAGCCTGTCATAACACAAAGTTGGCTGTAGACCTGAAATGCCAGAAAAGACATTGTGGCAGTCAGAAGATTGTTGTCTTCTTGCTCCCCTCTCTCTTCTCTTCTTAGCCTACTGCTTCAAGAGTAATCAGCAATAGTATGTATAACATTGTTTTCACACCTTGCCCTCAAAACCAAAGAAAAGTGCTAGTAAAGAAATGGATGTAGTAAACGAAGGAAAGTGAGGTAATACTGGATGCCTCAGAAGTGATTCTTCACTAGCAGTGCCAGGAAAGCTTTCATAATTTCAGGAAGTTATTTATTCATAAAGAATACTCTTTTTTTTTTTCAATATATAACAATAAAATACAGCATTTTGGCAGATTGGTCTGTTACTGCTTTTGAGTGAAGTAAGATTAGTTATTAGCTTTAGTCACTAGTACTTGTGCTGATTTTAAACTATTGCATTATAACTGGGTTAGAACTAGTTTGGTTACTATGTTTTCCTTCCTTCCATAACTTATCAGCATGGCCAGTCACAGGTGCTGTGTGTTACAATTGTAGGTGCTACAAAACGATGTTTTAGCTCACCAGTCTACAGTGGAAGCAGTTAAGAAAGCTGGAAGTGACCTGATTGAATCAAGTGCTGTTGAAGAAGCAAGTAATTTACGGAGCAAGTTGGAACTTCTGAATCAGCGCTGGCAGAATGTGTTGGAAAAAACAGAACAAAGGAAACAGCAGCTGGACAGTGCCTTGATCCAGGTGAACAGGAAATGATCAGATAGAGATAACTCAGAAAAAGTGTCTTTTTACATGAAATACATAGATGCGTGTATTAGAAGTTGGTCTAAATAAAAAAATAGACGCTCCTAAATTTGGAGGAAGTTTGGAACCAACTGTGTCTTCCACAGCTGGCCATTGTCTTTTGTAGTGCTGCATCAAGACTTTAGTTTTGACCTATGTATTTTTAAAAGGCGAAATTTCTGTGTAGGTATATTAATCAGGGAAAACATTGATCTCACAGTTGCTTGTTTAACCTTCTTTTAGGATTTCCATAATTTTTGTTTTTATCATTTATGATAAATGCAGTTAGCTTAAATTTTGTTTTTCCTTTGCTTTTTATTCATTTCCTCCAATTATTGCAAATACCTGATTGAATCTGTTGCTAGTATACTTCTGCATCTGAGTTAGTATTTAGAATGGAAAACATTTAAGTAAGCTCTAAAATGATATGGTGTAATTTAGGCCCAAGGTTTCCATGGTGAAGTTGAAGATATGCAGCAATGGCTGACAGACACTGAACGTCAGCTGTTGGCATCAAAACCTGTTGGAGGCTTACCAGAAACAGCAAGAGAACAGCTTAATACCCATATGGTAAGTATCAGTATTAGAATGCTTTGCAAATTGCATTTCAGGGCTAACTATCTTTCACGAGTGTTTATGGTAAATACAGAGCATGTTCTATATATCACAATGTCTGTACAGTATCTTAAAAAAAATTTAATGGCCTTCAAAACAACACTGTTATTTTCAGTGTAGTGAAAGTAGTAACTTGGGAGGTGCCCAAAGCAGAGCCATTAATAGTGTTGAGACTATAAAATAAGCTTTTTCATCCATAGTTTCAGTAACAAAAACAGAAAGTGTTTACAGATTTTTTGGTAATTCGTATGCTTCTTTTCCCTTCTGTTCCCATAACTAGAATTGATGTTCTTTCTCAGATACAAAGATGAATCTAAAAGTGATCCACATTCATTTGGACTTTGAATTAAGGGGTTCAATCCTTTATTCTTTATTTAACCAAAGCTGACGCTGAAATCATCGTTAGCCCAGATATAATAAGGAGTAATGGGTCATATAAACTCTGCTTTAATTAGAAATGGAAATCTGATCAGGATGTCTGAATTATTCCCTTCCTTCACTTCCTTCCTTTAAAAGATAAACCCTATGGATTTTTTCCCCTGTAGAACCATAGAGCTTGATAAAGGATGCCTTGACTTGAAGTCTTGAGGTAACTCAGGGGAATGTGGCTCCTGGTGCTCCACTTATAGAAAATCATGCTGTGCTGCTAGGCCTGGATATAAGCCCAAACCCAGGGATCTGAACTCCTGACCTCCTGGCTCAGATGTAATAGTGATATTTTCTGAACTGTCCTTGAGCTCTAACATGCCTGACACAGTTTCCATTAAAACACTGCATTGTCACAGCTTCATAAATCAGGTTTTATTTTGGAATGATGCTAAAGGCCATTGCCCACATATGTGGGGCATTTTTTTCAAAATTTAACGGCAACTGTTTTTGAGAAGGGACGTTATTTATAGTTTTTGAATCAGTTATGACAGGAAACAAGCACAAAACACAGAAATAACGTTGATTCTTTGACATCCCCCTCCCCTCAAATCTTTCTAAATTTTGTGTTTTGAAAAAACAAACAAACAACAACAACAACAAAAAAAACACAGAATCAAAAAAGTAAAGAAACGACCAACCAACCCTTTTTGTTCCTGCAAGAGTGGGGGCTGTCTAATCAAGAACCTGTGGGAGTCAGTGGAATTCTTTCCATTTTTCATCCTGGGCCTGGAATCACACACAGAATTGCGGTTGATGTTGGAAGGGACCTCTGAGGATCACCTAGTCCAATCCCCCCTGCACATTGCATGGGATGGCATCCAGGCAGGTTTTGGATATATGCGGAGAAAGAGACTCCACAACGTCTCTGGGCTATCAGATCAAGACCCAAAAAAATTCACTGAAAAAGTTCAGGGTGTTTAGGGTATATTCTTCTACTATGCAAATCAGTAAGCCATTTTCTATATTTCTTGCATTTACAGATTGAGTAGTTAAGGAATCTTAAAACTGAATGTAATATTGTTAGAACAAGCATGAATGTGTCCCCAGTAATAGTAATCTATATGTACAATTGTTTCCTAACTGTACATTTTTACAGCTGCAAACATCATCTTGTTATTTTTTAATGTATTTAACTTTTAAAAAATAGGATTTTATTTCAGTTTAGTTAAACTCAGTGCATCTGTGCAGTTCTCTGTGAATTCTCTGGCTTTTTGGCAGCTGAAATGCTGAGGCCAGTTGTCCGGTTGAGAACAATTTGTCATAACTTCCAAATTCAAACTGCTCTTAAGGGATACAAACCATGTTCATTTGTGACCTGAAACTGAAAAGGAAATTTTACTATATTTTGTTGTCTTTCTCATTGGAAATAACATTATGAATCATCATCTTGAGTATAAGGTCTGTTTCTGCAGTTCTGAATAAGGACTCAACTGTAATCAGTTCACAAATGGAGTTGCGATTGGGTAGCATTTCCAGCTAGGGCAGCTCCAGGAATACAAGAGAGACGAAGCAATGTTATAGGACACCAACAAAAAAGGGGCTTAGAAAGAGGCCTCCTATCTCAGACTGAGCCTACCCCAGTGTTTGAGGCCACTCTTGCCATGCTGTGTCCCACTTGTGATGCACTCCCTATGTTGACTTCTGAGGGGTTCCTACACTGCAGTAGAATAAGGTGCTCTGGGGAGTTAGGGAAACCAGAAATATTTTTAGGAGTTTGGGAACATAGGAAGAATCAGGCTAGGTCACAACAGTTTTTCATGGACCTTAGGAAGAAAGAAAGGAAGCTTTTTGGCCTTAGCTCATGATTCAACTGAATTTCTGCTTTTGCCCTCCTCTGTAATCAGATATAAATAACCCTCTGTCCAAAATCTCTTACCCCAGAGAAAATGTTGGTTTTATGCTCTTTTCTTGGGGATAAGAGGATAAAGTTCTTTTCCTCCCATCAGCAAATCAATTATTGCTCATCTCCTGGAAGACATTCCTCAGCTTTGGAGCCTATACCAACTTTGTTGGTGCATTTTGAAAGGTCTGTTGCCCCTTTGAGTCAGAGGGACATATATGAGCTCCAATTCTCTTGCCACCTCATCTTCAACATGGTTAAAAGAGAGCAGTGAGTCCAATAGTTAGCAGGTAAAACAGTTATTACCATTATTTTTCCAGCTCTCTGTATATGTGTAAAATGTCTGCAGTGCTCTTGCCTAGTGAGCGAGGGAAGATACAGACAAAACAAAAGAGATGATGTACGATAAAGCAGCCCTCCCAAGTTGTCCCACCTGCTTTCGAAGGTGTGTGGGTAGGTCGGCTTTCAGTGAATGCTGACACTTTTTGTGTTTCAGCTACAGATGGACTGCAAACTAAGAGAGTTATAGCAAATCTTGTGCAATGAGATAAGTGCATAGTACTTTCTTTGCCAAGCTTTGGATCTCAGAAAAAAACATCTGACAGACAATACAAGTTCTCATTTCCTGAAGAATTGGGCCCTTTCTTTGCTCATTTGGCTTTTTATGAATTACATATGTTTCCTCTATTAGTCTTAATCATACCCGCAAAATGTTGGGGGAGGAATAAATACTATGCTAACATTTGTAAAGAGTATTGAATTTCTACCTGACTTATATTTTGTTGGTTTCTTTATTTAGGAACTTTGTGCAGCCTTTGAAGCCAAAGAAGAGACATATAAGTGTCTAATGCAGAAAGGCCAGCAGATGCTTGCAAGATGCCCAGAGTCTGCCGAAACAAATGTTGAGCAGGACATAAATAACTTAAAAGAAAAATGGGAATCAGTACAAACAAAGCTCAGTGAAAGAAAAGTATGTTTTTTACATAAAAATAGTAGTGTAAATCATGTATTTAGGACTGCTAGTGTTTTGTCCTTTTACACATGCATACTTGCTTGGTCTTTTAGATCTAAAGTTGTAGAGAAATTTTGGAGAATTCATTGGTATATTTAGCAAGTACTGGGAAAAAATGGGATTCTAGGAGTTTATTATCCTTATCTGGGGGTGAGGGCAGGTGAGAAGGGCAGAAGGTTGTTCCATAGAAATATGTTAACTGATACTGATGATACTCACTTTACAGGCTGAGGGCTTTTCTGTTTTTTACTACAGTGATCATAGACATGAGAGAAGGAATTAAATTATTTCATCATTCAAGTTTATTTCCTTCTCTGTATGGAATTGCTGCATTAATTTTTCTAGCTTTTATCCATTTTTTTTTTTGTTAAAAATCCCAAACACTTGGCCGTCTGCCACTTAGTTCAAGTGACTGCCTTCTGCTCTACTGTAGATCAATACCATGATTTCACTGATGTGCAGCATACTTTTTCTTATTATTAACTTCATTTTGCTTTCATTCCTTCACGAAGTGTAGTGCATTTGTTCTACCTCAGTCAAACAATGAAGAAAGTCAATAATTACAAACAGAGGAACTTGAACTCTCTGTACAGCCCTGATGTATGTAAAGCACAAATATTTAACTCACAACTTTGTCATATTTTAAAGTGAGAATTCTGGTACATACTAAGGTAACTGCATAATGAAAGAGTGTCAGACTAATTAATACATAACATGAGTGCCTTCTTGCAGGAAGATGTAAGGTTGGAGTGCTCAGCTGAGCCAGCAGTACAACTGAAAATCTGACTGCTCTTTCATAGTCAACAAAAAACCCTGTATCCAAAAGTTCAGGCAACCACAATGACAATTGTGCATTGTTAAAGAAAAGTGTCTAGGCAAACTTGTTCTTTCTTTAGTGCAAGAGAACAAATAAGATGACCTCTCTGAGGCTCTTCCAAGTGTACTGCCACATTAGATTTCTGATATTATACAGGTTTTGCATACAAAATCTTAAATCCCTATGTCCCACTATGATTAACTACCAGAAGATGAAATGATCTAAAATAGAAAATGCATCCTACTACTACATGCTGTATTTTACACTATCATACATAGTGTCACTGTTACTTTTCTATCTATCTCCTTTAACATGCTCAAATGCAGGCTATTATTTTAAAATACAAAACTCAGAAACTTGGAGTTGGGAAAATGCTTAAAAATGTTAAACTAAATGCTAAATTAAAACAGTTTACTCCAAAATGCTAAACTAAGATAGTTTACTTGGCTGAAGCCCCTGCACAATATCAAATGCTATTAAAATATGACCTATCTTTACAGACCAAACTGGAAGAAGCTCTTAATTTAGCAATGGAGTTCCACAACTCACTTCAAGATTTCATCAACTGGCTTACTCAGGCAGAGCAAACTCTAACTGCAGCTTCTCGGCCAAGTCTTATCTTGGACACTGTCTTGTTTCAAATTGATGAACACAAGGTATGTAAAGAAACAGATGTGTAATGTTTTTCTCCAGTTCTGCAGAGATACTTTAACAATGTTCAAATGAACCCTGCAACACTAGCACTTAGAAACATTTATTTTGTTTAAAATTGCATTTTATAGTCTTGCTACATCATTCCGTATCAGACTGTTTTTTTCGGTGTTTATCCAGCATATGAGCAACCTAGTGTTTAGAGTAATTTTCTACTTTTTTTCCCAAGGTTTTTGCCACAGAGGTGAATTCTCATCGAGATCAGATCATAGAACTGGACAAAACTGGAACCCATTTGAAATACTTCAGCCAGAAACAGGATGTTGTCCTTATTAAGAATCTGCTGATTAGTGTACAGAGTAGATGGGAAAAAGTAGTCCAACGCTTAGTTGAAAGGGGAAGAGCTTTGGATGATGCAAGGAAACGAGCCAAACAGGTAATCGAACAACAGCTGTTGTACAATTCTTTGAACTTAGCTGAAATTACAACCAGACTCTTGAAGTATATGGTGCTTTAAAGCACACTTTCATGTAAGTCTGGGTTAGTGTAACAGGCTCTCGGTTAGTGGAGCAATTTCAGTGATTCAATCATGGTGCACTTCATTTAGAAGGTGAAAGCTTCATTTTCAACTTGAGCAGTGACTTCTGTCTGCAGTACGGGATGGTTTGAAAGAAGAAAGTTAGTGTGGCTTCCAGATGTAGATTAGTAGTGCCATCTGTCCTCAAAAAGAAGTTACACAATCGACCCCTTAGCTATTAAAGAACATGTCAAACCCCTATTAGTAGTCTGTGAGAATATTGCTTTGCATTTTCTTCTTGGGTTTACATTTTGCCCTAGTTAATACACACCATTTCTTCGATTTCTTTTGGTAGTTACTAGACCATTATCTTCCGTGTGGTAAGATTTCTGCCACACGGAATTTTATCTTACGAACCCAGAGAGGTTTTTACAGACTTCTCACCAGGGAGCATTATTTTTTTTCCTTAGACTCATGTTTCCCTCACTGAAGAACATAAATGATAAGATGCAAAATGTGTGAGAGGAATGTAATATATTGAAACATCAATAGGAAGTTCGAGGTTTTTTTAATCACATAGAGCTTTGGTTATGTTCACAGCCAAACCACATTCTCATGTTCACTGTTACTGCCACGCAGCTCATAGAGTAAGAACTCTTCTGAGCAATAAATTAGGCCATAAACCAATCAAACATTATTCATTTTCCGGCAGTTTCTGTTGTGCATTCACACATGTGGCCATTCTGCAATGAGATGGACAGTAGAGAAAATTACATCCCTGCATCCATTTACAGAGCTGAATACAATGAGTTTTATTCATTTAGGATAACAACTATCTGTACAGAGCAGGGGAGGAATACTTAGGCCTGATCCACAGCCCTGAACACCAGGGTCCTAGAGACTTAACAGTTTTCTGAACTGGTTTCTTGTACTTTCATGTGTAGGCAGCCCAGGCAAGAAAAATTTTCAAGAGGCATGGAGAGAGAAATGACAGGCTTGGAAAAATCCTGTCCCAGAGGGCTGCCACTTTGTGAAAGCTGGTTGAATCTCGAGTCTTTCCCTGCTTCCTTCCCTGAAGCACTGTTGTTGTTGAGAAAGGAAGGAAGATCAAGAATCTGTTCTGTGCCCGTCAAGATAGTACTTGATATAATGAGAGCATTTATGAATGTCTCAGGGAAAATCTTGGGCAATCATCCAGGCAGTTTTCCCCAGTGATTTACAGCTGTCATCCCATGCAGGCAATAGCTAAATCCCATTCTTGATGTATTTTGTATTCATTACTAAGAAGGCAGGAATCTAAATGACCAACACATAAACAGAAGTTACCAATGTGTCTGTGAAAGACGCACACTAGGCATACAGATTATGTACATTAAAAATTGCTAAAAAGGAGGCTAAGTCCAGTGGAACCCATGGTTGAGCCAGTCCCTCTTTGAGAAGCCTGGGAGAAAAATCACACCAAACCTTTCCCAGGGTTTTGGTACTTGTTTGGCCTGTAAAGAACTAGTCAAGGTTTAATGTTTATGAACTGTTTTATGCACCAGTGCATTTCTACATCTATGCAAATCTCACTTTCCTGCAGTTCCATGAAGCCTGGCACAAACTTATGGAGTGGCTGGAAGAATCTGAGAAATCTCTGGACTCTGATCTTGAAATTGCAAATGATCCTGACAAAATAAAGATGCAGCTTGCGCAGCATAAGGTAAGTCATGACTGACGAAATGCAAGATGCCCATGGAGATGTAAGTCTCAACCTTGTACTGTTCAGTCAGCAAAGGAAGTAAACTTATGGCCTCACTACAATGAAGAGTTTGTTAGCATTGAATTAAATGGTGGCGTGTTACAGGTGGGGAGTCAAGAAAGCTCTTAACAGAACCTGGTCTGTGGTAGAATGGTTAATGATGAAGAGGAAAGACATAAAAATACAGCACCAGGGAAACTTTAAAAAGGGAAAGTAATACTCCCTCAGAAGAGGAATCCCTGAAGAGGTTATAGGCTTTTTTTTTTTCAGTCCTTACAACACAAACTTACCATCCAGTTACTTTGCTTGGTATTTTCCTTTTAATACTACAGGACAACCTCAGAAATAAAAAACAATCTTGCATTTTGATCGACAGCTGCGTTTTAAGTCAAGTAGAAGTAATAATGAAGTCCTCCATAAAGTACAGTGGCTCTGTTAGTAGAAAAGGTAGTTTCTCTGTATAGGATTAAAAATTCCAGGACCGCCTTTCCACAAATGCAGCTACAGAGGAGTAAGTGTAAAAATCTCTGCCATTGACATGGCTTTTCAAACAAATAAAGTTGATGTAAAAATGAAGGAAGCTCTACAGTTATAGCAGACAGAAAAAAATGAAGGACAGACAACGTCTTCATTTTTACTTTTGTAAACAGCCTAAAATAATGTATTAGGGAGGATTCAAGTGGGTGACATAGAATCTTCAGAGACAGGCTGTGTCTAAAGATTTATCTTGGAGCAGTTTCATCAGAGACAAGTATTGAAATATCATTTATTTTTCTGGATTTTGGCATATATTTACTTTTACTTTTCATGTTGACTTTAGAGTACTGCATTTGTTTCTATTATTTCATTCTGCACAGTATACCTTAGGTTTTGCATCTCAGCTCTCTACACCCTCTGTGTGTAGTTTCTGATAATTGCTTTTACCTCTGATAAGCTTTTACCCTGAGCATTAATGATTGATTACTGCATCAGTCTGCTTCACATTTTTATCATCTCTCAGCTTCCATGATGATATAAGTATTTTTTATCAAACAGGATAATAATATTCTACTTTATATGGGGAAGTTGGCTGCAGGTCAAACAAAAATAGTTTTTACCTACGTTTGGTGTTAAAACTTTTAGATAAAACCTGCATTAACATTCTGTTATGCTAACTCTGCAATTTCAGTTTGTTCTGGGATAGGTGGTGTTGCCAGAACTTGAAGTCAGCTCTGAGGATTTAGAAAAATCTCTATTAAGATCTTCTTTCTTGTATTGTCTGACTCTATCAATCTTTTAATCCTTCCACTCCTTTTTTTTTTTCTTTCTTCTTTATATAAAAAGTTCAAACTCCTCACAAGTATGGCGAACACATTGTGACTTAGCTTTGAGGTCCTTTTTGGCCCTGGGGATTGACACACTGTCTTAATTCTCCTCCTCTCTTCTGAAGTTTTAAACTTGATAGCTTAGTACTTGTTCTCTGTACCTACAGCAGTACATTTTATGAGCCCAAACTTCCTCAAACAGGCTGTCAGATTCATCAGTTCCCCCAGTGACAGATTTTCTCCAGCTTCTTTTCATATAGCATACCTGCAGAGAATAGCTGGTTAAATTGCTTGAATCTCCTTTATTATGAGGAATGGGCTGGAACATAGCACGGGGGCATTAGGATTGAAACTGGTTATTCAGAGGAAAAAGATGAATGTATACGAGAGAGGGAGTTTGCTGAACTCTGTGACTTTAAACTTCAAACAACCCCCCCCAAGAAATCAACTCAATTGTTTTTTAACGATCTGTCAAACCTCCCAACACTGCAATGTCCTTCCTTGTATTTTGAATCCTTTCCTTCCACTCCCACATAGACCCTCTTTTGTCTGTCTTTGTCTTTTCTGTCCAGCCTTGAAGGTTTCCTTGCTCCATTTAGCTAGTGATTTTACTATCTAAACCGAATGTGTGCTGTGTGTGTGCTGTAAGCAATGATTTGGACTCACTCTTTGCCAGTTGTTACTGCCAAAAAAAAAAAAAAAATGCCCCGAAAGAGAAAAGCCAAGATATGTTTTCTTTCTCACTCATATCTAGTGCACTGCCAGGGACTTTTGGGGGGTTATTCATGGTCTGTTTATCTGAAATTTTTCCTCATTTTTAGAAGTCAGGAGTGGAAAATCCCTTACTAGGTTAGCCAATCCAGTCCCACGCTAATGCTGAATGTTCCTTACAGTACATTTATGTGAACCTAACTGATTTTATCTGTATGGTCTTGCCTGTCTTCATTAGAAGAAGATAAATAATTAATTATTGAGATTTCATTCATTTTACCTGCCTGCTCTTGGCAGCTAAAATGTCTTAAACAAAAATCTACTCTCAGCTATACCTCTGTGAAATCGAATTCAAGTAGATTTGGTACAGTGTGTGCAGTGCGTCAAAGAGTGAATTGACTGCAACCCTTTGTTCACCTTTAAATCTGTTTTTAGTGTATGCTCCTCCCCTGACAACAATTTCATTGTGTTTCTTTGTGCAAATCAAGAAACGTTGTGCATGTAACTTTAAGTAGTTAATGAACCCCATCAAACAACGGGAGCACTAATGTGTGCGTCATTTGTTTTGAAAAAACTCTTATAAGGATCTGGTTATTTTAATTTTGAAAAGGCTATGTATTTCTGTAGCAGTTCTAGGTTGACAATGGTGTTTGTATTCTTTCTTAAAACACGATTCCTTGCTTTATGTGAGGAAAATGAAAGGACAATAGGGAGATACTCGATTACAAAACAAATGCTGATTTTTTTTTAATAGATTCTAATCCTCAGTTCCCTCTGGATCCTGAAATAACCATAAAATCAGGACAGGGCAGTGCAAACTATTGAGTAAGATTTAAATAAGGAACCTTGAATCACCCTAGGTAAAGTTAGCATACCATCCCCATGTCACAACCCAATGCCTCATACTTCACACACCTCCACTGCACCTGAGCTTTCCCTGATGTGAATTCACATCTAAAATGAGCAGATGGCTGTGTGAACAGATAGGAAAGCTGGTGAAAGAGGCATGAGCTACCACGGCACAGGCTAGTGCAGAGCAGCTGGGAACAGCTTGCAAGTTGGAGATGAGCAGTTGTGCATGTGCTGGCAGTGACCATGTGAAGTCTTTGCAATCTTTATGTGCCCTCAGGAATTATTAAGAATTTTAACTGGTAATCATTTCCATGCTGGATTTTATGATATTAAACATCTGACTCTGAGAATCAGGTGGAAAACCATGTTAGCAAACATTGAGCAAAAACTCTTTTGGCCTGGTATTTTTTATTATTTTTTTAAATTAAAAAAAAAAAAAGAATATTAAATTGTCTATATATGAAATTTATAAAGCAATGTTTGGATTTTTTTTTATACTGGTTTCCTACTAGCAGTTCATGAAGGTGTGAATTAAAGCACTTCAAGCATTACTACCATTCAAGAGCTACTGTGTAAAGTTGGTTTTATCCTTTGGTAGTGTTCAGTTACTTCATTATTTACTCTGTCATTCTGTTGACTTCTCTGCTGATATCAGAAGTTTCTGTATGTTCCTCTGTGCTGCACAGAGCTTCTGGAAGCTCTGTGCAGCAGGAGCAGTCAGAGCAGGCTGGCAAATGCAGCTGCTGTGTCACCATCACTCTTCCAGAGTTCCTGGATTACAGTAACCTGTTTATGATCATGACTTCCAACCCAAACTGTGTTGTTTGGGAAGCCATCTGGCTGCTTCTTGTACCTAAATCTGTATATTTTTGGCATACAGTTCTTCCCAATTGTAGTAGGCTTCAGTCTTAGGAAGGTTAAATGCTCATGGATGGAAGAAGTTCCCCATTTTGTTCACACTGAGATAAAACAGAGTAATGTTTGTCACCTCCAGGGTGCTCTGCACTACTTTGAAATCTTAAAATACATAAATGTAGCGTGAAGAGTGCTCGGTTCATAGTTCCCAAACTAGAAGTCCTTTTATATTTTTCTGAACAGCCAAGGCAGCCTCTTACTGAAATTTAGGTTTTAGGAATTATGGTAAGACAGGAACCATCCCTCATTGAGGGAAGAGTTTCCTAGAGTTGTTCCTGTAGGTGTAGAGCTGTTTCTTTTCGCGGAGAGGGATGAAAGGCATGGCCTCTGGTAGCATCAAGCTTTGTAGAATTTCAGCTACACTGTGTGGCACTAGCAAACTAAAAACTTTGCATTAAGCTTAACATCTTCTTGCAGTGACATTGATTATTTACATTGCAAATAATATGGCAAAATGTGATTAACTGTGGACTGTAAGTAGTTGATGCTATATGGGTGTTTTCTTTTTCTTCCGTGTTTATAGGAATTCCAGAAATCTCTTGGTGCCAAACACTCTGTATATGATACCACAAACAGGACTGGACGCTCCCTGAAAGAGAAAACTACTTTGGCCGATGACAATCTGAAACTTGATGATATGCTGAGTGAGCTAAGGGATAAATGGGACACAATTTGTGGAAAATCAGTAGAAAGGTAAATGAAAGCCAATCTAATTATTGAGCAGATAAGAATAAGGCTTACAAGAATTCTTCAGGCTTCTGTTTTGGCTTCTGTTGCACAGAAGTAAAACCAGAGTGGCTAGCGTGTCTCATAATTAAGAGTGGGAGGGAGGGGGAGAGGAACAGATGAGCGTTCCTCATCTGTTTGAGGAACCTGCTTTGTGCTGGTCAGTACAGACTGGATAAAGCCCCATTAACCTAATTGGTAAATTCCCACTTGAGCGGTGTCTCCTACGTGTCTGCCTCAGGAGCCACTGTGTCTGAGGGTAGCATGGGGAAGCCAGGAGAATGTTGCCTCTTTTGGAGACAGCAGAACGTGTGCATTGCCTGGGACTGTTCAGAGCCCCAAGAAGCATTGTGTTCATCCCACTGCAGACCTACGCTTTTGTTTTTTTCCCCACTATTTAAAAGGGGAAAGAAACACTAATTTAGAGCTCTTGTTTGTTAGCATTTTATGCCGAAAATTTTTTCCTTATGATTTTTAACTAAGTTTATTCTTTTTGTTGTGTTCATTTTTTTCCCCCAGACAAAATAAACTAGAGGAAGCCCTGTTATTCTCAGGACAATTTACTGATGCTCTGCAAGCTCTCATTGATTGGTTATACAAAATTGAACCCCAGCTAGCAGAAGATCAGCCAGTACATGGAGACATTGATTTAGTGATGAACCTGATTGACAATCACAAGGTAATTCCAAATATATTCTTTTTTAATTACTAGACTGCTCATAAGTGTAGTCTTTTAATGCTAATTCATTTTTTGGCTATTCTGTAATTTTAGAAACGCGGAATATTTTTATGACATAAACATGTTGACAATGGAAAATGCTATAAAACAGACTTGGAAGCAAAGAACTTGTTAATAACTCGTTGGCACCAATTAGCATTGAGATACTCAATTTAATGCTGCTATCTTGTGTATTTATAAATATGTCAAAAAGCACAACTGTGCATTTATGAATGTGTGTATATGGAAAGAAGTGTCAAAATTGATTTTACTGGAAATCTTTTGGGGAAGAAGAGAAAGGGTTTTATTCAGTACATCTGCTAACCAAATGTCCAGTGCAGTTGTTGTGACTCCAGCAGCCTTTCTGAAAAGGCAGCAGTGAGCATTTCAAACCTGCAGAGCTGCTGCATATTCACAGAGAAAAGCAGTTGCAGTGCTTAAGTCGTGCATGGGAGTACACAACTAGACAACAACGACTCAGGAAACCTACACTGACTGCAGTATTTTGTCAGTGAAGTGTCTTTGAAGAAGGCAGCACATAGGGGATCTAGGGCTGCGGCTCTGAATCGCAGTTCTGGAGTTCAGTTCAGTATGTCAGAAGAAATGGCTGTTGAAGTTACTACTAGTGACACGGTTAGAGCTCTGGGGTCTGGGAGGCTTTTAGGATGACGGTCCGCCTCTTCTTCCACCAGTGACTTCCAGTATCCAAACACTGCTTGGTGAGAAGACAGCTTTGTCTCTTGTGAGGAAAAAAGTATCTAGAAATGCAGGTTATCTATAAAAATTACCCTGAAATGTACTAGAATTGCTTCTGAAGTCCAAGTGCATAGCATAATTACATCACAGTCAGTGGCACAAGATTTGGAATTTACATTTTGTCTTACTTCCTTTTAAGAGGTTCCTTTGTGAAAATGGAGCTTGTTCCAGCCATGAATGTGAACATACTCTCACATAAATATATGAATATGTACAGATTTACAGCCCTACAGCCTGACCCACAGATGAAGTTTTATTTCTGTTTTTATGATTTTTCAACCTTTTCCTTGATTGTTTGCAGTTTATCTGATCTTTTTTTGTGCTGTGGCAGTCTTGCACATTCATCACAGTGTCAGATCAATTGCTTTGATAAAGAGCTTAAAGCCAGTGTGGTAAGAAGGCTGGATTTCCCATGCATTGCATCAGGATGCATTGTTCCCAGGATCTGCCTGACATTTCCCTACTAGATTCCAGTTTCATTAGGATAGAGTGTAAATATCTTCATATGAAATCTAGTGAGCAGAACTTGTACATTTTGTGTCACTTGCACTTACCATGGACTATGCATTAAACTATGCATTTAATATTTTGATACATTCTTATAACCAGTAGGCTTTTTGTCATTTTCTATAATTGTTATCATTACGTGTTATAATTACATTATTAAATTAAACATTCCAAACATATTTGGTGGTCCTAGGTTTTCCAGAAGGAGCTGGGAAAAAGAACAAGCAGTGTCCAGGCTCTGAAGCGCTCTGCCAGAGAGCTGATAGAAGGCAGTCGAGATGACTCCTCCTGGGTCAAAGTCCAAATGCAGGAGCTAAGCACCCGCTGGGAGACGGTTTGTGCCCTGTCTGTATCCAAGCAAACGCGACTGGAACAGGCTCTCCGACAGGTAAAAGAGTGCTGCTGATTCCACATCTCCTATAGGAGAAGCAGAGAAAATACTGCACAGTGTAGTTGAAAAAAATAATTTCATTTTCACTTCATGTCATTCCATTTCGTTCAATTTCATTTGAAAACATTCATTTTCTTGTTCATGCATTGTTTACCATGTCTTTGCCCCTTTACCACAACACATAAATAATACCTGTTAGTACTTATTATTACTATTAGTAGTAGTCTACACCACAAATGAAAACCAAATGTTTCAAAAGCCTTACCATCTAAGGAAATCACTGAAGTTACAGACAAGCATGAAGTTTGATTAAGAACTATGACCCCCTCACAGGAAGCTGGAGATTGCAGTCATGCTTATGCCCTTTGTGCTTTATTAGAAAGAAGTAAATTTATGTACTAAAAACTTGTTTACATTGGCACAATTACAGAAGAAATTGAGCTGTGCTGAGTGCACTCAAGAACCAGAACAGTCTATCCGTGTCAGTATTGGCAGGTACCAGTCCCAGATGAATAGGCCCATCTGTATTGGTTGCAGACCTGAGATGTCTGCACTGCTCACGCAGACATACAGCTTGGGTTGATGCTAGCTTGGGGTTCCAGTAACAGTGATGTATCCACTGCGTACAGGATTCCTGCCCTGCTTTTCCCAGGGTACTGTGTTTGCCCATCTACCTGGTATCTCAGCAGGAACAACTCTGAGCTACCTCAAACACTGATTGTGTCTGATTGTGGCTGTGCCCAAAGGTGCGACTTTCTTGTTCTTTCCAGTCTTGAAAGGGTCAGTCACTAACAGACTCTCGGTTAATTTTGCTTAACCAGTGATTTAGGCTATGCAGAAAATACAGTTCTCATCTCTCCAGCTGGTCCATGAAAGCACGTCCCATGTAATTTGTCAGCATAAAGGCATGACATTCTCAACTGAGCTGCAAATACACTATAAATCAGATAGCTAAAAGCATGAGCAGGCTTTTAGGCTTCCTATAATTTTTTGGGAAGCATGAGATATTTTTACGGTTATAAAAATGTAGTACTGTATATCACTGACTTTTTAATGGAAAGTTAATGTGCCAGTACTGCTCCGTGATTAATGGCTCCAAATCTGGGCTCAGTCTCCTTGTGTAAGCTGCAGCGTGTCTGTCAGGTCCCCTCATCAGTGACCGTGACTTCTTGTGTTTAACAGGCAGAGGAATTCCACTCTGTTGTTCACGTCCTCCTGGAGTGGCTGGCAGAGGCTGAGCAGGCTCTTCGCTTCCACGGGGTCCTTCCAGATGATGAAGAGGCCTTGCGTACCCTGATAGACCAGCACAGGGTAAGTAAGAAAGTGAAGAGCGTCTCTTTGTTCTAATAATCTACTAGAATGTAAAGGAAAGGAGGCAGAGTTTATCTCATGTAATCACATCTAGCATCCAAGGTTTGTTTTTGCAGCTCTTTCTATTGAGAAATTAGAAATCGAATGAATTTTGGTGCCCATTCTTGTGTTGGGCTGTTGTTTGAGTCATATTAGCTTATTATATGAAAGTAATGGGCATTTAGGAAGTTGCTGTAATCATTTAGAGATAAATTCAAAACCCTCTGGAATATATGCTGCCTGACAATTCTAACACAGGCTGTTAGAACAGCAAAAGTATATCCATCTTCTCAGCACCATTGAGCTAAGAAGACCGTATACTTTCAAGGTCATTTGTAAATGTCAGCAGAATGATGTTGTCATCCATTAACCTCCTGTCACGGTGAAACAGCATGCTGTCGTGCCTCATGTACATTAGGTACTGAAATACTGCAGTGCATTAGGTACTGCAGATACTAGATTACAGGTCACCAAACTGATTTTGCCATAATGAAATGGGAAAATGGCTAAGTCAGGAGCCTAACTGAAGAAATTTGAGTTCATATTTTCCCTCTCTTACACGCAGGCATTTTTCATGCAAAACTTTTCCTTTTTAAGTGCAGTAGTAATAATACAAAAAATATAAAGTAAACATAAAATTGCATGTGATGTTACAGACCAGATTATAATAATAACGAATGTTTGTTATTGCCATGAAGAAAGTTATAACCGTTACAAGCTTACAGAATGAAAAGTGGAAAAGCATCCTGTTTAAATTGAGTTAGGGAACAGTAGTACACTGAGCACACACAGAATAGGACTGCCTAACTGTTCTTAATAGGTAATTTTGAAGGTATTCAGATTGCAGCAGCAATACATTTTGAAGAAGTTTTCAGATTTAATTTGGGGCCCTGAAAACTGGGGGCAAACACATGTAGGTGTCAGTGTATGCCCATGTGGGGAAGTTCACAGCAGCAACGCACTCTCTGATACAATTAAATTGCTCTTTTAGCTGCATTTCCTCTATTGCTACATTTTTTGGTTGTCTTAGTACAGAGGAAAAAGCGGAATGAAATCTTAGTTAGAAAACTGAAACATTAGAAGAAAAAAACCAACACATTGGTGGTAATGGAGTGTTAAATTTCTCCCTTTGCAATGTAGACTAATTAACAAAACATTTCTGTACAAAAGTTTGAAATCGTGCTGCCAAAACTGAAGCCAAAACTTTGAGCCTCAAACCAAAGCAGTTTGTCTATGAGAAACCCTGTCCAGCTGGGGAGAACAATCACCAGAACAACGCAACCAAGCTCAGCGTCAGATGTGACTGCACAATACTTAAAATTTTCTAGTAGACTTTAGAAGATGTTCTGCCATCCACATTTTCTTTTTTAAAGGGCAAATAATTGACAATTGCTGTATTTCTATCTAACAAAGACTGTGGCACTGCTTCTTTGCCACTCAGTAAGCATGTATGTGAAAAGTCCTTCTTGAATGTGTGGTCTCTGCTCTTGAGCTTATTAACGTTAGCTTTTAAGGAGAAGACAAAAAGAAAAATGGTGTTTAAAACTAGTATTGTATACTACATGTCTACATTATTATGCTGTAATATTAATCTATAAAATAGACTAGATTACTGTGAAACTATTTGCCTAAATATGAAATGTAACTTCTTTTTATTAATTTGTGATTCTTGTAAAATAGTTTTGATATGTTTGTATCCAGGTACCTGTTGAAAGGTTTCTTCATTAACATATTTTATCCAAATGGTCTATCTTTATGCCCATTACTTGGTATTGTTTGTTTTTTTCCTTGAGCACTGCATATGATTTAATGATTTCTACTTATCTCAGCCAGTGACATAAGTCACTCACCATTGTCTCCAGGGACTGAAAGGTGTAGCGAGGTAATGCCCTGCGTTAGTTAATAAGGAGCATCCCATCTCCTCTCCTGTAAATGTGTCTGTATCACTGGACTGCCACAGTGTTCGATACAATTGGTATCCTTTACCAAGGGAAAGCTTAATATCAAGGGAAAGCTTAACGTGTGTTGAAGAGTGTGAGATTGATTTGTTCAGGGAAAACAGTTGTTGCTATTGCCTGTTTTCCTCCTGGCCCTTGCTTCTTTTGGTAATCTGTCACTACAGCCCACCTCAACTTTTTTAAAACCATTCTGAGCTGAAATATTGTAAAATTTCATGGGGTCTTATGAGAGGAGTGCTATCATGATTGAGTCTTAAACTCTGATGTGAAACTTAGATCAAAATTAATTAATAATGAAATCCTGGATACACAGCCTACCTATTCCAGACATTTAGAACAAGGTACAAGAGACTTTTTTTACACTTTTATTTAATGATATTTTCACAGTTAATTTGTAGTGGCACAGGATAATGTAATTGTGAGTTGTAGAATCTATTTTTACAATGTTCTGGTGACTTTGAATTTTATAATATCTGACTTGGCTGATCATTAATTTCTGGAATCTAAAATAACCCGTAGTGGGGAAGAGAAAGAGAGCTAAGTTAAACTTTCAGAGATGTGCTTCTATTCTGTAGCCCAATTAAAGATCTTAAAATATAAATAAAAACAATTCCACCAGGCACTGAGAGTAGTTGACAGTTTCAGTGCTCACACAGACATGCAAACTTACGCAACATTTAGACATAACAAAGTAGGCAGAATTGTAAAACCGCTGTAGTAATAATAAGAAAAAAAGTGAACTATAGAAAGGATGGAAAACGTTTTATTTTTTGGGGTTTTTCCCCCCTCACTTCAGTTCTGATCTTGCCACCCTTTCTTCTGCCAGACTCCCTAGGAACATCAGTTGTTATGAACTTGGATGGTCAGAGCTGTAAACATCCTTTTGCTTTTACAAGATTTTTCCCACATGGCAGAACCTCTGAAAACAGCTGGTTAATTAACAGCCCCTGTCTCTGTTCTCTCTGTCTCTTCTCTTTGGCTGCTGAGTTTTTCATATTTGTGTTATTATAGCTGCTCCTGAAGTCCTCTGTCATCTTGTCTGAGCATGTAATTATAGTTGGACATTTCCAGCCTCTGTTAGGAGCCTGATAGTTTATTATGAAGAATTACTGTAACTGACAGACAAACTAAGTCTTCTGAAATGTTGCCAGTAATGATTCTAACCATTGCATGGCTGATTTACAGCGCTTCTAAAGTGCTGTGATTTTCTTTCTTTTTTAATAAGGGCATGTGTATTTCAAGTACTTACAGTATGGTCGAGTGGCAGGATAGGGTAAAGATTTTAAAGCTTCATTTAATACTTTGTGTGGAATAAGCTTTTTGAGCATTTTTTAACTTTTCTCAAAGAAACAAAACTTTTTTCTTTTTTTTTTAATTTATTTTTCTTCTTTCTCTTCTCTGGTGAATCTGTTCAGGCTTCGATTGATCCAGAGCCTTTCAGATTATGCAGAATTTATTCAGATTTCTCTTTCAACTTTTGCCAGCACCTAATTGAAACTGTTGCTTCTGATTTAGGAGTTTATGAAGAAACTGGAAGAGAAAAAGGCCGAACTGAATAAAGCAACAGGTATGGGAGAAGCTATCCTGGCTATCTGCCACCCAGACTCCATCACCACCATTAAGCACTGGATAACAATCATCAGAGCCAGGTTTGAAGAGGTCAGTACTATCTCAAACCATCTTCTTTGCAACAGTTCGCTTTTGACTGGAACATAGCTGACTACTAACATGGTAGTTGTACTGGGAGGAAATGATCCAGCTGTTAAGAACTAAACATTTAAAATACCCACAATGATGAATGTGAATACCATACTTCCCCAGGTTTTATTTTAAAACTTATAGGCCTTTAAGAATTAAAGCAGATGGTCAAGCTTCTTTGTTTGTATGTATTAAAGGAAATAGTGCCTGACACTTCCTATCTGAGAAAAGCCAATAGTTTCTAGGAAGAGAAATCTAAAAGTTACAAAGGAAAAAAAAATACAAGGCAAACTTGAAGCATTTTCTAATTGCATTAAGGAGGCTTTGAATACAACATGTTCTTAATCTAGGAGATTTCCAAATCATTCAAGTGGCTACAAGTAAGTCTCAGAGGGTGCACCAAAGTCTTAGTTGCTAAAGTGCATTTTTGTGTGTTCATTATGTTTAAAGAAAAACTTTATAAATCCTGCTGTTAGCAAAGTATGGCTTCAGGAGTGTTCACGAGGAAGAAGGAGCCCAGATCCTATATGATTTACTGATTTATAAGTATGGTTTGATCAAGTTCTTAGCCTGTTACCAGAATGTGCTATTTTCTGCATGTAGTAGTACATAGACGTGAGTATTTGTGCAAAAATGTGGCTGAACTAGAAATTCTAGTTGCCTAGCACATTTAGTGGTCAGCCACTACACCTAGCACCTTTGATATTGAAATATCAGTAGCACTGGGAGGAAGCTTTGGGTTTACAGTTAGCAGGGCAATTTTAAATACATTTTGAAGAATTTCAGATGTGCAGATATTGATGTGTTGGTTCTTGTATCAAGGTATTAGCATGGGCTAAACAACATCAGCAAAGACTGGCAGGAGCGCTGGCTGGACTTATTGCTAACCAGGAACTGCTGGAAGCTCTGCTGTCCTGGTTACAGTGGGCAGAGACTACGCTCACTGAAAAAGATAAAGAGGTTATCCCCCAGGAGATCGAGGAAGTTAAAGCACTTATAGCCGAACATCAGGTAAGGCATGTTAAGTGACGTGTATGTCCTACACTTTCGTCCTACACGTTCAAACAGATGCTCTCGTTCAGCTAGGCTTCATAATTAAGTGCAAATCTCCTTAGCTGTTTTCTCTCTTAATCACTGAATCATTTTTCAAACGCTCAGTTGAGTCTTCACTACATACACTATATGCTTGGAGCTTATTCAACACAGATGTGAGAAAACAACCAATAAAAACTTTAGTGCCATATTGTTCCAAAAGCAAACTTATAACTCCTTTTAAGAACAAGGATAGTAGTAACCATGTGAAATACGTGATAGTGCTGCTGGCTTAGGAGTAGTGTTGCTGTGTGGCTTTACTGATTGGTTATCTAAAATATATTTATGAAGAGGAGGCTGCTAGTGCAGTGAATACTTGTAAGCTTAGCCCAGTTTAGGCACAACAGTATCTTACTTATGTGAGCTGCAGTCTGGACAGTAGAGGAGTACTCCTGAGTTAAAAGTGTTGTACACCATCTCACCATACACAATACACAGTTTGACAAACTGTTTATAGATTTAGACTAACAGACAAGGCATAGAGGTTCTAACACTGCTGATTGTGTTATTATTATTTTTTACCTGCAAAACCTCTATTTTATCTGTCTTTCTTGTTAGGTTGGCATTATTAATCTTTCCGTGCTGTTCTTGTAACTTTGGTGTTTTGCTATTGTGTGTGTTTTACATTCTTGTGGTCACTTCTGTGTATTGTTAATTAAAACCACCTCTATCTGATTGCAGACATTCATGGAGGAAATGACCAGAAAACAACCTGATGTGGATAAAGTTACAAAGACCTATAAAAGAAAGGCACTTGAACCCACTCCTGTACAATCTCATATTCCTGTCCTTGATAAGGGGAGAGCAGGAAGTAAGTAATGAAGTGTTTTGGGGCAGGTCATATACACCATCGTTCTGTCTACAAAGATAACTGATTACTAATAACCTAACAAGTTTGATTAGCAGCAGAACATTCTAATGAAATAGGGTGGATTTTCCTAATTATCTTGTATTTTTCATTGTGAGGGGACTTCTCACTTCTGTTTTTAAATTTTGCTCTATATTTCTTGAGTATTTATTTTTATAGTGTTCAAACTTTCCTGTGCTATTAAACTTCCAAGAGGGCACACAGTGAGTCTTTGCCAACTGACCATTATTTAAAAGTGCAAACAGATTATTTTATGTAAAGAGAGAGAGACAAAATTTTGCTTTTAATGTCTGTGAAATTATATGGAACTAAGCAGAAAGTCTTCTGTTCAGTGAAGTTGAATGGAAAAGAAATCTTCAAATTTTCATATTTTCATATTTTTCATATTTTCATATTTTTAGATATACTTACCCTTTGCATTTCATATTTGCCTGTATCTATACGGAACCTACTTCAAAAATTAGCTTGATTACTTTACAGATCTCTGTAAGGGATTTGCAAAAATTTTATTTAGTCTGTGCAGTTTCAGTAATGCAGCAACTACTAGTTGCTATGGGCTAGGCAGAAGTTGAATACTTAAACCGCCCTGGTCCTTCCCCTGCAATGTTAAAGAAAACCTCATTAGTTGGAATCATATCAGGATTTGGTCTCATTATTTGTGGCAAGGAGGAGTGGTTTTAGGAGGGTCAAGTACCCTTTGTGTGAATGTTTGTTTTGTTTTAACTGGGTAAGACTTACACTTTTTATCGTGTTTCAACAGGAAAGCGTTCCCCCACACCAGGCATATATCCATCAGCAGCCCAGGCACAAATTGAAACCAAAAATCCACGGGTAAACCTTTTAGTCAGCAAATGGCAGCAAGTCTGGCTTCTGGCCTTGGAAAGAAGAAGAAAACTTAATGATGCTTTGGACAGACTCGAAGAGGTCAGCAATGGACTACACAGAATGCACATATTCTTTGTATAATTTTGTTTAACCTGGGTTACATTGGCAATACTTTAAGCCATCCATATTTGTTGCATGATACAGATAACTAAAAACATTGCCACATGCTTTAAAAATTGTTGTTCTCATTTTAAATGTGAGGAGGCAAGATTTTTGAGGACCTACATTAACATTTTAAATAACTAACTATTTAAAAGAACGCAGACGGTCTCTCCTTGTTTTTCTGAATTAATTGACTTCAACTGTAAGAAATTTTCTCTTTCTCTCTCTCTCTCTTTTTTGTTTTAATGAAGCTGAGAGAATTCGCCAACTTTGATTTTGATATATGGCGGAAAAAGTACATGCGATGGATGAACCATAAGAAGTCTCGTGTGATGGACTTCTTTAGAAGGATTGATAAAGATCAGGATGGAAAAATAACGAGACAGGAATTTATTGATGGAATTCTTTCTTCAAGTAAGTTTTGAAATTAATTTAATGATGAACTTAGAAGAAACATCTAATTAAAACTTATTGTCTGTATGGTGTACACAATGGGGTTGATCATCTCAGAAGGTCAGAATTCCTTTTTGAAGTCATTAGATATGATTAATTCAAACTGTAATTATTTTACTTGAAAATATTTTTAGATTGTAGAAACTCTTTCAAGTTCTAGGGAATCTTCTCTCTTAATAAGATTATAAATGGCACATTTATACTATTAGTTAATTAATATTTACTGGTTTATTGGACTCTGACAATCGTTTCCACAAAGCAGTAGCTACTTGAACAGATTACTTGAACTATCTTGAACAGATAGGTACTTTTCATTGATTATTCAGAATAGTAAAACATACCTCATAAAACCTACAGATAACTTCAAAACCAGTTCATGCGATTTTATGACTTTTATTCAAGTACTTGCCAACATGGAATAGTTTCAATTATGGAAGGAAACTGGGTAATTTCTGAAACTAGTGTTTCCATGAACCATGGCCATGTTCATATGCCTGACATTGACTCATAACAGATAAGGACCTACTACTCAACGTTATCCTTTATCTTCAAATCATGGGGACTTTTTGCTTTGAGCAGTGAAGATTCAGAATTGGGTTGCTTTTAGCACCTCACGTTAAAGTTATTTGGTAGGAGACTACAGCAGTAGATGCATTTTTCCCCTGCTTTGGTAAATGCGCTAATACTGTCATGATATGTGTTTTTTGATGTTTTGCATGGATTGCCAGAAGCTGAGGGGAAAATCCCGATACAACCAAGAGGTTAAACAGTTTACTTACTTAACTCGGTTGATATAATCTTGTTTCTGCTAAATACTCATGATTTAATTCTTGTTTCTGCTAAATACTCATGATTTAATTCCTGTTTACCAACTTAAAATTTTTCTTGACCATTTCGTAGAGAATCTCTGTATGGATTAATGATCTTTTGCTGTGAACTTGATCTAAAGAAGGATTTCGCAACAATCTATAAAGTTTCTGAAGTGGGAAGGCCTTGCATCCCAAATTTAATTATCATTGAAATTCTCACTTGACCTTTCCTCACTAACAGTTTATCTTGTGGGTATTATATTAATCTGTGGGTATTATATGCGCTTCGAAGGTCAAAATGTTGAAGTGAGTAGTTTAATCTGTGCACTCTCTTCTGTTTCTGTCTTCAAGGCAGACTATGCTATTCATTTTTAGCCAAAATCTACTGGAGATCCTGCCTTTTTTCAGAAAAATTCCTTTATGCTTTTGGAAGTCACCTAATACCTGAAAACACATTAAGATTTTTGATAAAGACATTCATTGTAATGGAATAGAAAAGCCAATTTATCTATGTTGTTGTTTTTGTATTACAGAATTCCCAACAAGCCGACTTGAAATGAGTGCTGTTGCAGATATTTTTGATAGAGATGGTGATGGGTATATTGACTATTATGAATTTGTAGCAGCTCTTCATCCAAACAAGGATGCTTACAAGCCTCTCACAGATGCTGATAAAATTGAAGATGAGGTACATTCTCTGTTTTCTTAGATTGTGGTCTATTCTACTGGAGTCACGTTCATTAAGAATTAATTTGATTTCTTCCCTCTCCCTCCCCCCCCATATAATTTGAAGTTTACCAGTTACATAAATTATTTAAAAATGTGATATTAGTGGGAAAGTAATCATCCAGTGGTGTTCTTTTGCAGGTTACAAGGCAGGTAGCTAAATGTAAATGTGCAAAACGGTTTCAAGTGGAACAGATTGGGGATAACAAGTACAGGGTAAGTCTCGTAAGGACCTTCTTAGTTTTTTCAGCTTAAAGATTCTTCCTCTGATATGGTTCTGCAAGGATATAGACTATATTCATATACAGGAATTTTGTGTGACAATTATATGTTTTCTTACTGTAAGATTGTCTCAGTTTCATGTGATTTTTTCTTTTTAGAACATACAGGCTAAAAATATGGAAAATGCTGCATATCTGTATTTTTCACTGAAACTACAGAAACCATTTTCAATGTATGGGAATTTTTAAAAGCTAACTGCATACATGTGTACATACGTATAACAGCTCCTTGAAGTGCAAACTTTTTGTCTGGATACCCAAAGCGTTTATGCTGTAGCTGGTTTTCTATCATTACCATAAAAGTAATGACTGATATTTTCCTGTTGTATTGTGTTGTACTTCAAAAATCTTTAACAAAAGCGTGTTTGATCACTTTTACCCTCACTTGTCGTTTTACCGCAGCACACTGTACTTCTGAAGAAGTACAAGAAATGTGTTGGATATCCACTGAACAATTTTAGATCACAGTAAAAAAGTATCACATTGTAGAGAAAGATCTGCTACCCCTAGATTCAATAACCAGAACAATTTCAGATGAAAGATGCGATATTTGGCTAAGAAATACTAAAATGCTTGCAGGTGTTTTTTAAAAGATCACAGAAACAGCAGTGGGAAGGAAACAAAGGCCTTGAATATTCTTCAGTATTCAGTCTCCGGATAGCTAGCTACCTGCTCATCTCTGAACTAGCAACTTTATTTAGAATGTCTAATGTGTTAGTTTGCATGTGTTCTAGAGTCATGTAGAGAATTTCCTGTAAACTAATCGTGTCTTTCTTCCATTTTTCATTTCTTATCAGTTCTTCCTGGGAAATCAGGTATAAACCAGTGGAATGTGTGAAGTTTCTTTTTTTTTCTTTTTTTTTTCCCTTCCTCTAACGCATAGTGATTTAAGCTTGCAATGGTCAGTCTTCTCATCCTTTCATCTTCAGCTACTTCATTGCTGGTCAGCTGTGGTATTTCTTTAAATGCTATGGACCATTTCTTGTCTCAGGATCTCTTCTGTTCAGCACCCCCACCTGCTTTCCTTGGCCATTTTCCTTTTTAAGGAGATTACTTTTAAAGGAACCAGATAATGATCCTTACCAGTAATTCACGTATTAAAAATCTTGGGCTTTTAAACTGCAAGTTTAGAATAACATTATTTTATCAGTTTCCAGTTTTATAGTGGAATGCTTCAAAATTCTCTGTTTTGTTTTTTAGGCTATCAGATTAAAAGCCATTCACAGTAAGCACATATGCCACTATGATACCAGTTATTTATTGCAACTCAAGGTGAAAAGTGCTTTCATTTTTAATAAAACCCCTGTGCAATCAAGCAGACTGATTAAGAACCTATTGATTGCTGGTATATTGTAAACTAATGCAAGTGAATTATTAAATACTTTTTTTGGAAATTGGCAAAATAAGCTTGCTATTCCAGTTTAGGCTTTCCCTTTTCCAAAGTGTTTTCAAAGAGCAAATCTATAATGATTGGGCCTGTTTTTAAGAATACTTGTCAGTTGGGCGATCAGTGAGTCAGGTCGCAGTGGCACTATACAGGGTGTGGGGGAGCACACTGGTGCTTACTCCTGTGGCACATACAGACACACAGCTTCTTAAACTGTTAAATTGTCTTTGCCTGGTAATAATGGAAAAACCTCAGGCACTCAGTATCTGCTCTCATTAGACTCTTCTTCATGTTTTTGTTAAGGCAATACTGTGTGGAATCCATTCTGGATATCCTAGTGTTAAAAGCATTAGCCATTTAAAATCTAGAGATGTTGAAAACTTGGTTGCATTCTTATTTATTGACAAAGCTTGTTGAAGTATGGAAGAAAGCACAAAGAGCAGTGGATAATCTTACCACGTGCCTCAAGCAATATATCTAAGTAATGCTTTAAACTGTTTTCCACATACAGAACATGCCTTGATTTGAAAAGATTATTTGAAATTATGTTAATCCTCTTATCTGCCATCTGTACTCTCAGAACTGAGAAAAATACAGCATTTTTTGAGAGCATCTAAGTCTTACTGGTGCAAAGCAGTGTGACAGTGAAAAGCACCTACAGCAAGTTGGCCAAAGTTTCTCTAGTGGCAGTGATGTTATATGGCTACTGCCAAGAGTAGGCGGTTTTGTAGCTTAAACTTGGCTTCCTTTAAGTTTTTATCCTCGTGTTTTTTTACCTCTGATTTTCAGTTACGTGAAATGACACTAAATATTGTTCAAGGAAAGTTGGTGTCCAGGCTGTTTTGAGAAGAAAATAGACTAAGTTACTATTAGGAAAAATGCCTTGAGAGACGCCTCTGGTATTCTCCAGAAGTCCCACTGTCTGAATTAACTACAGCCTAGGCATTTTCCAAAGGATGTGGCATCCGACCCTTGTTACAGTTGCCTGATGGGTACTAAATGAAGAATTAAGTTGAAAAGGGAAAAAGAGAATGGAAAAGAAAAAGGATTTTTAGAACCACTTGAAAATACTCTCTTTAGAAACAAGCCAATGAAAGTAAACATCATCAATTTGGATGCCATTTCTTCTTTAATCTTTATTTTTAAAACAATTCTTTGTTATGCAGATATTGAATTAATTATTAAAAAGCCCTTACAGATAATTATCATTTGAATGTTATTATTTATAACATTATTTTTTTTTGTTATCAAATTAAACAGCAAGTTTGCTTTTGTTTGGTTCCTAAAAGTAATATTCCTTTAAACTTATTCCTTCTCCTTGGCTTCAGTAGTACCAAACAACTAAAGTCACTTAACAAGTAGGGAGCACATCTGTGTGATTTACATTTCAAAGAATTTCAGTCTTCTTACTGGAGCAAGCAGGTACAGTTGAACTATGTGGCAGCCTTCTCCAAGGGTCAAAGGTTGTCCCAAAAATGTGTAGTTGTCTCCTGTTGGTTTCAGTGAGTCCGCTGCATGTTTGCGTGTGAGAGCCCTACACTTGGCCTGATGATCTGATACCAAAAGAAATGTTTTAGTGGCGTTGGCTAAAAAATACTGAATTCTTCTGATTAATTTTCATGAGATTGTGGGGGCAACATTTTAGACATTTTCTTTGATTCAGATTTGAACTGAGATGCTGCATACAGGTTTGGTATACGGGTTTAAAGAGCAAAACATACCTTAGGCCTGGCCATCAGCCCAAAGGAAGAATCAACTAGTACCAGAGGTAGTATGGAATGGGCTTTTTGTACATCCCTGAACTGTGAACAACCTTGATGTGTAGGACAGAGGAGTGAGAGTTTATAGCCAAGGACAGCTGTGATACCTAAAGATGACTTAGTGCTCCTTTAATGTTCCCTTCCTCACATGTACTAGCTAGTGGGTGAGCAGTGTTGATGCTATACCTGAAAAAATCCCTGTAACGAGTCAATTGATGGAACAGAGCAACGCTCATAATGCATTGGATTCCCAGCCCCTGTACTGATCATTTCAAGTGATACTGCCTTCCTTTCAGCTGACATCATTTAAAATTAGACTGTTGCAGAAGAGAGTTTGCTTAAGATTTTAACAATAAAATAACACAAATAGGTCTTCATTAATTTGCACAAATGCAGATTGTAACCAATTAAATAATATATTACTAATTGTGCTGCCTGTATGAGATCAGACGTTTGAGAATCAAGCATAAAATTAAACCAGTGATTCTTTTCTTACCACCTTGCCATCTCCTTTGGATTAACGCAGCAGCATCTGATTTGAAACCTTAACAGCTTTAATAATCTGCATAAATAAACCTTGAATTTTTGGCATTTACTAATAATCAAATATCAAAATAAACTTCTTAAAGTGTCTGATTTTTAACCTATCAGCATTGAACTGTATCTGAACGACTGAGATCCTCAGATTGTTGTTTGGTTTTCTTGCAGTTTGGTGACTCTCAACAACTACGCCTTGTTCGTATCCTAAGAAGTACGGTCATGGTGCGTGTTGGAGGTGGCTGGATGGCACTTGATGAGTTCTTAGTGAAAAACGATCCTTGCAGGGGTACGTAACAGAACTGTTGAAATGGACATGCAGATAATTATTTGGATACAGCCACCAGTCATTGTCTCACGAAGGAGATTGAATTGTATAAAATGCCAGTTCTGTAAACAACATCTCGCTAAATGTTCCATAATGATCTGTTTTTGTAAACTTTAAATCCCATGGTTAAGATCTCTTCACTTACACTGATGTGTGTCTAGAATAACTGTGGTGTCTTCGGCACAGTTCCTCCAGTGTTAGAGTGGTGTAATTAAGAATTGAACCTAGCCCAAGTAGAGTTTATGCTTGTAAGCTGCTTGTATGACTTGGCAGAAATAACACACAGAAACATCCAATTAAAGCTTCTCAGCAAGACAGAAATGTTAAGGCCATAAATCAAAATAAGGCAGTTGAATCAAAAAGAATACAACAACAAAAAACGGCTCTGGCTGGTGGCTGCACCCACGCTTTTAGGCTCTGCCTTTGTAGCCCTCTCTTCTCGTTGGTGTTCTCCCCAGCACCACTTTGCAGAGCCCTGAGCCTTCTACAAAGCAAGTGGAAGTTGCTCTGATCAGGAGAACCTTGTGTTCTGAGGAAGCAGGGAGTGCTCTATCACCATACACGCCAGGGCATTGTACCGAAGAGATTGTTGTACTAGTCCTCAGAAACTTAACAGTGTCTTAGTTTGTCAGAAAACCTACTTCTTTAGTGGGAAAGTAGGCTCTGTCTGGCACCATTCTTGGAGGAATAAGGGGAGAGAAGAAAGAAGCCATTTCTGAAGGTAATGGAACAGATGTAAGTTAAATAATAGCCAAAATGGTAAAATTGCAGAGAATATTGTAATTACTGCATTCAGACTGAACTAACTTTGTGTAACTAGGTAATTCTATCCTCTTAAGCAGCAGCATTAAATTTATTCCAATTTACCTCTCAGGGGGTCTGTAGAATTGCAATCAATGTTGTAACAGCATGAAAACAGCACAGATGAGTTTGAGGGAGAGAAGAGCAAAGTAGTAAAGACAGAGATTAACTGTCCTGTAGACTTTGATAAAGTGCCAGCCGTCTGACACAAATTCTGTTTGGGAGCCGAGATTTCTGAACAGTTCAACATAGACCCTAAGAGAGTGTGCAGCTTGTATCAGTTGCCATGCTAAGACAAGGATGTAAAAACAAAAAAGAAGCTACCACAATGCCATGAGAGCTGACTGTATGCCACTCTGGCCTAGAAACCTTTGTCCACAGGCTTAAAAGGTGCCTATCAAACTTCTGGTCATAGCATCATCACAGAGCTGTTGTAACTGGCTGGTGACACCTGCGAGCTTTTCAACAGTATTAAGAATAGTTCTTATGCTTACCAACATACTGCATATATTGTTTGTTAAAGAAATGAAGCAGTTATATTACGTTTATTAGTGTTAGACCACATGCCTAACTGAAATTTAGCACCTGATTCTGCATCTGCTACTATTACAGAGTCATTTATGCCTGCAGAGCCATCCTTAATTTATGGCTTCTTAGATCAAAAATGCAAGGCTGTGGAAACTGACTGTGTCTCAAAATATCAGACTCCATGATGGGGTTAACTTAGTCAGTTTTGATGTATACCAAACATTTTTCTCATGTCTTCTGTAATAGACAACTATATTACAACAGTAAGACCGTTGTAATTCCTACTTGGGTTGATGCTGAAAGCTACAGTAATTAGTATCTAGTTAATTTATTGGATTTCTTTATTACTCTATCATCAGATAAAGAGTCCTTTGGTACTTCAGTCCCTGGCCCTTCCTTCCCCTCTTGTTTAACAGACTTTGTATTTTACGTACCTCTATAGTATTTGCTATTGTACTTTGCCTCTGTTTCATGGGAAGTGTGTGAGCAGATGTGTAAGTCAACACAGTGAATCTAAAAGAATAGTGATCTCTGTAAAATCAGATGCTTGAAGTTGTACATTGGTGCATCATTCTGACTGAGCTGAGGTCAGTGATGTGAAGTGGACGTTGATCTTGGTGGTGCAGGTTCAGGCTTTTCCTTCAGCACTTGGGCTAACAAACCTGCATTTCCACCAAGAGCTTCTTGTGTGTTCAAATAAATCCCGTTTCAAAGAACTGTTGTCATAAAGAGCTCAAAATATACTGGGTCTAGTTATGTAGAAGAGTTTTAGCTTATATTACTTCTTTATGTCAGCAGATAAATACCTTTGTTACACGAGTATACCGGGGAGTGCAGTTGAGTCTATCCAAGCGCTGTTCCCTTTTCCCTAGGAGAACATTGAGAGCTCCCCTCAGAGCACTTAGAGAGACAGCTTTTGCTCTGAGTCCTGTCCTTTGGCCTGGTGCTCTGAGTCTCTTGCATATGCAGCTGCTATACTTGATTTCTTCTCCTGCTAACGATTTTCTTTAATGTGACCCATGTCCTGTGTCATTTTTTCTAGTTCATCATCACGGGAGTAAAATGTTACGTTCGGAATCAAACTCTTCAATTACCACTCAGCCTACTATAGGTTGGCAAATCCCTCTCTTTGTCTCCTCCTCTTCTCCTTTCTCTTCATTTCCTTCCCACTTTTTTAATATATATACTTTTAACAATAAGCCTCACCTATCATTTTTAGCTTAATGTGTTTCCACATGGGCTGGTGCTTTGCGAGCTAATTTTTTTTGACACGCTTGAAGAGTGTTTCAAAAACACTTGTCATTCACGTTGACGCAGTTAAATGCTAACATTTCCTGCATCTATTCTTGCAGAACATTCTCTCATTTCTGTTTGTGTGTGTGTGTGAGTGCTTAGCCACCAATTACCTCATAGTTTGGATTTTGTGTTCATCATTGCATGTTGCCAAACTACATAACTTCATAGTTTTGAATAAATATATTTGCTGCTTTCCTGTAACTTGAATTTAGCGATTTCTCCTGGACATCCAAGCAAGTATTATTTATTATGAATAGCTGTAGAGTTAGCAAAACTGCTCATCAGGTTGTGTCTCTGTATTGATAGCTAATTGATTAACAGTGACTTAGCACGTTGAGCATTCCATTATCACGCTGACTTCCTTTGACAGTGGTTCATTCCTGCTGGCATAAAGTATTAGAATAAGCAAGTTCTGCACATAACTCTTCTGTGTCCAAAATAAATGCATTGCGCAGTAATGCATTTTATTTATTGTAAAAATGTGTTGGAATTGGCATGGCAAACATGACAATCGGCAACCTTGCGACTATTTTCCTATCTGACTAAATCGACATCTTTCTTTGCTGCAGCTAAAGGGAGGACAAACGTGGAGCTACGCGAGAAGTTCATTTTGGCAGACGGTGCCAGTCAGAGCATGGCAGCTTTCCGACCACGAGGCCGTCGGTCACGACCCTCTTCAAGGGGAGCTTCCCCCAACAGATCTACTTCTCTGTCGAGTCAGGCTGGCCAGGCAGCTGTCCCACAGGCAGTAGCTACAAGTACACCGAAGGTAAGAAGAAACATACAAAAATGCATGGGTTAACAAATGGGGTGTAGATTTTTCATTGCTCCAACAATATTGGCACTTTCCCTAGGCGATAGTGATAGGTGAAGAAGTATCTCAATTTTATTTCATATTCTGGAAGCATCTGAGAAGACTTTTCAGTGTCCTTCCTCTATTGTTTGTTTGCGACACGGGAACAGAAGGTTTCTTTACATTTAAGGTGCTGCATGAGCTAACTGGCAATTCTGGATTAAGGTCTGAAAGAGAAGAAAAAAACTTTCATATGAAAAATAAGCTCTGCCATCTCTTTGTTTTGGAACATTTCTCATCAACACTTTCTACTTAGTTTGTATTTCTACTATGAAATTTGATCTGCTTGTGAAAGCTTGGGTATCCTTCTCCATGACATTGTTTTCCATCTACTGTCCTTCATATTTTGATTTACCATTGTTTCATACAGACACCCCATCATTTAACACGCAACTATGGTAAGCCATGGTTGACAAACAGCAAAACGTCAACTCCTTCTAAGCCAGCTGAATCCTCAGACTATCAAGGGTCATCTGCAGAGGTACAGTAAGGACAGAGATTCTAGTCTAATGATCTTTCACTAAAACTGTCACTTCACTAACAATCACTAGTTTCAGTGCTTCAGTGCTGCAACATCCCTTGCACATTAATGCATTTACATTTTAGACCTTTTCAAATTATTTCCTTTTTTTTGTTGTTCGCTTTGTTGAATTCTAGAAAAGCTCAGCCTCAATGAATTTATTTTTAAAGTGCAAATGATTAATAAATCGTAACAGTATACAATAAACTGGATGAGTATATGTGATTTCCCTTTCTTTTATATAGCTGTTCGTATACAGCTATATACGAACTTCACAGGTTGTCTTTCCTTAAATTGTTTACTTTGAGTGTGTAATGTACTATAATATTCATGAACCTCAGGAATTGGATTAATAAATTACCTCCCGTGCAAAAACCACTGAATAGAGAACTACCCAAGCTCTGTGAACAAGACTGCACAAAAGACTGATGGCAGTATATAAATCTTCCCAACAGCTGAAAGTTTTGTTTAGGGGGGCAATGCGCAGTCGTTGCTCTAATAAGATAGCTATTTGATGACTTACAGGAAATGAGCTTTGGTCTTATTTCCAGCCCATGACTTACACAGAGACTGCTAGTATAGCAATTAGGGTTGTGCTGGCAGTCAAGCTGAATGACCAAAAATTTGAATGGGCTTGGAGCCAGAGTGTCTTCTCTCGTGTCATTACAGCCAGTGAAAAAGCTGCAGCTGGAGCAGGCTGCAAACTGACTTTTCACTTGTAGGAGTTATTCTTGCCCTGGTTTAGACAGAGGGCTTAGCGTGGAGAAGCTCGCACTGCCCTCATTTCTGCTGTATCTGCTTTTCACAAGTCTGCACTGAGATGTCTATTGCTACTCATCTGACACCTCCCAGTGCTAAGTTGACATGCCCTCTGCGTGGCTTTGCTCAAAGATGCATAATGAACTTTTCACTTCCTCCTGTGCGACTGGGTGCATTATTTGTGCACACTGCAGGCATCTGGATGCATACATCACTTCCAGTGCACAAGACTGCTGCTTAGAATGATTAACAATAGCACAAAATTGAATCACTTGTCAGCTTCTAATACATTCTTGTATTTTCATCTCTTAGCTGGTAACTAAGTTATAAGATTAATTGATGGTACTTTGAAGATTCATGAGAAATATTCAGTGTTCACAGACATGGAAAAGTGTCTCGTTTCCTTTGAATTAGCAGGAAGCGAAAGCGAATGGCGCTGATTTCAAATGGGAGCACCATATTTCTCACGTGCTCTTTTAACTGTCAGTAGTTTCAGTGAGTTTCATTTATGTAAAACACTGTGGTTTAAGATTATACGTGGAATGGGTGGGGTTGGGGTAGCTTGTAGAGAATTTCTGAGGCATTCTGCAATGTTTTCTGACCAAGAGAGCAGTTGTGTATTTTACACGTAGACTGGCTGGGGGCTCAGGGCTAAGCTGAAGAACAAGGTTGATCTCTTTTTCTTCTTGCCTCAAGAGATTCCATCCCAAGGCCTTTCCCAAAGTGCAGCAGCTTCAGCAGGATAATGAGATTTCCCTTTCTGTTAATCATCCCAAGTAATCTCCATGTAGCAGAGGTTTCCAAGGTGTGGCTGGCTGGACACTTGCAGCCTGCTAAGCATTTATCCTTGGCTTTAAAGAGAGTTTAATATTGTGACCATCGCTGTCGGAGCCAGCAGATTGTCTGCTCTGTAGTCTCCATATGCTCTTTCTTTTCAGACGTGCCAGAAGTGGTCCTCGCTGGCAGAGGGCCAGAAGCAGCTGCCAGGCAGCCCCTGCTGGGCCCCTGCTTGGTGCTTAGCCCGAGGCAGCTCCCAGCTCACTGCTGGGGCCTGGTTTTCTGTACCCCACCTTTGTCTGGGGATCAAAGGCAATGAGCAAACGTCCTGGGGTCTGGGCCACCTGAAGGGCCAGATTTGTCACTGCACTGTGTCTCCTTTTAGGATACTTACTGCTGATTAAATTAATACGAATATTGTGGTTTTCTTCCACCTCCTATCGAGTGTGTTACATGCACTTGGAGATTTGAGAGTTGAGGATTTAATTATTGTGGCACTGAAAAATCTTCTTTTTGGGGGCTGGTTGTAAATCAAGGCTCATTTTATTTCAGAAATGAAAAAGGTGAGGTAAAGCTATGGAGTAGAGACATCTCAGGCAATGTATCGACAACAGGGACTTCTTGAATTAGTCCTATATTTTTCTTCTGTATCGTGGCAAAAAGTTTTGAAATCAGGTAGTTTTGTTTTGCCATCAAGTATTTATGAAACTGAAACAAATGCATTCACCACCTATAGCAAGAGTCAGAATGGTGGAATACCAAGCAGTATAGATACAAAGCTTCAGCTACTTGTCTGTTAATTGAAGTCATGTACCATCAACTAATCTTATGTGTTTGACTAACTGTAGTATTTTTCTTCCTATATATGCATTGAAATACACAGAGAGAAGACAAAAAAGTTACTGTCAATCAGCTTGTTAGTTCTTTTTTTTTTACGTTTAGACTATGTCAGAAACTAACTGCTAAAGGAATGTTCAAAACCTCACATCATGAATAATGCTCGTACTGACTCCAACCAGTATTTCAGATTCACCGTGAATGTTGATAAGATGATCACATCCCAAGCTACGTACCTGATACCAGACCTTATCTTCAGTTGTGACAATTGAAATGACCTTTTTCTTTTTTTTTTTTCCTTTTTTCCCCAATAGGGAACACCCATTCAAGGAAGTAAACTCAGACTGCCAGGGTACCTATCAGGGAAGAGTTTCCACTCTGGAGAAGACAGTGGCATCCTGTCCACTGCAGCTACCAGAGTCAGAGCTCAGTTTGCAGGTGAGTTTCTCAGCCTTAGAGCTTGATCTATCACTTGCTTTGGTTTCTATCTGAATACTTATGAGTCATGTTAGGATGTGAGGAAGATGAGTGGGAAGGAGTGATGAGTCCTGCTGTCTCCACGTAAGTATTGCCAAGGATGCAGGTAATCAGTATAATTGTCCTCCTCTCACATGGTTGCACAGCAGGAACATTCAGCCCTGGATTTACAAATTCATGACTGAAAACTTCTTGACAATGTATCTGTCTCCAGTGTGTCTGACTAACAAAGTAGGGAAGAAGTATTGGTTAAAAAGAAAAGGTTCACTTCTTCATTCACAGCATCCAAGTTATGCTCGACTGTGGTAGAGCGGAGGGGTCATTTCATCATGACCCGTCCATTTCTTTTGAAAGAAGAACTGCAGAGATCAGCTGTAGATGACCTTATTAATGGAATATCCCATAAAAATTTCTAAAACAGCACATAAAAATAGAAAGTGGTGACGCTGCACTCTTCCAGGATCCTCAGAGCAGCTCCGTGTGAGGGGGAGGGTTGAGTGTTTGGAGCAGAAGATAGCACCACTGGCTTTCCCTCAGGTCTTCAGCTCCTCAGAGCTGACTGAGCAGTACTGGAAAATCCTGTTCAAATAGTACAGGTCTGTTAAGTTATGGGTGATTGGAAAAAATGAGCCACCTAAGATTTCAGTTTCAGCTTGGTGCTCTTTGCACATACAGGGATCCAGATTTGTCAAGATCAAAAAAGATCCAATAAGAATTGGAAAATTATGGAAAACCACATTAATGTTTTTCTGTGTAAGATCCTTTGTTGTGGTTTTTTCTTCATAGCACATTGCCTGGGCAAGCTTTCACGTTAGCAGGCTTGCTGAGAGCTCATTTACTCAGTCCTTTGTTTGGGAGAATGTATACATGTATACTCTTCCCTTGTTTACTTGCAGCTTTGAACTTTATGATTTGATGGGGGGAAAAAAAATAGTGGGGGAAGGGGAAGAAAGGAAGCACACATTTAGGGTTGTCTTCTTCTGCATCTCCAAGTTATATGTTCAGAAATCCTGAATACGTGAAGATGCCAGATACTGAATTCATGGAGTTCATAGAAGATATTTAATTCTTGGAGTTTGTAGAGAAAATGAAATAGGGAAGGAGAAAGAGCTAGATGTTTAGTGAACACTTTTCTTTCTTTTTAGGGGGAGATATAGTGGGAGGTATTGTTTTATGCTGTTTTTTAATAGCAAGTGAAACTTTGATTGTTGGCTAGCATATCTAACAGGGGTCTGAAGTTTAGTTTGTGCAGTGAGAATTATCTGGGATTGCCAAAGACCTAGGAAAGGCCTGCATGCCTTTTGCATCCTTGTGCCTAATGCTGCTGGGTATCTTTTCTCTTTCTAGAAACCAGAAGAACTCCAAGCAGACCTGGGAGCCGAGCAGGAAGCAAGGCTGGCAGCAGGTCAAGTAGCCGCCGAGGCAGTGATGCATCTGACTTTGATATTTCAGAAATCCAGTCTGTATGCTCAGATATGTCAGAGACTGTTCCACCTACAAGCAGACCGACACCCCGAGCAGGTTCTCGGCCAGGATCAGCCAAGCCTTCCAAAATTCCAACCCCCCAGAGAAGGCCACTAGCCAGCAAATTGGACAAGTCCTTGAAGAGATAATAAGATTGGCTACGTAAAGTTTTTTTTTTTCTTTTGCATTAAGTATTTAAGTTCGTAAGATGTAAAATATTATGTAGAAATTATTGTGAAATATTGCAAGAGGTGGATTTTTAATTCTGCAGATGGCCTTATTTGTGTATTTGTCTTCTTATTTTATGTGTATAATTTTTGTCAGATTTGTTTTTGTTTATCCCATATCCCGTGAGAAGGGGGAAGAGTTCTAATGTAAACTAACAGTTGTACACAGTAATGTGTAGAAAGTACACTAAAAATAATTACCGAATGTACAGTGTACTGAATGTACAGTGTAAGTCTCTGCAACCTGAATAAAATAGGCCTATCACTATGTCATTAGCTAACAGTAAAGGATACCTCAAGATTTTTCTTTAAAAAAGAAAAAAAAAAGAATAACTAAAAAGCCAAAAGACACAATTACACATTCTGAGCTAACGAAACAAACACTGAAGGATCTATGTCCAAACTACTAAGGAATACAAAACCACCGTCACAGTACCCTTATTTATACAGCATCTCTCAGAGAACTCACAGAGTTAATTAAGCACTCGCCAGTGATATGATACTCCAATACCTTGCAGCATTTCTGTGCCATTGCTTTCAACGAGGCCAGACACATTCTGGATATTCGAACTGTTATTCTGTGAGAATATCAATATAAAGTGCATTCATGTAAATGTGAGGTTTTCTTTTGCTTGAGTGGATGGTAGCACTGTATCATTGAACTCATTTTGTATCAAAGCAATTTTGCTTGCAGAAAGCTCTGAAATAAACATGTCCCTTAACTTTATTTCTATCGTATTTCTTATTTCACAGGAAGATCATTTTCTGCGTTATGATTTAGGGCATATATTATTTCAAATGACCAATAATTGCCATAGGAACATAGACTTTAATGTAATTTCCAATTATCTGCAGTCGGATTTTGGTTAGCTACTGTATTTGTTTAATAAAACACTAAATTGCACATATCAGATCATACGAAATTATCTGTAATTATTGTGTGGTGACAATTATTTTCTCCGTATTAAACTGTGACATTTATATACCATGTATGAAAGGCATAAAGGGTAATTTGGCTACTTTTTTGTCAGTGAAATATTTTTGCCATTCAGGGATTCTTTTGAAAGGATTAATGATCCTTTATATCTGATCAGGATGTGGCTTCAGACAGGAGTGCTACAAAACAGTTAGGTAGATGCTGTAGTAACAGAATCCCTAGAAATGCAAAATGTTTGATAGTATCAGAAAAATCACTTAAAATTTGGCCAATACACCAGACTAAATAATCTAGATTTGACCGTCGATATACCAGAAAATGTTGTACAGGAACACAGGAATTTTAGAGGAAGGCTGGTTTAGGATTGGTCCCTTAGCATGCTAAAATGAAGCAGAAGTTCAGCTGGTTGCATGTAGGTAGCAGGGACATCCATGTTCTCTGCTAATGCTCATCGCAAGTATTACTAAGATGATTTTTTTCCGAGTTTTCACAAGAGCTTTCTGCAGACACAGATGTTGAACCCAGAGTTGGTTTGTGAGAAACTGAAAAACAAAGTAAGTCTCAAAAGTCGGATCAGTCAATCAAAATCCACTTGTGTCAGGATTTCCTCCAACGTGCACGCAGGAGCTGTACAAGTGTTTGTGGAAAACAGGCAGGAAATTCCACTGAGAACTAAAAGGAAAAGTGAGGTTTGATGGGACCCTGAGTGAGATTGCAGCTGGTGGGGTTCAGAAAGAAATCGCACTGCTCTTCACCTCTTCCTTAGCCGCTGCTGGGTGTTTGAAGGCCAGGTGTTCAGGCTGCATGGTTCAGACTGAGCCCCAGTCACCTCCTGAAGCCGTTTGCACCTCCTGCCTGCCAGCAGCACCTGGCTTGGGACAGGCAGCAGTGAAGGGACGGGCGGCTTCTATCACAGGCTGAATTTAGCCCATGTTAGCATCGGTCTCTGCTGTAACCTTTCGGCGTTTCATCTCTCCTCCGGCTGCTGTTCATCCAGCGATTGCTCTCCCACAGCACTGAAGTAAGTGAGGGTGCCTTGAGAGTATTTCAGAACCCCGCAGCACCCCTGGGTAATCTGAAGTCACCCAGAAGCAATCTGCATCTTTCAGGTGCCCATTGAAGCATCTCTGCTTGCCAGTTGTAAGAAGGAAGGGATAAGAGTCAATGCAGGCACTTGCATGGCTGTCTTGGCTGGAGGAAGGGTGGTGCCCAACATGATGTTCTTGGTGCATTTTATAACCACTGGAGAAAAGGGTTGGGATGGCAGCTCTGAATCACTGCCCTGCAAGAATAGGTGTGTAGTTGTATCCCAAAGGGACAGAGCAGGTCCCGAAGCTCTCCAGGGGACGAGGTCACGGCACTGAGCCTGCTGGAGATCAAGAAGTGGTTGGACAATACTCTCAGACACACGGTCTGAGTTTTGGGTGGTGCTGTGTGGAGCCAGGAGCTGGACTTGATGATCCTTGTGGGTCCCTTCCAACTTGGGATATTATGGTGTATGATTCCTTGAGCTCAGCCTTCACGGGGTGGCATCAGCATATACCTGAAGCACCCTCTATGTATATTGTGGTCTTAGCTTTAAACGTATTTATAATACTTCATGAAATAGGCAGCTAACTGGAATTTACTTGTTGCTACCTTGTAACTTCACAGCAATAGTAAATCTGTGACCAGATTTTGAGACTCAGCACAGACAAAAAGAATGACCAACTCGCTTTCTGTAACTTGTCTACTGCAAAACCACGGAGGTTGGGGATGGGAAAGTGAAGGAGCTACTTTATGGCTTTCTGAGAATCACTCCATTTTGGAAACCTGATTAATAGTAAATTAAATGAGATTAGGAATTCTCCTGTTAAAAGCCCAAATCTTTCTTAAGATCTGCTACTTTACATAATTACCTTCTTCCAAAAAAAGACTTAAATGCTTTAAATTGATAGTAAGAATTCCCCAAACTTTGAGGCTTTCTAAAACTGTGTTATAAAAATTACACTGACAGAAGTCTGAAAACAAATACTGGATCCTCTACACTTTCGTGGCACAAAGACAAACTTCAGGATTTGATTGAGCCCCTGTTAGCATGGGGCTCTGCATCTGCAGTAGGCTGAAGTGGGGCTCCTATTGCAAATGGCTGTGGGTAACAAGCCCTAATCTAAGATTTGGTACCACTGTGTTCTGGGAACGTGCTTAATTGTTGGTCTTTCACTGTGAATAAAATGTATGGGAACGTGGATTATCTGAACATTGTCCTAGTGGCCAGGGTCCCAGCATGGAAAGAAGAAAATGGAATCAGCAAGGTCTCAGCTAACAGGCAAGTTCTCCATGGTAGGAGACACTACCAGCAGGATTTAAGGGCTGTCAAACCACAGTAAGAGATAAATAACACAGTTTTATTGAACTCACTGTGTAAAGAAAGCAGTGCTGTTCTGTTTCCAGTAGTTCAAAAATGTTATTTCTGTGTTCCCAACATAAATGAGACAGGATCAGCCCCACAACCATACCAGAAGCCGATCATAAAGTCAACTTTTAGCACGGCCTAGGTTCTTGTATCCGTAAGTTCTGTGATTCTTAGTGCAGTGATGGCACGGAGGTAATGGGGAGGAAAGAAGGGTTGGAGACCAGTAGCTGTGAGATCCGTGCTGTCGGCTGAATGAGGCATATTTAGTGCTTTCAAAAGCTGGCTCGGTTCTTGGCCGCTTTACATTTTCCAGTCACTTTTATCTGTCTGCATTTCTGTTTTGCTGCCCTCAAAGTGGGAGGGTGTCTACAGGATATTGTAAAACGTACACACGAAACCTGTAAGTAAGAAGTAAGAAACCTGTAAGAAAGTAAGAAATGCACCTGTGGAAGAACTAAGCATGCCTTGTGGCCTCGGCAGCTTCAGCTCACTCGGTGTTGATGAAAAGTGAGCCTCTTAATGACATGCTAATGTGCTGGATGACAGTAATTCAGGCTTTGCCTGCAGCACATCATTTTACAAACGCACAGCGATGAGGTTATGTGTGATCTTAAATTAAAAATTAATGCATTTCTTAAAAATAAACTCTGCCATGCTCAGCAGCAGCGTCTGAACCAGCATCTGCTTCTGTCAACATCCTTATGTTGGATCTTATCAATGTTTACAGGTATCTTAAGTGTGGGAGACAGAGGGACTTGGCCAACCTCTTTTCAGTGGTTTGTGGGGACAGGACAAGGGGCAATGGCCACAAAATGGAGCCCAGGAAGTTCCACCCCAACATGCGAAACTTCTTCACGGTGAGGGTGACAGAGCACTGGGACAGGCTGCTCAGGGAGGCTGTGGGGTCTCCTTCTCTGGAGATATTCAAGGCCTGTCTGGATGCCTACCTGGGCAGCCTGCTCTAAGGAACCTGCTTTGTCAGGGGGGTTGGACCCGATGACCTCTTGAGGCCCCTTCCAACCCCTACAATTCTGTGATCCACCCTGTAGGAACAGCAACACGACCCACGGCCAAGACACAGCACTTGTAGGAGTTGGTGACAGCACATGGCAAGAGGACATGCAGCTGAGCACCCTCTGTGCTGTTGCACAAATAACCATGGGGACGGAAAACAAGCATTTGGGGAATACAAACCCGGCCTGCCTCATCTCAGCACAGCTGCCCCAACAGCTCCCAGGTGTTTCCAGCTCTTAAGCTGTGTGTTAGCACCTGGTCTCGTGCTAGGCCAGTGGTATTTAGCTGGATGTTTGCTCTTACTGTGGGCTGGAGTGGGGAGTGGTGGTGTTAGGAGGTTTATAGCTCAACACAAGCTGAGTGGGATTTTGCAGAACAAAGAAAAGGTGCTTTCCTAACGAAAATTGCTCTCTCTGCTGAATTTGAATAACCTGTTTGCAGGCACAGAGGTGGGAGGGATGGTTAGGTTGTTTGCTTGCTTTTTTTTTTTTTTTTTTTTTTCCTGGTAGTAGTGTTCTTGGAAGACAATAGTGTTAGGAGGTTAAGTGCCCATGGGTTAGTCATCTCCGTAGAAAAAGAAGGAAGTCATATTTTTTAAGAAGGGGAATATTGCAGAGGAAAAAGGAGCTCTTCAGAAATAATGGATGAGGCAGCAGCTTAAGCGACACGTAACTTGTACAGAAATGCTTGGTAGCTGATACTGTTGAGGTATTTTTTTATGCAGATGTAAAGCCTTCTGTTAAGACTTGTTCAGAGTTTGGCTGCTGCAGATGAAGCAGTATCTGACCTGAAGCTAAAAGAGTCTTGGGGGATGTAGTTTTGTAATTAAGTGTTTCTTCTGAAGTGAGATAGTTTAAATAGTCTGAATTGCAGCTTGTGGTGCTAAATCTGCATTTTTGTATTTGAAGGTTTAAGGAAAGAGTGATGAAGGTGAATTGTGTAACTCAGCTGGCATCCTGGATGAGTAAGTACGAGCAAGTTAATAGATGTGTTCTTAACACTTGGATGATCGAATATGAGTAAGAACCCCAAACCATAAATCAGGCCCTGTCAACATCCACGGTGCTTTTGTTCCTCTGGGAAGAGGCAACCCGAGTGGTGATAGCTCTGTCCTGGCAGGAAAAGCTGACTTGAAGCTTTTTGTGGGGGTCATTACAAACTTTCCAATGGTTAGAAAAAACTCCAACACTTTTTCTTTTTTTTCCCCTCTCTTTCTGGGGCTTGATCATGGCACTTCCAAATCCTTCTTTTATTGGCAGAATGATGGTTATCTAGGGACCCATGGAAGAGCTTGCATTGTCCGGGCTGTTTTTAAAGGCAATGAGTTTATAGGATAAAGTAATAACCTTACATTTAAAAGCCGATGATCCAAGGATGAGACAGGAAACAAGTGAGTTCAAAATGAGGAGGAAAAAAAATAGGCTTGTACTTATTGTAAGGAACTCCATATTTGCTGATCAGAAGAGTTTCAGACCTGGGTTGGTAGAAGTGTAGTAGCATAGAACAGTGAAACAAGGTAATCGGGGGTAGATAGTAGTCACCAAAGGCTGCTACAAGGAACTGAAAGGTGAAGTAGTGAGCTACTGTCTGGAGTCCTCATTTTGCACAGACTTGGTAGGAGAGGGTTGGAAAGTGTCTCGCATGCAGTACCAGCTCTCTTCTTAAAAGGTACTGCTGGGGACCTGCTGATCAGTCTGGGCTTGAAAAAAATCATAGAAGCAATAATAAATGATGTATTGGTGGAAACTCGAATAAATGTGCTGTGGAAGAATTGGTTCAACTTCTAGAGAGAAGTCACGCCTTACAAACTGCCTGGGAAGCCTTTGAAAGGCTCGGTTAGTGTGGACAAAGGTTGAGATAGACCACATGGCTTCCCGAAAAATTCAGCAAGGTTGTTCACCACGAGTTCTTGAAGCAAGCACTTATGGGATCAGAAGAAAGGTCTTAATGAGGGTAAATAGCATGCTAAAAGCTAGGAAAGACCATGGAGGAGACAGTGATTTTAATAGTTTTAACAGGAAAAAAATACATATAAAAAAGAGGCCTGCTGTGGAGCCCTTGACAGGTTTTAACACACAGCTACAGGCGCTGGCTCAGAAGTTCCCGAAGCACACATTGTTGGAAGGGTGCTCTGGAAAAAAGCATCGCTGCCTTTCTGTGATTCATCTCGCCTCCCGGGAGGCGCGCATTGCTTTCCACTGACTACCAGGGTCCCACAGCGACTAGCTCAGCCCTCGCCAACTAACTTTTGGTAGAACAAATCCCACCCCAAATTAATGAGTTTATTTCTAGCCAAGAGCAACAGGGGATGGGATTTTCACAAGTGGTTTGGAAGGTCTGCTGCTGGCTTTTATCGCTTACACACCCTTTGGGTGGACTACGTGTGTTCTAGGGATATGCAAATCATGAAGCATCCCTAAATTTAGCACTATTTCTAGTCACGTTTAGGAAATGTAAACGTGTAAGAGGGGCAGAGAATCCACTCATGTTATTGCTCTGAAGTATGTTAGGTACACTGGAGCATTCTTTTGGTCCTTCAGCAGCAAACTCACATATAAGCAATTATACTCCCCACTGCATTGCTGCAAGTCACACATCCTCTGCAAGGCACAGGCAAATCCTATTCCCTTTGGGTTCCCTGATAAACCACCACACCAGGAGCTCTTAGATCCATGCGCATCACAGTAAACAAACACATCATTCAAGGCATTCTGGCAGGCCACACATGTCCTTAAGATCCAAGCCACTTAAAAATTTGTCATTGATGAGAATACCACAGTGGCGTGTTTCTCTTCCTTGTAAGTGTCCTATGCATTGGAGGAAGATAACAGAATGGGATTTTCCAAAAAAAGCCATGAGCTATTCATTACTCTGGTGTGTTTTGTTTTCTTTATTTGCATCTTGAATAAGCACAACTGAATGTGGCCATTCATAAATTTCTCTCTCTCTGGAAGGAAGAAAAAATAAAAATAATTGTTAAGTTCTGGGTGTAATGAATATTTACTTAAAACTATTTGAATAGCTTTCCATTCAGTTAGAAATGAATTCAGGGTGCAGTTTAGTATGTTTGAACTTAGGGGCATAGCATAGGCATTCATTTTAAAGCAGATTTAATTTGTTCTGTAAAAATACAATGAGATGCAGTAAACAAACCACAAATAAATTAGTCATCCAGTGCCTTTATTTTTCAAAAGGAAGGCAAAATGCTAGCAGTGAGTTCTGTTTCCACTCATTGTGTTAGTGTTTTTTCCTCACAGAGTATATTTGCAAATACTTGCTCGAGTTGTTTTGAACCGTACGGCAACCCTGTAGCATTTCCTATTAAAATGAGCAAACTGAATTTTCCAGCCCGTGTGCGTCGCTCTGCAACAAAAGCCTAAGTGATGCTTTCCCCAGCCAGATGGCAACGAGGGTGTGTGAGCTGCGGCTCCTGAACTCGGGCTGAACCTCGCGGCGCAGAATGATGCTATTATAGTCCCTGCGTAGGCTGCCGGCACAGCTGCCTCCTAGCCCGGGAGGCCCGGGCGCGTGGAAAGCAGCGGCCGGTCGGGAGGAGATTGCTCATTATTTCTGCTGATACTGGGGAAGATCATTAGCTTGACCACAGCACTTCTCAGTCTGAAAAGTCGGCTGATGTGGTCACTTAACCAGCACAGGCTTTTCTGTGTGATTTTTTTTTTTTTTTTTTTTTTTTTTTTTTCTTCAGCATTTTTTACCTCTTATATGCTGCATTTGCCTGCTCTTTAATTATGGGGGCTGGGGAGATGAAATTGTGAAGAAATAATCTTTATTCTGTTCTCCTCCTCTTTTTTTCCCCTCTTTTTCTATTTTTTTTTTTTTTTTCTGGCTTATGAGGCCTTATTAAATCTTTCCAGTTTTTAGGGGAGGGGACTGTTCTTAATGATGCAAAAGAATTTTAATGCAGCTCTCGTTAATGGTAAAGCTCTTAATTACTGGTGAAAAAATCAGCCCCGTATGAGCACTTAGTATTTGGTACCTTTAAAACTTTCCACACAAGAGAGCTCCTCTTCACCTCTGAGTTTCCACTCTGTTTCCAGCGATGTGCGTATAACTCTCCAAAAATATTGCTGTGATCTCATCCTATAAAATAACCCTGGTCAGTGTTGGGCCAAATCCTCAGGCTGTATCAGCTACAGGGGCAGGAGGCTATGGCCAGCAAACACGCTCTCTGTTGCAGAAGCCATAGCAAAAGGCAAGCCCTAGTGGAAACTTTGTCCTCCCAGGGGTAGAGGATGATGAAATGTGGTAGTGTGGGTAGACCTGGTGGCTCTGCAGGGAGGTGTGAGTCCAGGCAGCTTTCATGGGGGCAAGACTTCTGAGATATTTAGGCATTCTCACCCCCAGCAATAAGAGGTCCTATTTCCCCTGGGCAGACCTTGGGAAGTTTCTGCACATGCTGGATCCTTGCATCCTCTCTTTTGTTTTTTTAATGCCCTGAGTCATATTTGTTGGGCTCAGGACTGGCTTCTTCCTTCAGTTAGCTGCAGTATCACTAAGTGATTGCAATCTCTAGAGCAAGTAACTACCAAAGTCTGCAAATAATGAGCTATTTAATTAGTTAGGATTAGATGTCAGTAATGACATAGGCTCTTGGCTGCTTTTCTGCTTCCTCTGAGCATCTTCTCTTTGTGTCCTCCACAGAGACTTTCTGAAAGAGCATGGTAGGTGAGAATTTGTCTCCTGAAGGTGCACATGTATGACTGTGCAGTGAGTCCTTAGCCCTGGGTACTCTCGGAAGAGATGAAAGTAGGACCATCCGATCACCTCTTGTGTCCTGCTGTTTTAGGGAAGTAGGGTTTGTACTACTTTGTAGAATCACAGAATATCCAGAGTTGGAAGGAACCAACAAGGATCACTGACTCCAACTCCTGGCTCCACACACAGAAACACCCAGAAATCAAGCCACGTGTCTGAGAGCATTGTCCAAACATTTCTTGAGCTCTGACAGGCTCAGTGCCGTGACCACTGCCCTGGGGAGCCTGTCCCAGTACCCGACCACCCTCTGGGTGCAGAACCTTTCCCTAACCCCCAGCCTGACCCTCCCCTGTCCCAGCTCCATGCCGTCCCCTCAGGTCCTGTCGCTGTCCCCAGAGAGCAGAGCTCAGCGCCTGCCCCTCCGCTCCCCTCGTGAGGGAGCTGCAGGCCGCCATGAGGCCTCCCCTCAGCCTGCTCTGCTCGGGGCTGAACAAACCAAGGGACCTCAGCTGCTCCTCATACATCTTGCCCTCTAGACCCTACACCATTTTTGTAGCCCTCGTTTGGACACTCTCTAATAGTTTTATGTCCTTTTTATACTGTGGTGCCCCAAACTGCATACTGTACTGGATGTGGAGCTACCCCAGAGCAGTGTGGGACAGTCACTTCCCTCAACCAGCCAGCAGTGTTGTGCCTAAAGCACCCTAGGACACGGTTGGACCTTTTTGCTGGCAGGGCATGCTGCCAACTCAGATTCAGCTTGCTGTTAATCAAAGCACCCAGGTGTACCTTACCTTGTAGGAGTGACTGAGTAATGGGACTCAGCCCTGTAGAATATGGCTTGTTCTTTTTTAATCTTTCATCAAAGGCAAGACTGTATGTGTGGTAAAGATTTCTGATTTAGTAGTGTTTATTTATACACAAAGCTTCTTAATTTTTATATTGAAAGGACTATTGAAGATGCATTCTTTTTTTTTTTTTTTTTCTCCAAATGGAAGGTAGTATGTTCTTTGATTCGTTTCCTTTCTTCTTAGTATCTGCCCCAAATTTAGAAGGAATTCCTCTAAAAGCTGTCTTTGAAAAAGATAAAATTTCCTTTTTGCAGAAAATGCCATTGTATGGAAAAGAGCAGAACAGTCTGCTGTAATTTTATTAACCATGATTTGAATTAAACTAGTTTCGGCAGAGAAGACACATACATAGTGCAGACCTATGCTTTTGTTTTCCTAAGTTTTCCTCTGTTTTATTTTAAGCTTGTCTAGTGAAACACTGGTAGTACTATAATATTATCCAGGAATTTCCTAAATAGCAATGCAAAATAATAAGGTGGATTACCAGCCTAGAGTTGTGTTTTTTGCTATCAAAATGTCAGAGATGGGAATCTTTTCCTTGTCCTAGATATGTGGCTTGTTCTATATAAAAGTGTATTTTTATATTATGTCTTTATATATTAGTAGTCAGCCTCTGGCCCTGAATGCTATGTTCTGTTATTAAACTCTAGGGTATTAGATGTGGCCTCCAAATCTACATAAATAAAGGCAAACATTTTCAACTGAGTGGAGTAATTAAATGTTTTCCAGAGAGTCTGAGTCCAGGCAGAGTGATGTCATTCAACTGTTTTTTAAAAAATAAATAAACTCTGAAAAAATACATCACTGTGCAATAATTATATAGGCACAATTGCTAAAGTACTGAAAACATTTAGAAACACCTGTTGAATGGGCAGTATTTTAGGCAGCTGCCTTAATGCAGCCTTGATTTGTCGAGTTCTGTTTTGGGGGTTGTTGGTTTTTTCAGGTTAAGTGCATGTGTGTATGATTACCAGAGTGAGGTCATTTGCAGTCCAGCACCCGGCTGTGTACATGGTTTGGAAGGTAGAGTTAGAGATAAAAATCAGTTGGATTAAAATCCAAGAGGAGAACACAGTTTTGTTGTGATATTAACTTGCAAGGAAATATTTTTGCTGTAAATTATACTGTGTAAACTCACATATGTAGTCCCAGACTGAAACACCAGCTGTGTCTATCGCTGAAGAGATTTAGTGAACAATGCATGTCGGACAAAATTATAGTATAATTTATTCATACCTCTTAGAATAGCAGAAGTAAAGCTGTAATCCATGTGCCTGTAGACAAAAGATTTTGTCCTAGTTTGTATCCTGTCCAAGGATGCTATATCACAGTGAGAAAAGGCTCTTGTGAAGGATGATAAAGAAGAAGTATATTAAAGCATAAATCCTAATTCACAACTGAAATAAGCGTGCGATTCAGGTAGAAATAGCTGACGAAACCTGTCAAAGCATGAGCTGCTAGTACTGTAGCACAAAGCTTTTTTTCTTGACTTTGAGGTTTTGGGTGTGTTGGGGGTGAGTTTGGGATTGACTTCATCAGGCCTGGAGAAAGATGGCTAAAAATCAAGTCTCATTTATATTTTTTTTTAAGTCAGTGTTTAGTTGTGTTTTCTGTCAAGATCTTTTTTCTGACTGTGAGGAGACAATGGCCAGAAGAAAACAAGGAGTCTCAGATTTAATGTCATATCTTGCAATAGCTCTTACTTGGCAGGGATCTATTCTGGCAGTAAAGAAGATGAACAGCGTTTCTTCAGGCTGATACAGCATCAGGAGATTGTTTGCTCAGTGATGTTGCAGAATGGTGTAAAGACACAAGCTAATGTTTCAGGCTGAAAGTTCTCAGGACATTTCTTGAGCTGGTATTTCTTGATGCAGCTCTTATGTGCAGCAAGGCACTAATATAAAGTACTTATATTGGTGATAATTCTGTAGTAAAATAAATGGCAAATTACTGGAAATCTGAAAAATATGTTATGTGATAGTTTCCTGGCTAGTACTGGTTTGCCTCAAAAATGCTTTGGTGATGCTATACTTCCAATAAACATTAATATAATAAAACACACTCTGTGCGCAGTGCTTCTGATGGTGACTGTTCTCTCAAATCTCTAGCTCTTTGTTGTCTCCTCTGGTGAAGTGGTTACGGCACTTTGCCAGCACTGTTCCTCTCTCTCTCTAAACTGAAGACTGTATCTACAGTGGTGACTAGCAGAGTTGGCAAGAATAGAAAGGACATTTCTTGCTCATAGGGGACTGTTATTGTTATTCTTGTTCTTGGATTTCATGGTTCTGGGTGGAAAAATTGTAGTGAGTATTTAGCACTTCTGCTCCCTGTAATGAGTGAAACCAAGAGATGAAATTCTGTGTAAGAATATGAGTCAATATATGTAAGTGCTTTGAAAAAAAACAAAACAAAACAAACAAAAAAAAACAGATAAATGGAGATCTAATTTTAATCTTCAGTAGTATGCCTCAGGTTATTTTTTCATGTTCATCTATATGTCTTCCCAGTACATCACAAGCAAAGTTCAACTTGAGAATGGAATTTAAATTGTACTGAAGCACTTTTTATTTTTTGTCTGGTGAGACCAATTGGTGGTTGATCTGGAAAGGGATAAATATTCAGTGCATTTCCAAGTTGTCTTTTATGCTAGAGATATCATGTTATCTAAGTTTTGCTCCAAAGTTATATTTAAAATTAAAATTAAGAAGATGAGAAGGGGAAAATACCTATCTGAAAAATGTGGCCCAAAGAGAAACAAAATTATCTTTGAGCATTTGCAAAAGCTAGCATGTACCAAAACTGTCTACAGGGTAGAAGTGTTCAGTCCTTATGAGAAGTGTTGTAAATATGTGTCATTGTGGCACTGCTGGTCTCTTATTTTGGTAATTCTAACCTCTGCAGAGTACTGGTATGCTCTTACCATTTTATAACCAAGATAGATAGCTTAAGACTAGAAAGAAGGGAAGTAGGAATATGCTGGTTTTGCGGATAGGAAATGGAGAAACGGATTAAGCAATTTGCCTGGGAATATTCAGGAAACTTGCTGGCAGATCAGGAAACTGGTTCAGTACACTAATCCTCATTGAGTCTTCAATCTGTAAAGAACATCCCTCTCTTTCCAACACAATGTTAATTGATATGTCTGTTTAGAAACCTAAGTTATGTCTTCCATGTCTGGAAGCACATCCTCAGTTACCTAAAAACTAAATTATGCTTAATTTTAAAAAACAGTTAAGTGTCACTGTTTGCTTACCACTAGTTGATAGAGAAGACATTGGATATGTTAGGTACAAGTGGACGAGTCAAGCAGTAACACTACACTGTGCCCATCAAGTGTTTCTGCTAGGGAACACAGGCTAGAAGGGAACACAAACATGAATATGAATTTATCTTTCAGTTTGGGACTCTGGAATGTTTCTGTTTTAATAGCGTTCTAATAAAATCAAAACACTGAATCTTTCCCAGCAAAGTTATAAATAGAAAGTAGGCACACTCCTTGTTATACAGAAAGATAGACTCCAAAAGGAGATTGTTCACAAAATGGAAAAAATCCAATTAAAAATGCTGACATTTACTTGTATCTCAGAGTTGCCACACTTCTGCTCAAAACCAGCTGTTGTTTCTCCTTCGTTTTCCCGTGTAATTGATTTATTTTCATGACTGAGAACAGCATGGTGCAGCATGAACAAGACAAATGGCCTTTCTGTGCAGTGGCCCCATCGTGCCTCTGATGGGTGAGCTGATGGTGAACACACAGAAATGGGTTCATCTTAAAGTCTAGGTGGCCTGAGCAGCTTTGTGGCTGCAAACCATACAAGCAGAATCTACTAGTAAGGTCAAAATGTACTTCTGTTCCTGTGTTATAATCCACATCATGTCTCTGGTTCCTGGACTTGCTCTGCGCATGATACAAAACTGGAAGGAATAGCTAATGCATCAGAGGACTGTGCTGCCATTCACAGGGACCTTGACAGGCTGGGGAAATGGGCTGATAGGATCCTTTTAACAAAGGGAAGGGCAGAATCCTGCACTTGCAGAGGAATAACCCAAGGCACTAGGATGGACTGGGTACTGATCAGTTGGGAAGTAGGTTTGTAGAAAAAGACCTGGGTGTCCTGCTGGACAGCAGGTTGACTGTAAGCCAGTGATGTGCCCTCCTGGAAAAGAAAGCCAACAACCTCCTGAACTGTAGCAGGTCAACGAGGTAATCCTTCTGCTCTGCTCAGCTCTGGTGTGGTCATGCTTGGAGTGCTGTGTCCAGGCCCTGGTTCCCCAGTACAAGACATGGATGTAACAATGCAGCCAAGAACTGCAATTATGTAGGGACTGCAGCATACATGGAAAGCCTGAGAGAGAAGGGGCTGTTAGATTTGATAAGAGAAGGCTCGTGAGGGATTTTGTCAGTGCGTATAAATACCTGATTGAGAGATGATGGGGATAAAG